TTTTTACATATGAATATTTATTTACATCTTATTACTTTTTTATTATAACTAGAAATATCAAATTCCATGACAACAACGTTTTGTGTACCGAAGATTTTAAGCTCTAAACATGTTGCAACCTGTAGGGTGTGTGCGTCAATTTATTGATCGCCCCTAGAACGGCTGCAAATCACAAACTTGTATGAACACAATTACTTATAAACAGGATCAATAACGACAATAATTAAGAGTTTTGATGTAAATAAAAGGTTCAGGCAACAAGTGGGTCATCCAGGGATAGTCGTGCCCTCACCTTGCCCCGCGCTCTCGCCTTCCCTTTGCAGCCCGGGTCATGATCACCGATTGTTCATGACCTACTTTATCTCAAAAATTGCTGATGTTTGATAATAGAAACATCAATTCGGATATGTTGATCGCAATTTAACTAATTGATTTTTTTTGATTTAATACAGCACTTATTTTCATAAGTGCTTATTAAACTACATTTTTTTAATCTAACTTTCTTTCCATTTAATTGAATTATCCTTTGTTGACTAAAACTAAGTTTTGTAATTTATAAGAACAGTATTTACCTTATCCTTAAGTAATAGGTACGTAATTGTTAGTTAGTACATTAAAATTTAAAAACTTGTAACGTACATACTTAAATGAACTTTTTCGGTTACCCCTCTTTTAAAATAAGTCGTAAAAGATTTTTAACTGGTAACCGAGCATTATCCATTGTATCACAGAACGGCAACATAGTTGCCAGCGAATACTTTATTATTGACTTTACCTTGGTTACCAGAGATACGCACGTTTCTTTCTCAGAAAAATTAAATAATACCCAAATAGAGTAACTCAAAGTTTTATGACTTCGAGCAATTCGGGTCCCAACTACACGTGTTCTACGAAGCCTCCGGTACTTATTTCTCGCCAAAATTCAAGAGTACTTAAATATAAATACGTTTGCCAAATAATGATCAATAAGCTCGGACAATTTTCCAACCAATTTTCTTACCAATTAAAACTTCCACGTAACATTGTTTGGTCACTAGTTTATGTCGCCATCAAATGAGTCTCACCTCTCATGTCGTAAAAGGCACTGGAACGATCGTTTCGTGTTCAGCTTTCCCTCTTCGGTTTCCTGTACTATAACGATTGACTCGATGGTAAAACCTTCCTCTATTCGCCTCTATTAACACACGTTTATTTTACAACGTCCGTCATGAAACATTGTGAATGTTGAATACATATAATACACTGTTCCATTCCCTAAATTTTTAAACTATTCTTAAATAAAAAGTACCTTGTTTTCAGAGTTACAAGTATTTTAACTGCTGTTTTATTGTTTAGAACAGATATTTCATATTTAGATTTTATAGTTACGGAGACAGTAATACTCGTAGTTAAAGTATCTTAAAAATACATTTAATTATAAAAAATATAAGAAAAGAGAGGCGAAATTAGTAAATTAAGTTACTTAAACTTAACCAATAGATTTTGCCGACAAAATTAAATTGGAAAAATAAAAGAGATCTTAAAGAGAGAAAAAGAGAGTTTAGAATACAAATTGTAAAGAGATTTATAACTCTTAGGTAATTACAGTTTTAAGTATATTATATATTTTATAGTAATATTAGAGATGTGTAGTGTTCTATTTAGGACGCCGTAGCAAGGACTATCGAAAACGTTACACATACATATAAAGCAATACGTTTTCAATGAAGTGTGCTATTATACTAATAAGTAATAAAATAAGCAATAAATTAAGAAACGTATTGTTGGGATTCGTTCTATGAGTTTTTTCTGATTTTACTCTGTTGTAAAAACGAAACATTGATAATATTGACAAGCCTTTGATATGGCTCCAAAGTAAATCAACAATAACTAAAAACTAACGAAGTATGAGTTGAATTTTATAATACAATCTATTAAATTGTTTGGGCTTCCTCCATTTACTTACGTACAACTACAAAAAGCAGTATACTTAATACATGTCGTTTAGTGAGAAAATTTTTAAATAATAATCCGTAATACATCGGCACTCACTTGGTTTAGGCCCGTGATTGTTCCCCCCCAACGTGCGTTCACCTTGTCGTGGTGGGGGGGCTCAGTAGTAGTAGCGAAGCTAAGAAACGCACAGGGAGGTTGCCCACTTCGGTGGGCGGTGGGAGGTGGCCCTCTTCGGGGGGCGGTGTACCTTGCGGGTTGCTCCTGGTACTTCTCTGATAGCAGAGTGGACCTTGGAGCGGCCCCATGGTCGTTGTGGTCTGCCTCGGCAGACCTGCCGTCGGGGCGTCGTAGTTGAATGCGTAAGCGATCCTGCGACGCCCCATTAAGACGGGGGAAGGTTTTGTTGGGTTTTAGTGGGTAGTACTGGCTGTATTACGCCAGTGAGTCCCACACGTCGTGCGTAAATGCATTTCCCAACGTTAAAAAAAAAAAAAAAAGGCCCGTGATTGTTGATACTCCGGTACCGAGTACTGAGGTTTATGAATATAAATAAATAATACTAATTAATGCTTTATGCTAATTATTATGCTATTCAATATAAAGTTCATTTTTATCGATACTTATGTGTACAGTGTACGTGTAACATAGTGATCGATTAAATTATTACTAGCTACTTAACCTCGCTTCGTCCGGGTAGCTCTAGCTACGTTTTAAATAGATAAGAGTAGTTTTTGTTAATTGTAACGTAGCAAATACACTCATGCTATCGTAAACTTTTCAACAGGCCTTTTTAAATTTTAAGACATAAAATTATAAAACTCCTCAGTTCAACATCGGCACCGCCATCGAACGACTCGATTACATCTAACTATAGGCACGTGCCGCCGCCGCCGCTCGGGCACGGTATCACATTAATGACGATGATTTCCTGAAAAGAGCAAAATTTCTACTTAAATGTCGGACGTAACCAACTTATTTAATATGATAATAGGATTAATATTATATTGATCAAAATAACTTTGAAACCTTTAATGGCTACTGTGGGTTATCTGTAAGAAAGACATATATATGCCACCGCGGACTTTTTGTAAATATTTTTAAGTTAGGTATACAATTTCTGTTTCGGACGACCAGAACCAGGGTATGTCTAGTACCCGGAGGTCGACCTGGGACAATCTCCCAGACGTTCTTGGCGTACACGGCAGTATGTCCGTTCGCTGGTAATGTACGCCACCACGCACCCCTGAATGCGTAGCTTGGGTCCCGATCCACTAGGGTTTCTTCGTTGACAGGAGACTATACTTAGAGGCGATGAAATAAAAACACAATTTTTTCCTTTTTTTCTCTCTTGGTTTCGGTTCTTCCTTTTCCTTTTAGTTGTTGCCTCTTCGGTGGCTGTCTTGCGACTGACTGGAATCGAGAAATGGCTCGCCTTTTATTTGGCCCGTTAATACCTTACAGAGAGCCGCGTACTTTGAGCTCATTTTTCGAGTAAAATTTCCCTAAACCGAAACCTTGAGAGTCCTTTTATTTTATGTTTTCAGTAAAACACCTTACACATATTTATTTATTTACATGCCTTACATACTATTATACAATATTAAAACATAATATTCAATATATAATAATTAATTAAAAAAGTCTTAAAACAAAAATATCTAAATTTCTAGGTTGCTACATTTTTACTATACATTTTCCCTTATAACTTTTGAACGGATAGTCCTATCGACCTAATTCTTGTTTTATTATAAGTTTTATAATAAAATCTATTATTTAAAACATAAACTATTATGCTATTGCAAGAAACAAAAAATCTCATTTTCAAGTTACGTAATTATATGCTAACATTTTACTTACGTACCTATTCCTTTCAAATTAATGTTAAATAGTCTTATATGATTCAAATAAGCAAAAAATACTCTAAACTAACCTTATTACACTAATTAGAACTTATTTTAACATAATAAATCTAATAAGAATGAGATTTCATATTTACAACAATTATTCATAATACGCTAAAATGACATTGTCCCTATATTAATACACACGTTACTCGAAGATAGGTTTTCCGTCGCCGACAATTTCGTAGCACATTATTCTGATATATCTCGTAAAGTTTAGTCATCGTTAGCAATGAAAGCGCCCAAAATTCTATTTTTTTACGTATCTTCAATTTTTTCATATTTCTGTAAATATATTATGCATGTATTGTATGTGATGTACATATAAACTATCCGGGTAAAAATATCAGAATAATAGTGAAAACCTCATCAAAACCCGTTACGTAGTTTTGAAGATCTAAGCGTACAGATGACAGACAGACGCAGGAAGCGACTTTGTTTTATATACGAGTACTATGTAAATATTGCTGTTGCATAAATATTATAATAAAAAAATTTACCATTCAAATCGCTCATTTCTAATCGTGATATTAACAATTCTAATAAAATCTGATGATCTAGTAATTTGCTCTCATCAAAACGGAAGTCAAAGATAAATCGCGAGGCAATAAAAAGGCTCCGAATAAAATTCAGAGACGACAATATTGATTTTCCCGCGCTCCATATATCCCGTTCGCCATCTGTTGCTCCCCATGAAATTTATGACAGTATTACCCAGTCGTTATTTTTGTATAAGATACTTTATCGGTCTGCATCATCTTTTTCTGTGACATGAGTTTTTTATAACGCTGGTTTTGTTGTTATAACTAATTTCCTTTGTTTTCAATATTTCGATTATAATTAATTAATTAATTTGTTTTCTGCTGGAGGTTTAATATCTAGGTGTAATATCTCGTTTTAGTTGCCTCCCTGAGATCGAACCCGCTACCAACTATCAATAATGTCAGCCGCCACTAGGTATATACGAGTATGTTGGATGCGTGTTAACTTTTGTACAAAATGTATGTATGAAATGAATTAATTGATTTGAATAAATGTGATACGTTACACATTTTGCACAATTATTTACTTGTGAAACTTATAAAATGTATATCTACATTATTTTATAGAGCTATTTTCATAAATAGCATATCAACATTGATGATCTTTGACATTTTTCAATAGATGGTGGCGCAAGAGGAAACGGCAGTGCCAGGTCAGATAGAAACACCTGGCACTTTCGGCAAGCTGCGTCAGACTTTATCATCTTCACTACTCACCGCACAGGATAAAGGTAAAATCTATCTATCTTTGTAAAATGTACCCCTGCGACAATTTACTTACATATAACATAATTACAGAGTAAATAACAAATTATAACAAAATATAATACGAAATATATATACTTTTATTGTTATTGTTTAAGTTATTTCTTTAAACTAATGCCTAAATAGGGTAAACAAATTTCCTATAGCCATAATAACAGTAACAATAATATACTGTATTGACTATCCTACAATATGTAGTAGTAATATACAGTAGATACAGATAGATTATCATAATCTAGGCATTTATAATAAAAAATGCTCTTTGTCCACTTTGTCAAAATAATATGAGTAAATAAAGTTAGCCATTTTGCAATAGTGTACTTTATATTAATTATAATTAGTCAAAGTAATTACCGTATGCGTTGGATACAACATTGGTTTAATTACAATTTATAAGTGTCAGGGTTATGATGTGGAGCAAGTTTCCAACTCCAGTAGCTACCAAGTTTGTAAGATAATAATTTAAATGAAGTCAGGATATACTGCATTTAATATTAATTGCATTAAATGTGCTGCAGTATTACAAAACATTGTTCAATATGTCCATTATTTTTATAGTAAAGATTTCCGTCCATTTTCCCTCTTACACATTTGCAATTCTACACGTTAATAATAAACAAATAAAATTTAAGTTGAATAATTCAATGTACCTAGATTACATAGTGATTAGAATGAAGAGCCTGTATTATGTGGACAATTTAAGACGTGACAAAGTTAAAAAGAGTTATTTTGGCTTACAAAATTAACATATCGTGATCAATACAGTATTATCTATTATATGTATATATATCATAGAGACATAATATAATCTATGTAGTGCAGTGTTTGATAAAACAAGTATTTTAAATAAGTTACATTTTTCATTTGGTTTTGCCAACATTACAATATCAGTATTACGGATGTATCCATACCTACATACGAGTACATACATATGTACATAGAGGCTTGCATACGTAGTGTTTCTTGTATTAAAAAAATTGTCGTAAACGTCCATTAATAATTTTACACCTACATTTTTAAGGCAGTCGTAACCCAGTGGCAACGCAGCCAAGTGAAACGTATTCAAATCCCTGTCCCTCTGATATTCTCATGTGCGTATCATTTTCAATATGATTATTACTTATCTAAAGACGAAGGAAAACATCATGAAGAAACAAACCTTCATTTCTGAGAGAACGTAGCAAGTTTTCAAAAGACATGTAAAGTCCGCTAAATTATTCTTTACAAATTAAAAAGTTAACTTTATTAGATATCGTTTTTTTTCAACAAAAAAGCAACAAACGCGATATATATTACAAAAGCAAATTATAATCATACCGGTTTTTTAAAACAGTTTCTTTACTTTTACCGTGACATAGTATTATAAAATTATAAATTATCTGTGCAAAATCAGAAAAGATAGTTTTATTTAAAATGTCAAATATTCGCCTAAATCTAAGAAAGTATTACTACAAAACAAATTCATTGTGCAACAACAATACTGTGCATAAAGATACAAAAGGGGACAGCGCTCTATTTTCTTGCATTTAATAAGTTTTCTAGCGACTTAGAATTTTATAGACGTATCGACTTTGACTACATTATTATTAATAGATAATGAATTTGCCATTTAAAATCTTAATATTATATTACCCATTGTTAGAATACCGGCTTCTATTACTCATGACCTTTAGCCTCGATTTGTTTAAACTAACCTATCTTAATTGACAAAAATCTTACCTAATTCTATTTCAAGTTAGCTTGGTAATTTGAATTTACAGTATTTAATATTCTACTTTTACTATTTTCTTTGTAAATATTTTTTTTTAAAGTTAGAAAATATGCATTTGGTCATTTTTTATAATAATCAATATTTAATCTATACTTATTATAAAAATAAGTCCCCCGGCCGCGTCTTTCTGTCCTCCTGTCTGTCCTCCTGTCTGTCTGTACGCGATAAACTCGAAATCTACTGAACGGATTTTTATACGGTTTTCAACAATAGAAAGAGTAATTCTTGAGGAAGGTTTAGGTATATAATTTATTATGCTTTTATGTAAATTAGCTGAAATACGGCGACAAATGTTGAAGAGGTCGCAAAAAATCTCGCCAAATGGGAACTTTCCACGCGAACGCCGCGTAAACTAGCAAAGATACAGTTAAGTAATGTACTAGAGAATTCAAAATCTATAAAAATGCTACAAAAAAGTCCGCGATAGCATATCTCTATCTCTTACGGTTGACTTACAATAACCACTTTTATGTTAACATTTTTAATTAAAAACATTACGTTATTTTCAAAGTTATTTTCTTTAGTTCGGTATTAATCCTTATCCAAATGAATATTTTAGTTAGCTTAGTCATTTAATGCAGATTAAAATTGCTCTTTACACTAAATCAATCAGATGAATAGTTTTTGAGATATCGTTGTTAGAAGTAATTAGTAGCGAAACATTTTTAATGCTTGGCGAGCATTGAGATGCCTACGGCGAGTCCATCCCCTCTGCCCCGCATCGCTCGACCGCCTGCTCAAGCTATATAAACCGGGCGATGTAGCGCGCGATCCTAGGATACTTTTTACCGCGGGAAAATATCTTATTTCTGAGGAAAAATACAAAAACTGCAATGTAAGAGTATACTAATATGTAACACCTAAGAATTTAGTTTTTGGTCATCTGAACGCGGGCGGAGCCGCGGGCAATGCTAGTATACATATAATAATATCTAGATATACATATTTAGTACATACCTAGTATAATATTATATGATCTCTGTACGTACTAAATATGTATTCATCTATTTAATAACAAATTCTAACTAGTCGAATCTGTAATTATTGAAATAGTCATTATTATAGATACAGAGTTCGAATCTATAGTTTTTAGAATTTTTGTCTGTCTGTCTGGGAACGCATCTCGAGAATATCACTGGACAGATTTTAATGAAATTTGGTATGATGATAGCGGATTATCCGGGTTAACATATAGGATACTTTTTACTGCGGGAAAATATCTCATCTCTGAGAAATCTATACATACCGTTAAAACGTAACTAAGGACGGACCCGGGTGGATCGCTAGTATAATATAAATTTCAGATGTATAAAATAATCTATACATATAATAAAATTCTAACGAAGTCGAATCTGTACATTAAATATTTTTTTGGAAAATCCTACATACATTATTATCGATACAGAGTCCGAATCTATAGTTTTTAGAATTTTTGTCTGTCTGTCTGTATGATACTGCATAACGAGAAAACCACTTTACAGATTTTGATGAAATTTGGTATGATGATAGCTGGTTATCCGGGTCAACATATAGGATACTTTTTACCGCGGGAAAATACCGCATTTCTGAGAAAAACAACAAAAACTGCAATGTAAGAGTATACTATGTAATATGTAAAACCTAAGAATTTGATTTTTGGTCATCTGAACGCGGGCGGAGCCGCGGGCAATGCTAGTTAAATATTAAGTTACTATATCTAGTAAAAACTAGATAGACATTTTACTAGATTTAGATAAACCTACATTTAGCGTGCCCAAGAGCATCCTTAACCGACGTTCAGAAAATCAATATGCAGAGCTTATTCCCACCGGACAGAGTAATGCGTCTTAGCTTTATCTTCTCAGCCCCTACAATAACTATTCCAGCCCTCAGGTATTACCGGAATTTGGGAAATTCCCAAATATCTAACTCACTTAATCTCTCGAGGCAAATGAACACAAAGATGTAAGTAACAGACGAAGTGAGGATCTCTACTTAATTACTTACTCTACTGTTACGAGAGCTATATTGATATAAGCGTTTAGTATGCAAGAATACACTGACATCTGATATGATACTTTAATCTCAAAGAAAGAAAAATTAGCTACTTTTAAACATATATAGCTAAATTAATTTTTTGAAGAATTGAACTCTATAATTCATGTAAAATATAGGCATTTATTATTAGTGAATACAAAATTATAGGAATAAATATATATTGGACTAGTATTGCTCGCGGCTCCGCCCGCCCCGCGTTCAAATGACCAAAAACCAAATTCTTAGGTTTCACAGTTAGTATACTCTTACATTGCAATTTTTGCATTTTTTCTCAGAAATGAGATATTTTCCCGCGGTAAAAAATATCCTACATGTTGACCCGGATAACCAGCTATCATCATACCAAATTTCATCAAAATCTGTAAAGTGGTTTTCTCGTTATGCAGTATCATACAGACAGACAGACAAAAATTCTAAAAACTATAGATTCGGACTCTGTATCGATAATAATGTATGCAGGATTTTCACAGCAGTCGTTTTTCTGTGATGCGGTAACAGACAGACAGACAGACAGACGGACGGACGGACAGACAGACAAAAGTTCTAAAAACTATAGATTCGGCCCTGTATCGATAATAATGTTTATTTCAATAAGATTTTAAAAAAAATATTTAATGTACAGATTCGGCTTAGTTATAATTTTATTATATGTATAGATAATAGATTCTTTAGCATCTTAAATAATCTAGTTAATAAAGTATCAAAGTAGTTCTTGGTTTCTCTATAACTTGGCTCCCGTTTCGTCGGTAAGCAGAAATAATAGTCAAAGTAAAACAAAAAATACAAATACATAGTTACTTCGCTAATTTTATCGTTCATATTAAAAGTATGTTTGATTTATACATGTACACAAAACACATTTGCGAAAGCTGTTACAGATATTGTACTGTAGTTACTGTAAATGCTGAAACGAAAAGCATTTAATGTAACTTTTTATCGTGCACTCCACATAATTACATTTTCATATCTTTCTTTTTTAAGTATATATACTTCAAATAAAGCGTATGCTATTGTTAGCGATCATACTACTCAGACAATGTACTGCAGCAGAGGTAGCTCTTCGTTGCTGCATGGGAAAAAATTTAACTATCTATAATAATAATGGTTTGATAGTTACTTGGAGTAGGTACAGACGGAAGTAGAACTTATAGTTGATATAATAAATAAATATGTTGCGACATTAACACTTAACACCATCTAGTTCCATATTAAGCTACAGGCCTGTGTCGTAGATACCAGATAGTTGATACACTACACGTTATCACATATATAACTTTAAATACATGCATATTATAAATATAAACACCCATGAGTGAAGAATGAAGTGTTCATCATATAAATGAATGCCACCAGCGGGACTCGAACCCGCAACCGCTGGCACAGCAAGTAGGGTCACTACAAAGTAAGCCAAACGTATCCTCAATTATATGTATAAATAAATAAATAAATAAATAAATATGTTGGGACATTAACACACAGCGCCATCTAGTTCCATGGTAAGCTACGAGGCTTGTGTTATGGATACCAGATAGTTGATACACTACACATATATAACTTTAAATACATACATATTATAAATAGTATGTATATATCCACTCTAGAATAGGTAAAAAAGAGCATAAAAATGAAAACAAAATGCTATTTTGATTAGATATTGTGAAAGTCTGACTAACTTAAGTATTTGATACGAGTAGAGAGGAATTTATGATCATTTCTCAATATTCATGGAATATCGCGAATGCTCGCCTCCCACGAGGCCGAGTTGACGTGCCGTTGTTATACATACCGCAGAACAGGGAGGTAGAAACAAACCACAAACCTATTTGAATTCTCTCTATTTCAATGGAATCCTCTGCAATATTTCAGCAAGTGTTATCATATGAACAAATTATTGTGTTATTTGAAAGCGAACAATATGTATATACATATTAATTATAATACCATATTAGGATTACTATACTACGAATGTTTAAATAATGCTATCTATATTAATATGTATTATAATAAAGAGGCAGAGGATGTTTGTTTGTTAGTTTATCTGTTTGTTTGTTTGAACGCGCTAATCACAGAAACTATTAATCCGATTTGAAAAATTCTGTTTACATTAGATAGCGTGTTTCGAGGAAGGCTATATTATAACATCACGATACTACCCAAGAGAGCGGAGCAGTCATCATAAATGTCAATAAATCGGGCAAATTTCCATACATTATTGTAAAAAGAAGAGTTTGTTTTTTTGTACTTTTAACGCGGGCGAAGCCGTGGGTTCTTCTAGTTATGAATAAATTTATACCTACTTTTGCTTTGATTTTATTTTACTATAAACGTGTTTATTAGATCGTAATTTTTCTTCTATACATGCTAACTTCCTAATATGTACATATGCCTACAATAATATAAATGTGTAAATTTTATTTGTTTGTTTGGTTATTACAGAAGACAAAGATATATAATTTATGTGGCTAACCCGTCCCCGAGATATCTAACACGCGTCTGCAATCGCAAGTTTACAAATAATTCAATTCCAAATATAACTTACTTCATAAAAGGATTAAAAATAACATATTAAATTAATTTATAAATAACTTATAGTATATGTCGTAGTGACAAAACTTGGCCCGCGCCCAGCCACAGAGACTGTAGTAGAGCCAACGCCTGCAACGCCGCCGGCTCAACCGCCGCCCACCACCACACAGCCACCGAAAACTGAACGGTACATTGTACTTTTATCAAATTCATATACCATCAAATATTTTAAGAATTTATATTTTATTTTATATTCATATTTATAGCAGACATTTTAATATTTTTTATATAACTTTACTATAGAGAGGCTGGTAAAGCCCCGTCACGTGCTGGAGCTTGCCGCGTTTGCTTAAAAGCTTTAAAGCCTGGCGAAGTATTCCACATATGCAATGGATGTCAGCACCGAGTTTGCGAAGATTGTTCATCATATTCTAAACCTGCAAGTGATGAGGAAGCGGTATGGTATAAGCTTTACATAAAATTAAATTAAATATTGTAATACGACGTATCGTAACTTTAAAGCACAGACATGTTTTTAAACCTTTTTTTTAATATTAATCATAAACAAATATTAAGACAAGCAAAACTATTTAACAGAACTCTTGGAGGTGTTCCGTGTGTCGTCGTAAAGCGGGGCCTAGACTTCCTCCAGCAGCACAGGATAGTACGGATTCGCTCCTAGAAGTGCCCGTACTTGAGGCTTTACAACGTCGTCATTCAGAAGCAAGGCTTGGCAGCGGGGGCTCAAGTACTGCTCTCGCCCCGCCACGCTCGCCTGAGTTACGTCGACATTCTGATGTTTCACCCGCTTCACTAAAAGAGTTAGAAAAGGTAATGTTTGTTTATTCTTGAGGCGTTGAAATATTTCCATACAAATTAAGTTTATTAAAAACTTTAAATACCTACTATTCATATTTGAGAACGGTTCTTAGTGTACTGTAGTTACTCATGATCAGAATTATAATTATATATTCTTATTTATTAATAAGGAAAGCTTCGTTCGTGAAGATACAAGCGGTCATGAAACTAACAAGATTAGAATAAAGACAAATATATATAGCTAGGTTATTTATATAGCTGGATTACTATTAGGTAATTTGCAAAGTGACTATTAAGTCACTTTTTAAATTATATGAAACTTTAAAATAAAATTATTTAAAGTTTCTTAGACCTTGGTTCACTATCGTATATAATAAACAAACAAATGTATGAATGTATTCGTAACCACGCTGCCATTGGGGCAGTTAAAGGGTGGCGGCAGTGTGACACCGAACACAGAGTCGCGTCGGCCGAGTACGGCGACACCGACGCGGCGTCGGTCGGTGCGTGCGCCGGCGCCGCGTCAGAGGTCTGTCGATGAGGATCAAAATGCTTCAGCACCCGCGCTTAATGCCCCTCCGCCAATGTCTAGAAGGTAATGTTAAGGATCAAATTTTCAAGAATGATATTATAATGTATATTATAATGTTAGGAACTCCAATTAATTAAACACGCGTTATTTTAACGTTGTTTGAGGATGATCAATAATAGATGCTGTTGCAAGAAGGTGAAAAATAAGTATTTAAGGGATATACCTAGGTATATTATTAGGTATGGTATATTTTGTAATGACGGGCAATTTGGAATATGAGTTAATAAGAATTCAGAGTAGTTATGATCATAACTGTATTAGCTCAATCAAAAAATACATAATCTTATACCTTTATGTATGACGAAAATTACTAACGGAACGCAATTTACTAACGGAATAACGGAGTTATTCCGTTAGTAAATTACTAATAATATACAGTTAGGTAATATAACACCTTGGACTTTATATATTATTCGCTTCTTGAAATAGATTCTCTAAATAAATGTTTTCGTAGCTTTATTTAAGATCGCAAAGTTAGTCAACTTTAGAGACGTTCATAAAATTGGAACGACTTGTCCCATTTTACGAACTCAACACCGAAAAGCACTCATTGCTAAATAACTGACAACTTTTATGTCTCATTTAACACCGAATAAAGTGAAAGACTAATAATAATTAATGTTTATTTTAGAGCGTGATCTTATTAATTAACATAAACGTAGTATATTAAAAATTATAAACCTAATCTTTTTTTCTATGAAATTAAAAATAGTTAAAGTATTTGTGTAATTTATATACATTTTAAACTATAAACTAGCAAAATATATCGTAAAATATATATAATAAGCTTAGTTTATCTATACTGATATAAAATCCGATTAGCATTAAGTCTATTGCCCCCCTTACGTAGAACGTACAAAAAATCTTCGATATGTAGGAAAATCTTCTAAGAATGTCTTTCCATAATCAAATATCCGGACCCAAAACACCTAATAAATTAAAATAAATACAACCAGGGCCTCAGCGGTGGACGTAGTGGGTGGGGGTGCTCGTCGCAGTTCATACCGCCCGGAACCTGACACGACTGATTCCCCGCCACAAATCAGCGGCTTAAGCGTCGACGAGGACAGGCCCATCAGGCGACGAGGCAGCCAACTGTATGTAACGTTTAAATTAAAACTTTGTTTTGATTTTTATATAGAGAACCAATTTTATAATTTACCTATAATGTAGATATTTGTATTCACATTTATGTAAGCTGTATTGTCATATCAATTTTCTAAAATACATGGTACATATAATAAAATTGTAACGAAGCCGAATCTGTACATTAAATATTTTTTGAAATTGTCATTATTATCGATATAGAGGCCGAATCTATAGTTTTTAGAATTTTTGTCTGTGTCTGTCTGTCTGTCTGTTACCGATACCGTTACATCACGAAAAAACCACTGGAGGGATTTTGACGAAATATTGTATGATGTTAACTGGTTATCCGGGTCAACATATAGGATATTTTTTATTGCTGGAAAATATCTCATCTCTGAGAAATCTATGCTAAAGGTCAAAAGGTAACTATAGGTATATAAGATTATAGAGTCAATCTTCTCAAAATACACATACAAACAATCATTTCCAGTCCTGACATCGCGGCATTGCAACAAAGAACCGGCGCACTGAGTGCTATAGCAGCTCTCGCGTCGCGTGCAGATGTAGAGTCGAGCGCAGCCGCCGCCGCCGCCGCCGCCGCGGCTGCCGCTGCGAGGCAGATGTCTGTGGATGCAGAAGCTATCAAAATTGTCATACACGACGTTGATGATCGTACCCCAAGACGTGTCACATTACGACGGGATCCTAATGATAAAGGCCATCGATGTAGGTTTTTAATGCTTATGTCTTACAACAATTGTGCAAAGCAATGTTTAAAAAGCAGATGTAGTTCTGGATCAGCATTATGTATTATGTTTTAAATGGTTACTACTAGTGAGAATTCATCAGGATAGCCTTTATATAGAAAAAAAAAGTTTTTTCAAAACAGTCCTTAATCTGCATAAGTTACCAAATAGTAATTGTTAATAATTATTATTGGTAATTTCTAAATTAAGAGTGTTTTTTATATTCATATTGTATATAAAGATAATGCTACGCTTTAACGCTTTCTATGTATCATGTTATGTATTAGTACAGTATAATTAAAACCTTTTATTCCATCATATCTAGTAAAATATGCTAGTAAACCTATAAATAATAGTAAGCAGCAACATTCTTTTAATTCACTTTTTCACTTCAATAACTTAGGTTATACAGTATAATGTGTACTATATGCATTTTTTTATTTAAATGTTTTCAGTAAAAATAATCGATTATATAACTTACAGCGCGAGGTTTTGGCATGAGAGTTGTAGGTGGGAAACCTGACGCGAGTGGTCGACGTGAAGCAGTTATAGTATGGACAGTACCTGGTGGACCTGCTGACCTCGTTGGACTACAACAAGGAGATAAGGCAAGTTGTTTTTTAATTTCTTCAATTGTAAAAATTTAACAATACTTTATATGGATTTAGAAATATTATAAAAAAACTCATTCTAATATTCAATGAACTAGACTTTAAAATTAATTACCTTTTTATTTTTAAACTAGCTACTCACCCTCGCTTCGCTCGGGTTCGTGCCTAGCTTGCTTTCCAATACAAACTTTCACGATGAGTCACACCCCTTAAGGGATAATTTCTGGGATAAAAAGTATGTCCCTCCGAGGGTCTCAAACTATCTTCTTACTAAATTTCATCTAAATCGGTTCAGAAGATCCAGAGATTACCCCCTACAACGTCACAAACTCACAAACTTTGCCTCTTTATAATATTATAGTATAGATAAGAGTCACTAAGGTGCATAAATGTACAGATTGCACCTATGTTTTTTTACAGTTTAATCTACTATAATATTTCCTTATAATACGTGACGATATAACATATGTGTGTTCGGATTATTTGTGCTAGGTATTGGAATGGGGCGGTGTCCCATTAACGGAACGCAGTTTCGAAGAAGTATGCGCAGTGTTAGAGCGCGGTGGTGACACAGTGGAGTTACTGGTGGAGCCAGCACCACAGCTCGATGACCCACAGCCTCCACCCACACACGCGCCTCATCATCATCATGGATTATATGGTAATGTCTATGTGCATATCGTCAAAATCTGTTTCTCTCCTTCCCCCTATCTATATCTTATTCTTGTTATTCAATGTTACGTGTAGAATATTGCCGACTACCTTTCTTCCTCTTTTTTTCAGCTTCTATCGCACAATTACTCGGATACTAGTTCAAATTAAAATTGAAGATAAGTATTAGCGTGATTGATCCAAAAAATAATGGTGATCATTCAATAATAAAGGTGCACCGTTCTATCTCACTTCTACTCATTTAAATACTTCAAATATTATGTATATTCTTAATATTTTTATTCTTCTTCTATTATTTTACACCACACTCTTACATAACTTTACAAATATCACAGCCTGCAACAGTATTTTTCGCATTCTCACTATATTCCTATACCTTATTCTTTACTCTTATGTACGTACCTACTTTAGTCTACGTATTTCCACTAATCGACCAAAAATAATTCATATAAAATTTTAATATTTTTTGAACTTTTATTAAAGGCAAGTAATGATAGCCTATAAAATGAACACATGATATAATTTTAAATTTCTAATTTAAATGAGCATTTTGGTTGGTTCGCAGAACCGGATACGGACAAGTCACCATCGTCTCCAACGCGAAGGAAATTGCCGAAAACCCCGGTATAATATACATATAGGCTTTAATTGTAACAATATGTGTTGTGAATCTATGAAATGTTGGACCGAACTTTCGTTCATAAATCTGGTAGAGACTATCACTTGGTGCCTAAATTGCGCTTCTTGGACATGTACTTCTATATGGGTACCTTTGATTATTGGACCATTATTCCATGAATTATAAGATTAACATAATTTATTGCGATATCAATTTTGAAAATTTTGGAAAGAGCGAGTTTAGTAATTTTAATATGATCCAAAAATCAAAGTTTTTTTTACCTACTGGAAATAAACAATTATGTAAAATTACTTTAATTGCATAATTCATTCACTTTAACGGATGATCCACACTATAGTGACAACAGCTCACCTCGTTCTCAGCTCGATATTGGTCTGGTCATATATTTTTATACAAGAAAAATTAGTGCATTTACACTACCCGTAAGAGTCAAGTTCCGGTCGACTCACACGCCAGCAAGGATCCGTATTAAAGGATATTTGGCTTAATGAGATCAAACTTGTCAGGGCATGTATTATTTACATTCGACTTTGATTATTGGGGATTAAAACTGAATCGTGATCGAAGCCTGATTGTATTATGCGAACATAATAAGATTTTAGCAGACCAAGACCGAACCGAGAGCAAACAGTGATCGGCACTATAGTTTGATCGACCCTAAACATCAGCGTGACAAGAGCAACGTTAGTACACACTCGGATTTTCTCATTCAGCTAATGTTCAAATCTTAGGCGTTTACTGAAACAAATTTTCTATAACGTCTACATATTTGTATTTTAAGCAAACAAAACGTATCAATCCTGTTATTAACGTTTTTTTAATTTTACTGAAGAACCTTGTTCCGATGTTTTATAATAATTGTTTGTTCCCTTTGTAACGATAGTAAAATGGCACTGCTTTACTCGAGGTGTTTCTGTAAAAATTTGGACATTAATGATGAACGTTAGATTCAGTTATTATACTGTAAACGATATTTAATAACGTCTAAGATTTGGATGGAAGCACAGGGGATGTTCTCCTCTGATCTGCTGTGATACTGTAGCACTAATCACATCTTCCATATTAGACTAGTTGTAAGTGATTAGAATTTCTATATAAATATATATATATATATATATATATATATATATATATATATATATATATATATATATATTGTAGGAGTACTTTACCTTTGTTAATCTTTTATTAAGTAGGACGAGGACTTCCCATGTTTAAACTAATATATTTACCTAATTATATTTTTAATTTGTCTGTTGTCTATATTCGTTATCGTTTATATGGTGTTACCCTAAGTGTATGAAAAAATGCTACGTACTTATTTTCAGATTTTTATTTTTTCTATCACCTGACCAATTTCATAATCTCGTCATCGCCGCCGGCTGGACTGGTAGGGAATGATCGGCAAATGACGATAGGATCGATCGCAATGGTTTCAGTAAGTTTAGACAAACGCTGAGTTTTAGTGCTCGATGGTAGCATAGGGTTCATCCCGATATCGATTACCTTGTTTAGAATATTCGTGGATGATTAGCATTTTATTCTGACGACAAATAACAGCGTAGTGCAGCTAGAGCCGTCGTCGCTTTTTGCTAAAGATAAATTTCGCTCATTTTAAAATTATTACTACACTACATGAACCAATCCAATCATAAAGAAAAAAAACCTATAAAGTAAATGTTATTGATTGACTACAAGACAGTGGCATCGAGAATAGAAGATGTTTTAGACTGCAAGAAGCCTCGAAGATCTTATCGCAGTACAAGTCAAATGTTGTCGGCGATCCGCAGTCAACAAAAGCCCGTTTGTACCGTCTCATATTAAGAGCATCGAGTGTTACAGAATTTTGTTGTTTAGTGTAGTGTAATGCACAGTGTACGGAGACGTTTGCAAGTTTGCAACGAATAGTCTAGGAGCTTGGAGTGGTGGCAGCACGGTACAAAGCAAAGCAAAACCTTGAGCGACAGGCACCGACGCTTCTAAAGTGATGCGAATCTACACGATGTACATAGCCGCTGTGCCTTTAGTAGTTGAATGTTCAGCCTCGTTACTACCGTTTGGAAATGCATGACTTTGCACAATGTGACATGTGCATTGATCTGGTTCAGAGCACTACTCGTACTTGGGTGTACAGCGTTTGCGTGTTATATACGCTACTAAAACTATAACCTATTTAGTAGCTTAAATCAATTTCTGATGTATTATAACACTAAAACTCTCAATATCATGCATTATTAAATTTTTATGCGACTGAAACTAAGTATTTCTTCAAATTGTCTTTGAACTGTACCTTCCTTAAAAGCCATACTTCTACTTATAAGCCATAAATTTGTGTTGATCTCTTAAGGAAGTTCTTCAAAGAGAAAATTACACATATTAGTGCATTAGAGGCTCAAATTTTTTTATAGAATGTAGACCATATACATAGATATGAAACATTATTTGTTTATCCTTGTTTCTAAATTTCTTATTCATGCAATACCCTGAATGAATATGCGATTGAAATTGGAATATGAGATCTTTAATAAATAACTTTAAACTATTTAAATACTCTAAAAATAACGTGGCTTGTCTATTCGATTCTAGCATGATAAAGCTTTGTGCATGGCGGATGAGAGCGTCAGATTTTATTAATTACTTTATTGTATGAATAGAAATGCCTCAGCCCGACGCATGTTATTTTAATGACATATTTTAAATGCCAGAGTGAAATGAAAAAGAAGAAAACGTTCACATTAATTGCAATGTGGATCCATCCATTCCGTAACTGCACATAATGAATGAAGTTATGAATCCCTGTAACTCGCTAATTGATTGATGAAAACAATTGCTAACCGTTGCTGCATGTGTCGATGAAATGATGCATTCCCTTCAATATTATAACTGACTTAGAATTTTCATATAAACTTTTCAAAACATCCCTAAGTGATCCCTTGATCCTTTGTTTTTCCTAATGGTTTCGTTTTTTCAACTTCAGAAGAAACAATATTTACTAGCTTCATGTACCTACATATATTGAATTAAAATTACAATGTAAACCAGATGTTATGTTTAGAAATATTTTGTATTAACAAAGTACATCTGGTCGCAATGTAATTTTTTAATTACTTATATCTAATTAATATATCAACAAAATTTTAATTATTTTTTTATATATAGGAACAAGATCGTGCCGAACGTGCTCGCGAGCGTCCACTAGCGCGTGCGCAGTTACAAGTGTGGTTTGAGAACGAAATTCGCAAACTCGTGGTCGTTCTCATCGCAGCAGATGATTTGCCTCCTCGCGACCACACACTAGGATATGGTGACGAACCTGAAGCTTTCGCAAGAATACGTCTATTGCCATCCCTGTAAATATACTGTAATTTATGAATTATAATTAAGCGCTTTCATGAAATTGCTATGAAATTGTCAAACCCATTTGTAAATGCTTATACACTTTTAAATGACTGGTGAAATTTGATTAAATACATATATCTACGAACCATTAAATAACAAATAAAAATTAAAAAAACATTATTGGGATCAGGCCTTTCGTTCCATATACATATGTATGTATTTTTATAATATACTAGCGGCTCACCCTCGCTTCACTCGGGTTCACCTCTAGAAAAGCACAAACAGATCTATCCCACGGGAACCGTTCATTTTTCCGGGATAAAAATAAGTAACCTGTTGTTTGACCTGCAATATAAGGTATCAGCATGCCAAATTTTACTAAATTAGGTGCATAAGTTGTTGTGTACTGAGCTGTATAAGTTACTATAATTTTTTAACTATCCCACGGGAACTCTTTAATTTTCCGGAATGAAAAGTATCAAATTTCATTTAAATAGGTTCAATAGTATCGGAGTTTAGCCCGTACGAACAGACAAACAGACAGAGAAACAAAAAAATTGAAAAAAATCTAGATTTGTTCTATTTCTCTCCTTACGGGATGTAAGAAGAGAACTGACTCGTTTTTTAGCAATTTTTCTACCATCTATGTACAGACATTCGACCTCTACAGTTTTATTATTCATATATGTACCTATATTCAGAAAGAAAAAACAACGTATAATAAAACAGAAATATATAATAATGAAAATAGTTATAGCGAGTGTACCTTAGGAGATAGACATATATATGTAGAACTTTTCTATAGACCTTTTTAAGACTTACAATTTTCTTGTACAATGTTTGATGAGCCAACGTTAGCCATATAAATTTCTAAGGACAATTCGATAGAACCAGTTATTGTATTTTCCCGTGGAATTGAATAATTTGCCTGTCGTAAAAAGTATTCTAAATGTTGAACCGAACACTAAGTTTTATCACTATACAAAATTAAGTTAAAATCGGTTGAGTACTTTTTGCGTGAAACGTGGACATCGATTTGACTAAGTTTTATTATAGGTATAGATAAGAATAAATATTGCGAGTGTAACTTAGGAGATAGATATATACTATTCAGAACTTTTCTGTAGGACTTTTCAAGCCCTACAATTTATTAGTATATTGTTTCAATGTATGTATGTCTTAAGGCTTAGCCAGCGGAAGGTTTCTAGGGAGGACTCAATAAAACCAGTTATTGTATTTTCCCGTGGGAAAGAAAGATTTTCTTGAAGTAAAAGGTATCTAGGCAGTGGTATCCCAGTGGTAACGCGCTCGGTTGGGAAACCGAGTGAAGCAAGTTTAAATCCCGGGTCTCGCACCTCTGATATTGGCCAGCGTGGTGGACTATGGCCTGATCCAACACGTACTGAAGGGAGGCTCGTGCGTGTGTTAAAAAGGGCTGAATACAACATACATACATACATACATACATACATACATACATACATACATACATACATACATACAAAAGGTATCCTAAATGTTGACTCGAGTAATAAGTTATCACTTCACCAAATTTCGTTGAAATTGGTGCATTACTTTTCGCGTGAAACGCGCACACAAAAACAGACAAACAGACATACAGGCAAACAGACAAACAGGCAATTTTTTAATAAATATTGTTTTGGGGTCTATGTTGTGTACATAATACGTTACAAATAAACAAAAACATCTACCCCACGGGAAAAGTTAATTTTTCCGGGATAAAAAGTTCCCTATTTGTTATTCTGATGTATAACTATATTATTGTAAAGTTTCATCAAAATCCAATCAGTGGTTTTTGTGTACTAAGCTGTATAAGTTACTATAGTTTTTTGACTATCCCACGGAAACTCTTTAATTTTCCGGGACGAAAAGTAGCTGATTTGTTTTTGTCATTTATGTACTATATTATTGTAAAGTTTCATTAAAATCCAATCAGTAGTTTTTGTGTTCTAAGATGTATAAGTTGTTACAGTTTTTTAACTATCCCACGGGAACTCTTTAATTTTCCGGGATGAAAAGTATCTAATATGTTGTCCGGGGATATAAGGTACCACCATGCAAAATTTCATTTAAATAGGTCTAATAGATCCGGAGATTAGCCCGTACAAAGAGAAAAACAGATAAACAGCTCGCTCGGGTTCGTCCATACATACGAATATGTTGTATTATCTCCTTAACCATTTGTCCAAATTATATGCAGTAAAAGGGAAAAGTCTTTTGTTTTAAACATTTTAGACGATAAATTTACTTATTTTGATAAGAATTCATAATTGTTGATAATATGACCAATAAACATGGCTTCCGATTTAAATGATTTTTTTAATATAAAAAACTACTTTTAGTGACTTAAATATAAAAGTTAGACATATGCTGTCGCTGACTTTTTTGTAGGTATTATTAAGCTCTACAACCTTTCTCTAGAACATAATCATATATCTCTCATCGTTAAGGCAGCGTTCGTAAGAAACCTTTTCGTTCGACCGTTTTTTCTCCGACTTACTATGCAAATCCAACTACATTACTTTTCATTTTTATTATTACTTTTCATTATATTATTACTTTTCATTTTTCGGGTTAATATATAGCCTATGACACTCAGAAAGAACGTGGCTTTCTATTGGTAAAATAATTTTGAAAATCGGTTCAGTAGATCCAGAGATTACCCCCTACAACGTCACAAACTCACAAACTCATAAGATCACAAACTTTACCTCTTTATAATATTAGTATAGACTAGCGACTCACCCTCGCTCCGGTCGGGTTCGTCCCTAGGTTCGCCCTTACGTTTAGTACAATTACAATAGTATAACATTTAGTATAGATTTTTCAGAGATGAGATATTTTCGCGCAGTAAAAAGTATCTTATATATTGACCCGGATAACCAGCTATCATCATACCAAATTTCATCAAAATCTGTCTAGTAGTTTTCTCGTGTTGCGTTCCCAGACAGACAGACAAACAGATAGATAAAATTCTAAAACCTATATAGATTCGTCCCCTGTATTGATAATAATTACTATTTGAATAAGATTTTCCAAAAAATATTTTATGTACAGATTCGAATTTTATTATATACTAGCATTGCCCGCGGCTCCGCCCGCGTTCAGATGACCAAAAACTAAATTCTTAGGTGTTACATATTAGTATACTCTTACATTGCAGTTTTTGTATTTTTCCTCAGAAATAAGATATTTTCCCGCGGTAAAAAGTATCCTAGGATCGCGCGCTACATCGCCCGGTTTATATAGCTTGAGCAGGCGGTCGAGCGATGCGGGGCAGAGGGGATGGACTCGCCGTAGGCATCTCAATGCTCGCCAAGCATTAAAAATGTTTCGCTACTAATTACTTCTAACAACGATATCTCAAAAACTATTCATCTGATTGATTTAGTGTAAAGAGCAATTTTAATCTGCATTAAATGACTAAGCTAACTAAAATATTCATTTGGATAAGGATTAATACCGAACTAAAGAAAATAACTTTGAAAATAACGTAATGTTTTTAATTAAAAATGTTAACATAAAAGTGGTTATTGTAAGTCAACCGTAAGAGATAGAGATATGCTATCGCGGACTTTTTTGTAGCATTTTTATAGATTTTGAATTCTCTAGTACATTACTTAACTGTATCTTTGCTAGTTTACGCGGCGTTCGCGTGGAAAGTTCCCATTTGGCGAGATTTTTTGCGACCTCTTCAACATTTGTCGCCGTATTTCAGCTAATTTACATAAAAGCATAATAAATTATATACCTAAACCTTCCTCAAGAATTACTCTTTCTATTGTTGAAAACCGTATAAAAATCCGTTCAGTAGTTTTCGAGTTTATCGCGTACAGACAGACAGGAGGACAGACAGGAGGACAGAAAGACGCGGCCGGGGGACTTATTTTTATAATAAGTATAGATGTAGATTCCATATCCGTTCATAGGGTTTTTTTCTTTTGATTAGGAATGAAAATACATACATATATTACTCTTGATAGGCTTATTTTAATTTCTGTTCATTTATCTTTGTAGTGAAAGCTGCCCGCCTGTGGAGACTGATCCAGCATCGGCCTCGTGCACTCCAGTTTGGAACGCGACGTTGGGCTTTGGAGGACTTACTGCGGACTTGTTAGCTGGTCGTGCGTTAGAACTCACACTATGGGATGCGTGTCCTGGCATCGACCCTGTGCTCATTGGAGAGTGCACCGTAAGTGCATAAGTTATTTATTTATAAAAATAAAAGAGTGTAAATTTCCTTTATACTGTTCACTAGTAGGGGAGCCCAAGAGGGGATTTTTGCATTTAATCAAACGCGGCAGATTTACCTATGGGGGATTCCTTGCACACTGTTGAGTACCTCAACCAATTATAAGTCAATAAAATATTAATAAATGTTTTAATAAGTTAGAAATACTTGAAATCGTCAGATTAAGGTATGGTGGGCTAATTACACCCTGAAAAGTGTGCAATTTAATAATCTGTCGATTTCCATAAGCCGAAGAGGCAAAAATCGTACTTAAAATTTTATATAAGATTTTTGCCTCTTCGGCTTGTGGAAATCATATTTTTTTATCGGATATCGGCTATTTTTTTTTCGGATCGGCTGCCTTAGACGCGCGGCCTTATATTTGGTGGCGGTTACTCACAAAAAAAACTTTTAATATTACACTCAAACAAAAATGTGATTTAATGTTTAGCGTCTTTTATACTTACATCTGATGGCTTACCACGTGTATAATACCGATTTCTAAAATAGCATACGCACGTACCCTAAACTATAAATATCACACCAAGAGGAGAGACGATTTTTCGTGAGGATTTCTCATGACGCGGCCTTGAAATTTTACTCTTATGCCCGCAAAGAAGTTTCGCTTCAACAATATCACGATCTCCATGTATAAATTACACTTATTTAATTTTCTCAGATGGAATTAGAGAAAGCGTTTGCTGAAGAACGTGCAGTTTGGTGGACGCTTGAAGAACGCGGCACCCGCTCAGCTAATGCTTCACCGCGTGGCTCTCTCACAGGCGCGCGCGCCTTGCGTAGAGGAGACTTTGCTTCTCAACGATCTGTTTCAGGTTTTATATTTTTTCATATTTGGTTATCAAAAAAGACACTATTTTATATATCCTAGTACAGGTAGAAACTGATTATTCAGCTTTGCGTAGATACTTTAACCCTGGCTGTATTTAATTATACTTTTTGACAGAGGCATATCATGAGACTTACCAATGAAATAAAATATTGAATTTATAATTCATCATCAATCATTTATTGACTAAAGAATAATAAAATTTAAAAAATCTCTGATAATAATGAATGAATCCTTTTATTGAAATAAAAAACTATCTGAATTATGAATTATATTTACTAATCTTATGTGGAGCTTATAAATGTCTTTTAAATAAATCACCAGATGACGTGGACTCAATCGGAGAATGCGCATCTCTCCTTCACCCTGACCACGCGTGGGTGGCGGGCTCACGCCGCGGTTCCTCGCAGTCCGAGACGTTAGAAGTAGAGGTTTATCAACTCGGAAAAGATTTCTCACGGTCCTTGCCTGGGTCGAGGAGATCTTCATTCCAACAGCAAGATAAAGGTATAATTTATCAATTAAATATGTTTTCATTAAAAAATGTTATTAATATTATTTTTGCCTTATTCAATATAATTTATTATTGAGCTTTCCATGATTTTAGAAAATTCGTAATTAAAATCTATATAAAAATATAGTTGGTACATAAATTGTATACCGGTCAGATGGTGGTGTCGAGCCCCCTGTGTGCTCGCGCCGCGAGCGACGTCGATCTTCTTGCGTGCGGCGTGACCCCGACGACATCCTGCGTTCTCTGCGCGCCGTCAAGGGCGAGCTCGGGCGCACGCTGTCGCTTTCTGGCTCCACCGCCAGACGTAAGTACACATTTTCTGTTGCTATCTCTTCTGTATTTAATTTTGTTTAGATTTATTTTTTAACATCATTAATTAATCATTTTCACTTATTTTGATTCATTGTTTGATTAAAAAATATCTTATTTTAGATATATCATCTCATTATTATTTTTACTTTAGAATTTACTACCCTTAGACTTAAAAGAATTGAAATTGTAATCTATAATACTTATTTTGTTATAATTAGGTATGTTACTTAGTTTATTAAAATATGCAAAATGTAACTTAGTATTGAGGGATAAAAATACATTTTAAATTAAATATTTTTTTTAAAATTGAAACTCTTATTATAAATTATATAATTTTCATAGATATCTGAAATAGGTTTGTATTCCACCTAACGCCCTGTAACGCTATAATATTATATAGATAAACACTAATACCACCGATCGCTACTAGCTGTCACCAGTTCCTTCTACCGCCCACCTATTTATACGAACATTGAGAGTATTGACTTGTACCGTGTTATGCTTGTTTGGTCAGCAGCGACGGACCGTTAGCACCTCGGTAAGCGAATACCGTGCCCGCGCCCGCGAGCTTCCCGGCAGGGTTTGACCGCGCGGTGTCGGCACGCCCCTTGTGACGTCCGACGGCCGACCGTGCCCCAATCTGTTTCTATAGACCACGGTTACCCCGTTCACGAGCGCAACGATACTCGGCTCGACGGTCTCGGCCTAGAACCAGAATGGGGTTCCGCGACCAAGTAGTAGCATGGGTCATAGCTTGCGCGACGGCCGCGCGCTCGCACCGTTGAATGTGGCTGCGCCCGACGCTTCTCATCACTTCACTGTGTCTGTACTGTTCTGTCCTGACGCATGCCCGGCCGCGGGCGATCACGCTCACTTCATTTGTTTCTATGTACCGTCTGTTCGGCTGCCCGTCTACGTTCATTTTGATGGCATTGTTATCGCCTAGGATGTTTTGGACTTCATTATTACCTTTGCGAATGTCATTCATTGTTAAAATGCGCATTCTATTAGATTTCTTGTACATATCTTACTCATAGGTCATAGACATTACACAGTTTACGAATACGTATATACGTACATAAAACACTCACGAGGGCGCGTACGTAGTCACCGCTGTAGGTCGCGGTGGCACATGTCGCGGCGCACGCAGAGGTAGTGACTGCCAATCGTTCTTCGGCAACATAACAAACCCTTAACTTACAATTACAAATGGCTGTTCATGACATAAAATGCTTATCATAAAACGATTTCAAGACCGCTTCCAGCAACTATTAGAAACTCGAATACACTCTTGGCTGCACACGTTAAATGCTTCTTCTTTCATTTCTGTGTTTAGGGTAGGAAACCGTTTGAAAATCTATGTACTTTTACGAAACTGTTGACATCGGCACGATGCTGTTTGACGTGCTTACTTTGTGTATTGTTTATTCTTAATGTTTGATGGATGGTTTATTCTGATTTCATTTTTTATTTATTTTTTCATGTGACGAAACGATAGACTGTTTCGACACAATCATACGACCGCGCGATGTGGGTCGCTCACATCGTAGTAGTTATCCTTAGATATTATCACGATTCATATGGCTCTGGTGCGAGAAGTGTAAGGCAGCTATCTAATCATTATGTGATGTAAAAAACTAGGTTTAGTACACTTAAGTTATATTTGATTTATCAAAACCTACAAATTTTATAAATGATTTTAAAGAACAATATATTAGTTTGCACAATACTAAGAATTATCAATCAAAAATATATCATCGCCATCACACTTCTTACACCTAAGTTGCCAATAGAGCCGCCACAGTTCCGTGTGGGTGGTGGGTAGTCATGTTGTGCGCGCAGGCACGGCGACGGGGCGCAAGGGCAGCATGTGGGCGGCGGTGCCGGCGGCGGCCGCGTGCGACGCGGTGGCGGACGACGACGACGAGGTGCCCCTGGGCCCGGGGCAGTTGCCGCCGCGTAACACGCACCTACCGCCGCTGCATGCTGAGATTAACATCAGCATTATCATGATTAAGGGACAATTGGAACTTGAGGTACATTTTTATTTTATAATGCTTATATGTTTATACATATTCACGCTTTATCCTACATGGGTTAACAAGAAAATAAAAGTCACCAATATATGTATGTCTCTATGATCTATCTTTTTATACATAATATAAAGTTGGTTTAAATAATCAAATATATTTTATTAAAGCTATATTTAATTATTAAGCTATAGTATTAAATTATGTAGATAAGACGGAACTGTGGAAGATTAGACGTACGAGACACAGGGTATCCTAGTGCGTGCGTCTCAGCACTCCATTGCCCATGTTTTGTTACACAATAATTGTTATTAGATTAAGGAATATATTTGTACCAATTTTGTTATTATGAATTAAATAAATAAAAATTAAATTTAATATTACAATAATGATACATACTTCAGATATCTCACGCACGTCGGGTATACGGTGTGAACGGCGAGGTACCAGACTCATATGTAAAATGCTATCTTCGCGATGGTGAAAAATGGCTACATAAGCGCAAAACGAGGGTAGTACGTCGTACTACTGAACCTCATTTCAAACAGACCTTGAAATATCAGGTACATATTATTTTCAATAATAATAAATAGTAAAGTAAAAAAAATGTCATACGTTTTAAATCTCTTCTGAATTTTTGTACATTGACTCCTTTATTTTCCTCCTCACGTTAGGCGTGCGAAGCGCTAGGCCGTACACTAGTGGTGATGCTCTGGCAACGCTGCGGCGGGTTCGAGCACAACCTGGCGCTCGGTGGGGCAGAGATCTGCCTCGACAAGCTGACGCTGCCGCAGCGCACGTACGGCTGGTACCCGCTGTTCCCGGCCTCCTCGCTCGCCACCGACGAGTCGCCCGACTGATCCCGCGAGCCGTCGCCCGAGCGACACAACTAGCGTGACTCCGCGACGGCTATTCCATGTCCCGATATTTTATTTTCATAATTATAAGGATGACGAATCTTTCCAATTTAATTTTAGGCCTTAAATTATTATTTTTTATTTTTCGTGTAAATTACATAGAATCATTACTGGCTTGATTATTCAGAGAAAGTTACAGCATAATCATTATAATATTGACGATATACCTATTTTTGTACATAAATATAAATATTATATCTTGCAACATTAAACTTGGCGGTTCGTCATCCTTATTGTATGCATTTTGCTGCCACCATTGCTGCCCAATGGAACCCCTGACATGACGAAATTAATGTCATCTACAATTAATCGATTTAAAACGTGAGTCGTTAGTGGAAGAAGTTGATATAAAACATTCTTCTGAATCTAGACTTGGGTAACTTAAAAATAATGAAAATTTTAAGATCGATTGAAACTGACTTAAAACTTTGGACTAATATTATAAAAATATTTTATACATAATGTAAAGGAGCTTATTTATAAACTCGCTTTCATTGCTGGAATTAAAAATCGATCTAGACATTAAATTACTGATTGAGATGCTATACTTGAAATTTTTTGATCTGAAGATCAATAATGGTATTTATTATTTTCGTGGCACTTTTGGTAATGATTTGTAGGTAATTTGTATAGATAGTTAAAGTGTGCTATTTTGTAGATTTTTCTGTGTTAATGTTGTAGCTTTTTCCACATTCCAGTATTATGTTCTACATATTACAATTACGTATTAACATGATTTTATTCATTAAAACATTAAGCAGGGCCTATTTATTTGAAGTTTAGGCAGTAGTTTTGGAATTCATTAGAAATTATCTTTATTTAAATTGTACTAATATATAAGAATCATATGGCTCATTCAACATCATTTAGCTATTTAATATATATAGGTGTCTAACTTCTCTGTGTAACGTAATAAAGTAATTAGAAGAAATACCTATAATATATAGACATAATATATTTCTTATCATCTTATTATATATCAATCTTTATATGACACTATTATAATAACTATTTTTTACATCTTAAATAACCCCAACTTTGACACTTTGCCTTATACGATTTATATCTCTTAAGTGATCCTAGTGAGTAAGTGCATCTAGTTACTATTCTTCCAAGGTTGTGCTTTAGTGAATTTTCCCTACATAGCTAATCTACCGACAACGTTATTTCTTCATATCTAAATAATTATATCTTATAATACTGTACATAGTGTTGAATTATTTTTCAAAATTTTCTACGCACAACTATTTCGTGATAATGTTAAAGCTGTCTTTTATAATCTAGAGGAATGAAACTACACGTACCTATCAAACGGACTTTAGTACCTTTAAAGTATTTTCTAAATTTATAATATTTCACTAAATAAAAATTCATCATATCTACTATAATATATTAAATATTAGGACGCGATTATTCGCCTGATCTACGTCTACAGGAAGCTTTCCTGTAGCTGATCCGTAGATCGATTGCAAGCTTTCAGATCCACAGGATAATTTCCTGTACTTCTCAGAAATTAAAACAAATTATGTGGGGTTTGCTTTTAATTTGGGTGAGTTTTTTTTTGGTGTCAATGTTGTCGGTAATTTACCGTCTTTGGTAAGTTCTCTTTTATTTTGCGTTCATTATTTTTGTATGACATGAAATTATGAAACTCGGCCATAGGGACTGCTTACGGGAAGCTTTCTCGTACCTGAACGGGTGGATCGGGCGAATAGTCACTTCGTAAATATTATCTTCTATATATAAAGAACTATATACGGGTGTCTGGAATTTCTTTGTCTTTCAAATAAAAATTATTTCTAACTATAAATCCAAAAAAAGCATACTTATTATAATTGTACAACAGTTATTAATGAGAGATTACGACTTCCAAACATCCGTATATCGACACCTACGCTTTAAACCCCATCATTTAAATTAAAGTGGACGTAATGATAAGTATTTAATATATATATTAAAATAGTATTCTATGTCGTACAGTACAGTAGTCAGAGCGTCTAAGTACGTTTTCAGTATAAGCCACAGGCCTAGCTTATGTAATATTTGTGAAAGAGATATTTTTATTGGTGTTAGATACAATTTACATATCGGCGGAATTTAATGTAATATATCTCGTCAAAATCTGTGTTCTTCCACTGTCGTAGCTTAGTGAATTGCTTGACAATATTATTATGATTCTTCTATTTTATAGATACTTCTTACACTTTACCTATTACTCTTCTTGCTTATGTACTTACAGTATGAAAGATGCCTTAGTAGGTACTAACCACTGCAACAGAAATACAAATTGTCAAAAGAAGGTCATAGTTCGAGATTATTTTTGATATTTTATAGAAGCGCTATGATACCTGGGAAAAATTATTTATTTATACACATAACATTTAAACAAAAGTGGAAATATGATTAAGATTGGAGATCGTACAATTCCTAAGAGAGAGACATTCTAACTGCTATATATCATTAAAATTTTATATATTTATCCCTACCTAATATAGATGATTCTATCGCGCCCTAAATATATTTTTACACTATAATTTTATATTCAGTTAATATGAAAAAGCTGTGAAAATATACTTACCTACTTAAAATTATACATATTATAATTAATCTAGATATTAAATGTGAAATACATATTATTCTGACCGATCGATCCATCGGTATCGATCAACTAATTTACGCTTACTATTTCAATATGTTAGTATATATGGAAAACGATATTCTTCTTAAGAAATAAATGTAAATGTATTTATTAATATTATTGTGCCTAATAAACCCCAATCCACATCCCAATCCCATTGAATACCATCCCTAATAAAGCGTAATTTCCCAAAACGCGATGTACCTACTATGTAGCCCTAATACTCACCCTACTGGAGAGCGCCGACAGATGTGATATGGTACCGGACTTCGTGTTGTAACTTGTAATATTAGAGTACCTTATGACTCGTAGTTAACTTCTTATGTACATTAGTGTTTTATCGTCTCTTCATAGATACCAAATGGTCATCACAATATTCCGTTCTCGCAATGTAAAAATTGTGAAAACCACCGATGACAAATTCAGTATATTCTTCTTAACGTTTAAATATGAATAGATCATTCATCACTCTTCACTACGTAGTTTACATTGTGAAAACGGTAATAACTACGAATCTTAATTTATAACAAATTTAAGTGTCAAAATATATATCTATTATTAATAATAAATGTGATAACAAATGAGTTTATTATAGCAGTATAAAAACAATAAATGGTATTTTTCTTTCCTCAAGGAAAAGTCTTCAGGTATTTGAGTACATAATGTACTAGATAAAACCTAAAGAAGTATAGGATAACTGCATAACAAACATAAGTATCAAAATATATATCGATCATTAGCATAAACCTAATGTTCGTCCAGACTTTATTTATCTACCCATAGACCCAGAGAATAGTACAAAGAAAATATTTAAAACGAGGTTAAGGAGGTAAAATAAAAAGAAAATGATTAAATTGTTAACGTTCATTAACATGTATGACAAGTTATTAACTAAAAACATTCCTTTTAGAAGGGAGAGCCCTAGAGGGGATTTTGGGATTTACTCAAGCGCAGCAGATACGAGTATCAAAGTTTATGGACGATTTTTGTTTCTTATTCGGCTTGTCGAAATCGGTAGATTGTTGAATTGCGCACTTTTCGGCATGTAATTACCCCAACCACACCTTAATATGATGCTTTCTAGTATTTATATTCCAAAATAATTTAAAATATTTTTTAAATATTTCGATCGACTGCCCTAGACGCGCACCTTATACAGAGGACTTATATATAGTGGAGGTACTCAACAAAGTGCACGGCATCCCCCCTTAAGTCAATCTGCCGCGCTTGAGTAAATCCCAAAATCCCCTATTGGGCTCCCTTACTATTTACGATGTCAGGTTTACTAGATTCAAGACACTAAGTAAGTAGGTATATAATATATTTTTTATTGACTACACTGAACATTACTTAAAAACATATTAGAATCGCTCCATTATAATTTCTTTTTGTATGCGAAAATCGAATCTGCGACATATTACTTATTTATTAGTAATCTGTCGGGACGAATAGTATTCGAATACTATTGGGTTTCTCAATTCTCTTTGTGATTGAAACAAACATACAGACTAGAGCAATACATAGGAATGTATAGTTTTTAGTTGCTAGTATTTGTTATTGGGATTTTTATGTGACTGAAGGTTAATATAAAAAAAGAAATATTTAGTTTAAAACTACATCACTCAGAATAAACCCAAGTTAAAAATTTACAACATTGACAAGAAAATTTATATTCACATAGTACACACAGAAACTATAAATAAACGATTAATAATAATAAAACAGCACTGCTTAAATAGTGCAATATATATAATTCTTCATAATACCACAGATCACATAATACTATACTAGTACAGATGCTTCATCTCATACAAATAAATTGAACAATGCTAATTCGAGCTATTTTTGTTTGCTTAAGTAAATAATAGATGTCGTGGATTCGCAAATAGTTAAACCGTTTTATTTTATAAATATGTGCAAACTAAAGAAAGGTTAATATTGTAAAATTCATCTTGCATACCAATAAAAATTTAAACAATTCATAAAAAGCAAAAGTGCCATCTGTGAATACACACTACAAACCCATATTCCGTTTGCTGATATTTTTATAATCAATAAAATTAATTATTAGGCGCATTATTACATTTACAATATTTTCTTAAACAATAATACACTTTCTTGAAATCTATTTTTTAATCTTTTTTAATTTAACATATTTACAAATCGATACATGTAACATCTATTGACATTTATTTGAACGGATTTTTCTTTGTGATCCCATGATATTACTCTATAGTGTGTGTAATATAATAATTTTTATATTCAAAGATTTGATCTACAAATGTGCCCCTGCAATGTTTAAATATTGCCTCTAGTTTGTGTGACATACAGCTCATACATCTCAATTTGAACACTTATGCAAGAATTACATACTATGAAGGAAAATGCAGAGATAAAAAAAATTAAATGTATCTATCTGATTACTATTATAAAGAAATAATTATAGAAAGTAGAAAGTGAAATTATGTGTGTGTACCTACTTTTGTTACTTCTTAACGCAAAAACGGTAGAATTTGAATGTATTCTAGTGGACAAATAATATGACCGACAATAACCTGGAGAGGTATATAGGCAACAACTAGCCCCGCGCCGCGCCGCGCTACACGTGCGCGTGGTCGGCGGGCCCGCACCAGCGCGCGGCGTGGCGCAGCAGCGCGGCGGCTGGCGACGGCGCGCGCGCCGCGTGCGACACGCGCGACCACCACTCTCTGTTCGCGCAACGACCTTTAGCAATTTGTTTTCTTTAAAAAAACCTATTTAAGGTTTTAACTATTTCATTGAAAGAATTAAAATTATATTTTAGAATTATTCTCCCTAAAATATTCTAAATTTCATCTCAGTCTTTTTCCAAGGTTTCGCAGCGCTAGCGTAATTTATTTAAGTACGTATCGTATGTATATATGTAATAGGAGCTACAATTTTATGGGTTGTAACATCATGTTTGCCTCAATAAATAAATATAAAATTAAAAAGAGTTTTTTTTCAGACCTACACAATAAACAATACAAAAATACCGCTATATCTTTATAATATTACTATAGTTACCACACAATTTTACAGTACTTTCCCTTGCACTTTCTATCTATAATTCAAAAAATTGTATTACAAAAAATATCCTAAATAAATCGTATTGTTGAAATGCTATAGTATTGGTACCTTTTTTCATTTAGTAAAAGTAAAAAAAAACCAAACTGCTGAAACATAATGAACGCAAATCTAACCATTAGGGAACGTGACGAGGCGCGCCGCCAGCGGGTGGCCGGTGAGCACGCAGCACGGCTCCTCTCCTACGTATGAGGCGTATAAGCCGCGACTGTCCGTCGGCAGAGTCTAAAATGTTATAAATTAAAATTAATATACGGATATTAATGACGAAATAAATAACAACAGAAAGAGTAGTTACATATATTACTAGAAAATATTCTTTAACAGCTAAAATATCCACTAGAAATAATAGATCAGGTCAGTCATAAATTCTGAAAGGAATTCTTCGAGGACCTTAACCTCTTACCGTTGCCTATTAAAACTAAAACTGCACTAGCTCACTCACTACTGCTACCAATTTTAGATTATGCTGATTGCTGCTACCTCGACGTTTCAGAGGAACAGCTTAACAAGCTCGAACGTTTGCAGAATATGTGCATCAGATTTATATTTGGTTTACGTAAATTCGACCACATCTCCGAATACCGTAAGCAATTAAAGTGGCTTCCAATCAGATTTAGGCGCAATTTGCACGTCCTTTCCATCCTTTTCTCCATCCTTTATAACCCAACTACTCCCTCTTACTTAAAGGAACGGTTTAATTTTCTAGGTTCGGACGTGTCTGGTTTGCAACTTAGGTCTCAGAGCGACAACCGTTTGAAATTACCATCTTGCACCACCAATTACTATGGTAATTCTTTTACCGTAAAAGCTGTAAAGCTATGGAATATGCTCCCCCATGATGTTCGCCATTCAAAATCACTAAATATTTTTAAACGTCGTCTAACTAATTATTATCTGTCTTTTTAGTTATTGAGTATATATGTATATACTATTTATTCATATGTAGTTATGTATCTTATGTATATGTATGTATGTATTTATGTATATTATACGTGTATGTATATATTTTTGTCTTTTGTATGTATTCATGTTTGTAAACGTAGTTCATCATGTCTGTATTTAGTGTTAATTGTACCGTCCCGTCTTCGATTCTTCTAATCCTTTCACCAAAGGTTGTCTGTAAGAGATTGCTCGTAGCAATAAGACCGCCTTTGCATGCCTATTTGTTATTTATTTTTTATTTTTATCTTCTGTAATCTTTTTTTTGTGTGTGCAATAAAGAATTTATCTATCTATCTATCTCTTACATATTATGTGCATATAATATACAGTATATCAATAACTTCATCCAAATTTGAGCACCCGAATCACACTTATTTTATTAATTAATTTTCTTCTGTACGTTTGTATATTTTCGAAAACAATTCCTGAAGTTACAATATACATATCTATCATTAACTCACAAAACATTAAGAAGATTGAAAAGTAACACACACTGATATATATATATATATATATATATATATCAGTGTGTGTTACTTTATATATATATATATATATATATATATATATATATATACATAACATTCACCAACAAATACATGTAAACTGTAAACATGAGATCGCGCGTAGAAATTGCTAATAAATTTCCAGATGGAGTGGCACAACGAGTCGACGACTTGAAAAAGTTGGCAGGTCCGGGATGGATACAAACTGCTCAGAATCGGGATAGTTGGCGTTCTTCGGAAGAGGTTTTCTTTCAGCTGTGATCGGCTATAAGCCGAAAAGAATAATTTTAAAAAGTGACAAGTAAAACAAAACCACATCCCACCTGGTCCACCTGCTGGTCCATGGAGACGGCGAGCACCCAGTCCCGCGCCGCGCCCAGCGCCGCGCCGCCCGCTGCCGCCGCGCCCAGCGTCAGCGGCGCGCGCGGCCAGTCCGTACACTCTGCCACACGCCACAAGTGGTAATCATCGCCAAGCTTGTGCTTGTTTTAGACCCAATTGTAAGTATTTACAATTAGGCCTAATGACAAATTTATTATCCGCTTCAAGTGAAATCACCCGAATATCTTGTTTAATAATAACGAAACCAAATCATTAAATTAATTTTATTATATAAATTTTTGTAGTAAGTTAATTATTTAGCATATTAGCAACTAACAACGCGACTTCAAATATTATCTGGATTCTAGTTCTACAGATTAACAAATAATTTGATTACTTGTACACTAAACATTGTGTAACCATAATACAACCACACTACATCATACGCTGTTCCCTGCGGCATTGCCGGTAGATACAACAATATATTATTCCATTATCACCTTATATTAAGACAATGTATAAAATGCGATGGCTGATAGCGTGCTTTGTCTTAAGTACGTCTCGACTTCTGATATGTAATGGATATTATTATAATGGATATCATAAACACATGCTTCTTTATGATAAGACTGTTGCTTTATGAAAGCACGAGCGATGTACCCTCACTTTACTCAAGTGTGTAAGTGCCTAACAATATGTTACCTGGTCATAGTCTTGTATATGTGTACTAGATTTCATCCAAATCCGACCAGCCGTTTCAGCATGAAGGAATAAGAAACACACACATATACAAGCTTTCGCAAATATGATAATACTAACAGAACCCGCGGCTTCGCTCGCGCTAAAACTACAAAAAAGACTTAAGTTTCATACAAACTTTCATCCCCTATTTTACTCCTCCCTTATGGAATGAATTTCGGAAAATGCTAAAACACGTATTTATTTACATAATTGTATTAAAGAGCATTTATACCAAGTTTCAAGTAATTTTGATAATAAATAAATTTTAGGGTTGTATTATAACGCGTTTTCCCGTAGGAAAGAGATGATCTCCCGCCCTAAAAAGTAGCCTATGTCACTCTCCAGCTCTCCAAGTCCCTCCACACAAAAAACCACTCCAATCCGTAACTCTATTTCGACATGAAAGAAGGATAAACAAATAAACAAACAATACACACTTTCACATTTATAATATTAGAATGGAAGCATGGATTCCGATTAAGCGAAATGTCTCATACCAAAGTCCGTATAATCGATGAGATGTACAGTATCTTCGTCCGCCGCCTCGGCGAGGTCCAGGCAGTGGTTGAGGAACACGAAAGCCTCACGAGCTCCCGCGCTGCCTTCCGCGCGTATCACCTCGCCGCATATGAAGAAAGCTAGAAGTAGAAACGTACCAATAATGTTAATTAAGAAATAAGATCTGACTTTAATAGACAATACGATATTTATCGAGTATTAACTTGTACAATGGTGAAACAATAATTTTATAATTATAATATTATTATATTGCTAATAGCCATTTAAGAGATCCACCATTCACTATCAAATCAGCACGATGGTATCAAATTATTGTATTCCTGATTAATATGCTTAAATTTATATGACATATAATTATACAATTATAGAGACTCGGCGAGTCTCTAGGTATCGATTTGACGGTTACTATAGATTTCTCAGAGATGAGACATTTTCCAGCAGTAAAAAGTATCCTATATCATATATATCATCCTATATCATTGACAACGATAACCAGCTTTCACCGTAACAAATTTTATCAAAATCCTTCCAGTTATCTGGTTTTGACATCTATCGGCACTCTTGAGTGTTCTTGCATCAATTATAAACCTGCCCATAGAAGTTTTCACTTCAAAAAAAATGTGTCTGTATACTAAAATACTTCCAAATCCGTCAAGCTGTTTCAGCGTGAAGCAATAATAAACACTACAAACAAACACACACACACACACACGCGCACGCGCACGCGCACGCGCACGCGCACGCACACGCACGCACGCGCACGCGCACGCGCACGCGCACGCACGCACGCTCGCACGCACGCACGCACGCACGCACGCACGCACGCACGAAAGCACGCACGCACGCACGCACGCACGCACGCACGCACGCACGCACGCACGCACGCACGCACGCACGCACGCACGCACGCACACACACACACACACACACACACACACACACACACACACACACACACACACACACACACACACACACACTTTCTAAATTCTTATAAACCTTTCACTACACTAAATTCTAATAATAATAGTCCGATAAATTCAAACTGACCAACATCAGCGACAATAATATCAGTATAGCGCGGCAACGCGCGCGCCACCTTTGACGCGATCTGCGGCACGTGCAGCCCCATCAGCAGAGTCAGCGCCTTCAGAACATATTGCGTATAAAGCGCTAAAGTTACAAAAGACATACAAACATGTTGCGGATGTCGATGGATTTAATATTACGTTATCGCGATTCTCGTCCGCCATGGTCAGCGTGCTCGTGCGGCATATTCGAGTGCCCCCAGTAAAGTGAGTTCACTCGCACTAACTGACTCACGTTATAAATTATTCCCTATCAAATATGTCAAACGCTATTGTCAAGTACTCGCACCATCATTCAACTACCCTCAAAATCATGTATAAAATATCCCACATGGCAACACAAGAAATATTTATCAATTATTCTCTTAGTATACATATGGACGTCAGTCACATAAACAATGTTCTCCTAACTGTTTTTAACAACGGCGGGCAACCTCACTGAGCCATGTACGCGGGAGATATTATAGCGCACAAGTATTCACGCAGCAGTCACTCTCATTCTTTGGTTGGACGACAAATCGAGCCAGCCGGTGAGAGATCATTCGCAGGACCTGCCTCCATGCCTGTCTAGTACATAATATACTAATAGTAGTTAGCGTGTCCGGCTGCAGATTCGGAGGTCTGGGTTCAAAAGTCAAGTTATGCGTCGGGTCAAGTGTAGTTTTTCAGTCAAAAAAAATCTCAGTAACAAAACAGCCTGGAATTGGGAAGCTATGTTTTATCCACGAATTGGAGATCAAGTAAAGCCGTCGGTCAGTCACATTATTAAGAGTTTAAGTCAATAAAATAAGTAATACATACATTTATTTTAATAAACTAGTTGTATTTATTTTCTTTAATCATGTAATATTTCCTTATTCGGAAAAGTATATTACTCGTATTACGTCAATGCTGGTAATACTCGTAAGTTTAATAATTCGCCGTACGGACATTGGATTGCACTAAAAATTCGTGTACCGTCATCAATTTTCTAACACTAAAAAACTATTACAGATCGATTGCTTATTTCCATATTCGACCTATATGGAGGCTGCTGTCATACCTATTACCTTCTATTGCTGTCCTAAAACTCACTAACGTTTAGTAAAACCTAAATACATAGCAAAAGCAGTTTTACTATACCTGTAGTGCTCGATCATCTGCATCAGCAGCTATCATTACCGAACCAGCGTCTTCCATCGCCGAGAAGGCTTTAGGGGCGAGGGATATCCTCACCAATATCTCATTACACACCGCTTTGGCCAAGGCTGTGTCCGCGCTTGTTACAGGGCTATCCTTCGTTAGGTATTGACGAAGAGTGTCCAGCGCATGAGAGAGCACTTCTGGTACGTCTTCACTCTCTATATCCATACCCTCTGTACGCTGTTTATTAAAAAAATATTTGCTATCTAAATTAAAAAGAAATATTAACAGCAAAATTGGATGTATCGAGAATTTGATAGAGATACTCAGTATAAATTTTCTAACTTTTTGTTCAATTAGCGATACCTTCATATTTAATAAAAATTAAAATATTTATGGATTCCAAAAAATCTTAAATCGACTACATTTATATTTAGATTTAGCAGACCGACAAACATATCCTGCCCCAATCAATATTATTTTTATGTTCTTTAAAGTCATTCTCCCCAAGTTCCCAATTTTACGGGTAACTTATTCAAAATTTCCCTAAAGAACTCGTTAGCACTAGATATATCTAACGATTTTTTTTAAATCTAGTCAAAACGGTCCAGCCGTTCTCATGCGCTTACCAAATACCAACGTACAGCATTTCATTATACTCGTATTTCAATAATAACGACAATAACAACACAAGCTCCGTACCGAGTGTGTCTTAAACAAATGCGCCACATATCTGAGCGCGTAGTGCGCGGCGCGCGCGCCGGCCCGCGCCAGGCAGCGCGGCCAGTGCCCGGCGCGCGCCAGCTTCTCCAGCGATGACTCTGACTCAGATTCTTCTATTTGAGGCTTCACTTCTTCTTCTTCTTCTTCTCCGTAGTCCGCCGATGAACCTGCTTCTAATTTCAAATGCTCTTCAAATTTTATTAATTATTGATTAATTTTTGCTACGGTCTAGAGTGAATCCGGATTAATATTATAAATGTGAAAATTTGTGAGCATGGATTTTTGTTACGCTTTCACGCCAGAACGGCTGACAGGATCTGGATGAAATTTGGCATAGAGATAGGTTATAGTCTGGAATAACACGTATGCTCTTTATAACACTTTTTATCCCGGAAAAATATATGCTTCCCGTGGGATAGGCTTGTTTTTGTTTTCCTAGAGGCCAACCCGAGCGAAGAGAGGGTGAACCGCTCCCGCTAGTAAATAATAATGTATCAATACAACGTAATTATACTTTATCTTAACTTAGAATGCATTATTGATATTTTTGTACTACTTCTTGTCTTTGCTTGTACACGTTGTTTTGTTATACTACTAGTGACCCACGCGTCACTGGATGCCTTTCACAATTCACATATATTTTTTTAGATTGTTATCTATAATACTGTTATATACAACAATCTAGAAATTTTATATTTATATTTCATTAATTTTATATATTAATATGTATAAAAAATATTGCGGGTAGTGTAAGCATGTGCCTCGTTAACTTAATGTAATAATTTTGCAAAAGTGAGAAACGTGGTCATATTTACGGAGACCGAATATGAACCGTATGCAAAGATTTTGAAGGCGCTCAAGTCGATTCAGGTGCTCCTCTTTAAGGTCAAGAAAACAAATATCAGCATAATCAAGTATTTGCCAGCGCAATTTTAGTAGGTACAGGCAGAAAATTTCTCAACCTGCGAAGGGAGGAAACAACTCCAAACATCTTGCGGCTCAGTACACTTACCTGGGGCCCCCAGGATAAATGCTGGTCAAAAATGATTCCTAGGTTTTTTACTGTTTCGGTATTATAATAGCTTGCGATTTAATAGGGTTAATATCAAGGCCATATGATTTACTCCAAGCAGAGATTCTGGCAAGATCATTATTAATTAATAACTGTATGAGGTAAGTCTGATAGAGATGTGGTTGCGTAAATTTGTAGGTCGTCGGCATATAGGTGGTAGAGAGAAGAAATTTGATGGCAAATAGAATCGTATTCCAATCAAAAAAGGAATCCTCAATTCGTATACGCTGCCGGCGGCCACACAAGTAACTACGAAACCAGTCAATCACCTCAGGAGATATGTTAAGAGAAGTTAATATGGCAATTAGTATATCAAAATCAACAGTGTTAAAGGCATTACTGGTATTAGACTATAGATAGACAGTGTATACAAACGTGGATATTCCATCGTACTCACTATTCATCAGTATAATTCAAATTATACAGTACAAAAAATAACCATATTATAAATAAAAAGTATTACCGGCAGCATTTTCTTCTTCTTCACCATCCACGAGAGCCGCACGGAGTTGTTCGCCTACATCGCTTTGACCAATTTCAGCAAATCTGTAGGTATTTATTCATCAAATTCTAATTCGATTACATTATACATTAAGTAAAACTCGTCAACAAGTAGCTCGATTTGTGGACTAGAGGAGAGGAGACCCATCACATGTAATATATCACTACTATTATAAATGTAAAATTTATATCTGTATATGTTTGTTGCTCGTTCATGCTGAAATGGCTGGACGAATTTGAATGTTGGTATACAGGTAGACTATGACCTGGCGTAACACAAATGTTACTGGTAGGCGGAATACACCCAGGCAAAGCGAGGATAAGTAACTAGTCAGTTTACTATTTTAATTAAGAGTTTGTACTTATGTGTGTTTGCGAGTATGTTTTTTACTTCACGCTAAAATGGGTATCTTTAGTACACAAATAAGTAGACTACAACAACCACGGGGCTACTCGTACGGTCCACTCTGCTATCAGAGAAGTGTCAGGAGTCCCAATGTGGGTCGCCCGTCTCCCAGTGCATTACTTGACTCTGTGCCCGGCTGAATTGGTGTAAGCTAATAAGCTTACTCTCTCTACTCTCTTACTACCACGACAAGGAAAACACTCATCAGGAAGAAATAGACCATGACCTAGAGTAATAAATATGCTACTGTTAAGTACCCAAGCAAACCAAAGGTAAATAGATAGATAGATAGATACTTTATTGTACACCACAAAGAAATATTTTTTTTTTTTATTTATTTATTCAGGTAAAAACAGTCGTAAACAAAAAATCTAAAACAATAAGGATACAATTAGACCTATATTACCCTAAATTATTACAAATGAAACAAATGAACTGATTTGTCATCAAAAGTGACGGATGCTAAATAAGTATGTTTACCAAAATAATAAGTGAAACTAATTAAATAAAAAAATATTAAATAAAACTAAATTGAAGCTACTAAAAAAGAAACAAAAATACATATGTCTTATACAATATTTAGAAATAAATAAGTTTATACAAAATTTCCGAAAAACTAAAACATTGATTGGTTTGTACCTACTGGCAAAATATAGGAAGCAATTATAGTAATAGTAACAAATAAATTTTAATAATATTATCATAGTACAAACAATAAACAATAAAAGCCCATAGTTAGAATATTATACGAAACACTTGCTTTTTATACATACTTAGTTTACACGAAAAAATATCAACAACAGTTAAATTATTATTATAGAATGAACAAGAACGCCTGAGAAAGGTATTTTTTGCATACCTAGTATGATATGAAGGTATATGAAATGTATCTTTGGAACGAGAGGAAGAGGAGCGGGGAATTTTGAAAAAGATGAGGTTTAATAAATTTGTGGAGTTTACATAGTTATTAACAATTTTGTATAAGTATATGGTATCTAAATAATTACGCCTGGAGTGCAAAAGCTGCATATTATGTCTTGCCAAACTCTCCTCGTAGTCGGTATAATAAAAACCAGTATGATAGTCCAGAGACTTCACGAACTTCCGTTGCACTTTTTCAATTCTTTGGATGTGTACCATATATTGAGGACTCCAGACAACACTTCCGAATTCGAGAATGCTTCTCACATACGCGTTATATAGTATTTTTAGTGTATTACCTCGAGTAAAAGGTTCGCTTAGACGGAGGATTAATCCTAAACGCTTAAAAGCTTTAGCTACAATTTTGTCAACATGAAGGTTAAAGTGCAGTTTGCAGTCTAGCGTGACACCAAGGTCACGAACTTCGGTGACTCTGTTCAGAGTATTTCCTAGTAATTTGTATTTATAAATATGAGGCTGATGTTTTCTAGAAAAAGTTATTACGCAGCATTTATCAACATTAAGGAACAAATGATTATTATTACAATATTGCTCAAATTGATATAAATCTTGCTGTAACTCAAGACAATCATCATCACAACGGATAATTTTATAAATCTTGGTATCATCAGCGTTTAACAAATGATGAGAGTTTCTAATGCAAGAGTTCATATCATTTATATATAAAGTAAATAAAAACGGCCCTAAATGAGAGCCTTGAGGGATTCCAGACGAAATTTCCACAAAATTAGAGACATACCCCTTGAGTGCAACAGCTTGGCTACGATTGTTTATATATGAACATCTAAGAAGATCGCCGTGTATACCAATTCTCGAAAGCTTCCTTATTAAAACAGAATGATTAATCTTATCGAACGCTTTCGAGAAGTCAGTATACACTTTTTTTTTTGTTGACGCTGGGGAAACCCATCATGGGGACCCTACCGGCCGTCAATGGGTAGGGTACTGTGAGACTCCTACTCACTAAAACCCACAGCGGAACCCGTCGCCGCAGTGCAATGGAAAGTCAGTATACACTGCATCAACCTGATGACCTACATCAAGAGCATTAAGCAAAAAGTCAGTGTACATCACAAGATTTGAATTTACACCACGACCACGATAAAATCCATGTTTTTCGGGAGCTATTACATGATACAAGTGAGAGGTAAGTATATTAGTTATATTTTTTTCAAAAATTTTACCAAAAATGTTTAACTTTGATATGGGTCTACATTGCTTTACGTCGTTTATATCACCCCCTTTCGGAATGGGGGTGATGATAGCTTTTTTCCATATACTCGGGAAACAGCCTTCAGTTATGGACTTATTGTAAATAATAGTAAGTGGAGTTGAAAGCTCTTTACAAAGTTTTTTTTTTATTAAAACTGGATGAATACCATCATGACCGGCACCTTTATTTACATTAACTTGCTCAAAGTGCTTTAAGACAACTTCACGTTGAATATCTACAGTCGATATAATAACTGAAGACATATTGACCTCGTCATCAACAGCAATGTGGCTGTTAATTGTGTCAGTTTGAGGGACAAAAACTGACTTAAAATATTCGTTAAACATGTTAGTGATTGTTTCTAGGTTATTGGAAGATACATTATTAAATTTCATTTCGGCAGGAATATTATTGGAGCCAAATTTAGATTTGACAAATGACCAAAAATATTTTGGGAAGGTTGAAATCTTATCTTCAGAGAAAATTATATATCGTTCGTAGCATTCACGTTCAACTCGTTTTTCTCGAGAACGTAAGGCAGAGTACAACTGATAATCTCGGTCATTTCGGTATTTTTTCCATTTAGAATGCTTATTCATTTTTTTTTGTCGTATTAATTTTATAAGATTACGGGAGTACCAAGGAGGGTAATTAGAATGTGATTTAACAGGTTTTTTTTTTTGGAATATACACGTCGATTAAATTCTGTAAAATATTATAAAAGTAACTGACGGATTCTTCGGTATTTAAGGTGGCTAGATCAGCAATCCAATTGACTCGCGATATTTCTGTGCCAATCGCTTTAAAATCAGCCGCATGATAAATTAGCTTGAGACGCGTTTTTACGTTTTGTATAAAAGCATGCGTTTGTAGATTGAGAGTTATATCTAGAGATTTATGATGCGCATCCTCTGGGGTTAACGGTGTGGTAGTATTGGACACAGTGCACTTATCGCTACTAAGTACTAAGTCTAAAACTCGTCCGTTGCTATTTACACAGCCATTGTATTGCCTAAAATTGGATAAATTCATAAAATCGCACAAGTCCCCCGCTAAGCCGTCGCTATTTGTACTTAGTTTAAATGATTGAGTCGAATCGTTAAAGCTATCCCAACTAGCGTTAGAAATATTGAAATCTCCAAGTATTAGAAAATTATCATTTAGATTATTTGGCAAAATGTCAAATGTGTTGTCGTAAAAGTTTTGTAAAGATTCAGAATGATTGTTACCGTGCGGGAAGTAACAGCAAGCTACGTGCAAGTTAGAGGAAGCGGCGGCGCGACAAGGTCGGGGCGCGGGGCGGGAGGGGCGCGCGGCCCCCACCGCAGTGGTGGTGGCGGTGTCAAGCTCGAGCGTCACCCACAGCTCCTCGGCGGCGGGCCCCGAGCGCCACTCGGGCCGGGGCCGCGCGCGCAGTTCGCGTCGTGCCGCTATGAGCACGCCGCCGCCCCGCGCGCCCTGCCCGTCCGTGGATTTCCTATCTTGCCTAAAAACAATGTATTTGGTATGGAAGTATTCTGCATCGTGATAATCCGGAGTTAGCCAGGTTTCGGTCAGGACAATTAAATCGTCCCCCCCCCAACGTGCGTTCACCTTGTCGTGGTGGGGGGGCTCAGTAGTGCCCGGCAACCCAACCGGGCGCGAAGCCAAGAAACGCACAGGGAGGTTGCCCACTTCGGTGGGCGGTGGGAGGTGGCCCTCTTCGGAGGGCGGTGTACTATGCGGGTTGCTCCTGGTACTTCTCTGATAGCAGAGTGGACTGTGGAGCAACCCCGTGGTTGTTATGGTCTGCTTCGGCAGACATGCCGTTGGGGCGTCGTAGTTGAATGCGTTAGCGATCCTGCGACGCCCCATTAAGACGGGGGAAGGTTTTGTTGGGTTTTAGTGGGTAGTACTGGTTTTGCCGGTGAGTCCCACACCTCGTGCGTAAATGCATTTCCCAACGTTAAAAAAAAAAAAAAAAAAAAAAGGACAATTACATCGTAGTCGCTCTGTAGAACATTAGCTAAGAAAGAGTGTGATTTAGTGCGTAATCCTCTTACGTTCTGGTAGTAAATTGATAAGGAATTAAACGAAATCAGATTGAATATATAAAATATACAAACAAGAAAATTATTATATATAAATAAATTATTATATAAAAAAAAAAATATTTTGATCAATTCTGAGGTATTGTAAAGTACCTTTCTCGGGTTTGTATCGTTAAAATCTATAAAAAAGAACATAAAGGACAAAAATATAAAACAATATGATTGGCAGTATGTAATACCAATTAGTATTTCTTTATAATTGTTGATAAAATTCGTGGGTACAATATATACAAATAACTGGTGTATGTGAGTGATTTTTGTTGTATCTATTGCTATTGATAAGTGCATGTATTTCTGCATAATGAATATCAGATAATAATAAAATAAATTAATAACAAAGACGTTATGCGTTGGGAGTAAACATAAGAAGCTTATTTTAGAACAATGCGTGAAACATAAGGGAAAAAGAAAAAATAACATTATAAATATTAATAAATCGACGAACAACGATGACACAAATAGTCATTTAATTTTAAGTAGGTCACTCTCGCACGAAATACGTATGATACTAGAATTATCATTTTTACGAATAAGTATCTTGCTGTCTTTAACCCACAAGTATGAATAGTTTTTTTCGAGTTTAAGTTCGCGTGCTCGCTTTAGTAGTAGTTTGTTCGTTGGAGTGAGGTGATCACCAATGTACACGGTGCTCGCCGGGCCGGGCAGTCCGATGTGTGCGGTGGTGAGGCCGCGGCGCGCGCGCACGGCTGCGATCAGCTGATCCTTGCGCCGCCGCTGGCAAAACCGCACTATAATAGACGCCGGCCGAGTAGGTTCATTGTTGCTTTCCGTCCTACTCGACGGGTATGGACGCACTCGATGTATAGAATCAATATCATGATCCCTCAATTGAAAACCCACAGTTGCGCATAAGTCATTTAATATTGTATAGACGTTTTCACCTTTTTTTGTCGGTATACCGGAAATTTCTATGTTGTTCTGTCGCGAATATTGATCGTGTGAATTATTTTGCGCTTTTAATTCAGCTATAGTTTTTTGTGCCGATAATAAGTCTAAAAAGACTTACAAAACTATACTATCTACGTTATCCGTTGTGCAAAAGCACAACGGATAACGTAGATAGTTTTTGCTCTGAAGAGGTCAATCTACGATCGAATTCAATAAATCGACCTTCCATTGTGTCAAGTTTGCTGCTCAATTCTTTTATATGTTGCATGGTGCATTGAATATCAGATTTTATGTTAGTAAATTCTACCTTCATCGTGCTAAAATCGTAACGAAAACTTTTTATCTCTTTTAACACGTCTGACAAAGAGGGGTGTGTCTCCGTGAGTTGAGGTGAACGGCAAGTAATGCACCGCCAGCCGGCTTTTTTTTCCACTCCCATTTTTCTGTAGCTAAGCTCCGAAACCCCGGCACAAACATAGTGGTACTGTCCACCGCACTTATTGCACAACACAAAATCCTCAACAACATCGTTGCACTTTGGGCAGATCATATTATTAAACTTTAAAGTTCAAAAAAACAAATATATTAATAATTTGTAAGTAGGTAAATGTAAATAAACTAAGGAGCTGATTTATTGCATCCGTCACTTACGAGAGCGACAACCGGACTGATATACAATAACATATACAATAAGAAGATATAAACAATAGATGATGCATAGTAAATCATTAGTAAAATACATAGAAGAGATGTCAAACTCACGCATCAGCGAGCGCGTCGGCGGCGCGGGCGCGCTGCGCGCCGCGCAGGCGGTCGCGCGCCAGCCGCGCCGCGCGCAGCGCCGCGCGCTCCGCCAGCCGCGCCGCGCCGCCCGCCGCGCCCGCCGCGCTCGCCGCCAGCAGCAGCTCCACTGCTTCCCACCATTCGCCTCTGCAGGGTACGTTTACTGACATAAATATTATAGTCCTACCGCACACCGCGCTCGGTGAGAAAATTAACAAAATTGACGCTCAACAACTGCACTCTCACCGAGTCCTACTATAGATAAAAATCAGTGACCCAATAAGTGCAGAAAATCATTCATGAAAAACTGTCAGGTCATTTAGGAGGGGAAGAATTCCGAACGTAAGCGTACCGAATTTTTATTTAGGTATACATATACTGGTTTTAACACACATTACACATTGCTGCAATATTCATGACATCCATTCTCTTAATCTTAGCTGAATGAAACAAGACCAATAAGTCCCTAAACATACTTTAACACTTATTATAGTACCCAATCAGTATTTGGGTCCCTATCTCCTAGGTAGCGTAATGTAACAACAGATAGATAGTACTGCTAGGTCGTTCAGGTGCTCTCAACCGCACTTACCACCCTATTAATAGGGCTCTACGGATCGGGTAGTGTAATAAGCCTATTAATGAACTATAATCAAAACAATAGTCTTCTTCCTGCTAACATTCCCCGCTAATTAAAAAAAATGTTTATTATAATCATAAAGCAGTATCCACCTGTCGGCGTGGTCGGCCGCGCGCTGCAGCAGCGGCGGCACGGCGGGCGGCACGGGCTCGGCGCCGTCCGGCAGGTACTCGCGCGCCACGCGCCGCGCCTCCTCCCACAGCTCTGCGCACACGCACCAGTGTATATACTCGTAGAGACACAGTCTACTGTCCACACAATCGTCTAGACAGGACATTCAGACGAGGACGTGCGTGAGGTACATCCGACTTTCTTACTTTTATATGACAATTGGGAGACCGGTTTATGGTTGATGGCACTACAGAGCTTTTACTTGGAAACCATTCAACATTAATATTGATATTTTTGACAACCCTAGCAATTGCATGACAAACAGCATGGAGCATTATGTATGGGTTTTTATACTGTGGTAGTTTCCTTTGTGCTATATACATATACATTTTACAGAATACACTCACTACGCTGTAACATGCCTGTACACTTATTTATTAAAAATCCATAAATGTTAAAATCTACTTTCGTTGCCATATGTGTCCCGCAAGAACATAATAGTTTCTTATAATCTACACATATAATAAAACTGTAGAGGTCGAATGTCTGTACATAGAAAAACAATGCTAAAAACCGAGTCAGGGGGATGTAAGAAGAGAAATATAACAAATTCAGATCTTTTAATTTTTTTGTTTCTCTATCTGTTTACCTGTTTGTATGGGCTAATCTCTGAAACTGTTAGACCTATTTAAATGAAATTTATCATTGTGGTACCTTATGTCCCCGGTCAACATTTTAGATACTTTTCTTCCCGCAAAATTAAAGAGTTCCCGTGGGATATTTACAAAACTATAGTAACTTATACAGCTTAGTTTTTGACACAATAACTTATGCGCCTAATTTAGAAAAAATTGGCATGCTGATACCTTATGTTGCCGGTCAAATAACAGATTACTTTTTATCCCGGAAAAATGAACGGTTCCCATAGAATAGATCTGTTTGTGCTTTTCTAGAGGCGAACCCGAGCGAAACGAGGGTGAGCCGGTAGTTGAAAATATACTTATGAAGTTTCTGTTCAAAATAAATGCCATAACAAGATGAATAACCTAAATCCTTATAATGCTGCACAACTTCTTTGGGCCTGTTGGCGCGTATCATGAGCGCCTCGAACTGCACGAGGTCTCCCCGCTCGGCGGCGTCACGCGCGCCCGCCACCAGCACGTCGTCTACCTTTGTTTTAATTATATGTATAATATCATATTTATATACGATTAAATTAATATTGATTAAAATTATACAATTTTTATTAGAAAAATATACAAAGATTATCATGAAGTTATTCTTACAAACAAGCACAACTAAGTTTCATAATTCATAACTTTTTCATTGATTGAGATATTATAATAATTCTTTCATATTTTTGTTATGTTTTACTTAATTTTTTATAATTAATACATTAAAAAATTGGAAACTTCTCCATTATATATAAAAAAGAACTATAATATATAGAATATATAAAAATCTCCGAAACGGCTGAACTGATTTTGAAGAGACTTGCACTGACAGATAGTTGATGTTATAAGGAGTAACTTAGGCTAATTTTATTTTACAATAATAATTAGAGTTCCGTTAAAAAAATTAAAACGTACCTAGGGACGCACCCGGACGAAATGAGAACAAGTCTCTTGTTATAACCATATAAGTCATAAGAACATAGAAAACCCTAACCATATGCTGTGCGTGCTGCTCGGCGAGCGCGAGCGCGCGCCGGCACTGTCCCTGCGCGAGCCACATACGCACGGCGTCGGCGGGCGCGCCGGCGCGCAGGAAGGCGGCCTCGGCGTCGTCGGGGCGCGCCTCCGCCAGCGCCGCCGCTTCGTGCCGCGCCACCTCGCGCTTGCTCACGCCGCCGCCTAGCGCGCTCAGCTCCATCGCTATGTCCCACCTAACAATAAATAAATAAATATGTTGGGATATTCGCACACAGCACTATCTAGTTCCATGGTAAGCTACGAGGCCTGTGTCACATATAATAAAATTGTAACTAAGCCGAATCTGTACATTAAATATTTTTTGGAAAATCTTATTGAAATAGACATTATTATCGATACAGAGGACGAATCTATAATTTTAGAATTTTTGTCTGTCTGTCTGTCTGTTGCCGCAACACGGAAAAACCACTGAAGGGATTTTGATGAAATCTCATTCTATTCATGACCAAAAATAAAAATAAAATCGCAACAAAAAAAAACAGAAAAAATTGTATTATTTAAGATACATATATAACTTCATTATTATTGATTATTACTTCTTCTTAGTCTATATAAATCACATTATTATTTAATATAGACATCGAATGTTATGTTAATATATAATTTTATTTCAATAAATAGACCGATTCGGTACTTAAATATCATATCATGAAATATTTCATAAACTACTTACATACAAAGTATGTTTAAAACAATTTTTGTTAAAGGAATTTTGAAAGCTCTATTATCACAAAATAATTCATAATTTTCTGAACTCTACTTCAAACGTTAGGCTATTACATTTGGACTGACAGACATGGCGAAATTCGAATCCTAAAATTAAAATACATATCCATAAAGCTATATAAAATCAAATGTAGAACAACCTCTGCGCCTGCAGCGCCCACTGTGCGCCGACGGCGGCGAGGCCGCGCGCGGCGAGCAGGCGCGCGGCGGGCGCGGCGGCCAGCGCGCCGGCCCACTGCAGCGCCACTTGCTGCGCCGCCGCCGCCGAGTGCGCGCGCGCCACACGCTCCGCGCTCTCCCACTGCCCCGCCGACCGGTACATCGCGACTGCGTTCTTCCAGTCGCCTGTGCGTGTACGTAGGTAATATGTAGTTGAAACAGACAATCCACAAAACGTTTAGTCTTATACATTTTACTAATAATAAAAAACATTGTTAATAAAATACATTGTTGGAATCTTAATTTGTAGTTATAAGGAATTATTGTCTGTTTTATGTCAGAGAGTAGCATAAAATCTGTGGTCAAGTGCAATAAAAACTTCAATTAATTAATTTGCATGTGTTCATTATTTAGCCCGATTAAATATAATAACGAAATATAACATACATAATATATCTAAACACAATTTAGTCAATCTCTCCTATTTAATGATCGCTAAACAGGTGGCGGGTTTTAATCAACTTTTTTTAACCGCATATATAAATAAATGGCTAGTCTCGGAGAGTTTGAACTTTGACCGCCATGGCCGAAATCTGTAAAATAGAACACTATATAGATAGATAGATAGCAGACACAGACCAGCCTGCACATAGTACGTCTCGGCGGCGCGCAGGTCGCCGGCGGCGTGCAGCGCCTGCGCCACGTGGCGCCGCGTGGCCTCTAGCAGCGCGCCGCGGTGCGCCGCCACCAGACGCAGCATCGCCTCGTATTGCGACGCTTCCTGCGCAGTTACACTTATATATCCACATATACAACAGTATTTTGTTCTTAATTAGGGTAGTTCAAATTGTAGGGTAGTTCAAAAATAACAAAATTTACACCTTCTATAATGATTAATCTGTGTTCAGCTTTATTAGTTAATTCATGTATATTTTCCCTCACTCTCTTCTACACTCTGTGGTCATTGCGTTAAGTATTGATAATTGTAACTTTGTTTAAATTAATTCATATACTTAAAAGACCAACAAGTTACTAGTAAAGTTAGCAAAAAACTATCTTTATTTATAATTCACAAAAATATATCCACCGATTTCCACGTAATATTAAATTATCCCAAATCTCATATAACATAAATTTTAACTATAGTGTAAATTTAATATCAATATCTTAAAATCCTTACTTTATACATAGATATGGCCGCATCTGGATCTCCAAGACCAATATAAATCTGCTCAGCTTTTCTCAACTGTCCCTCCTGCCTTAACTGCAGAGCGAGAGGTAAGAATATGTCCTTAGTTTGCTCTTCGGACAAATGCGTCAAGGCTAGACGTAGTCCGTCAGCTATCTTGCCCGCGTTGGTGTACGCGCGGACGCAACGCTCCACCATGTTGCAAGATATAAGGACACGTTCTGCAGTTTCCCATTCCTATGCAAGAAAGATACTCTGTTAATTTGTCTATGGCATTTAGAATATAAGTTTCATTTTTTCCATTTCTAATTCACTCAAATCTATTAAATCACTCTGAGAGCGTCCAGAAGTAACAATCACAAACTTTCGCAGTTTGGTATATTCAAAATAATAATCCATTTTAATGTAAAGTTTCTTATCTCCTTGTTGCACAGTAATAGTACAACAACGTTTTAATAGAATTTTAAGCTCTACAAATGTTATAACTTATTCGTAACCACACCTGAATGAAAGTTTTTAAAGGGGATCAAAACTTACTTGAATGGATATAAAGTGATTTCCGAGTTGCTCGCATTGTTCACGAATGCTTTCCTTGTCATCTATGACCTTTAATAAAGTTAAATATATACAATAATAATAATAATAATAATAATAAGCCTTTTTTATTTCCTTAATTTAAATTCACAATTGGTTTAACATTATTAGGTTTTGATTTGATTAGATAGTTGAATATTTATATGTTACATAATAATTCGATGACTAACTACATAATTATAATGAGATACATTAAGTTATGATCCAAAGAAATTATATCTAGCAATTCTTTTACATAATCTATATTAAATTTAGTTTTATATATTAATCATTATCATTATTTTTATACGCATTATTATAAAATATAAAAAACATTGTTTAACAATTCTTTAGTTTGATTAGTTATTATTTTTATGCAACATTATAATTATTTAAACTATGAAAAAATAATAATTAAGAAATTAATTAACTTATAATATAAATAAGTTACACTTAGCTGATTATAATTATATAAGTTAAATGAGATTTTACACATTTTCATCACAATTTTTTTTTTTTTGTTATCATAGCTATATACTATAAGTTATTTAAAACTAGGTATTTTTATTTATTTTAAATTAAGGACCTCTCTTCGAGTAAAGGCCTCCTCCATTTGTCTCCAGGTGGTTCTTTCTTTTGCTGTGTCTACCCAGTCTGTCCCTGCTGTTTTTAGTACCTTGTCTATCCATCTCCCCATAGGTCTTCCTCTTCTTAATAATAATACTATATTAAATTTAAATTTAATTTAAAATTAAATATAATTCTTTAATAATAATACTTTTGTAACATTGCTTTAAAGATTCTTGTATTTGGTGATAGAATTTTGTTATTTCCTCATCATTTGCTTCAATGGTTGGTGCATGAACTTGAATAATGGAGAGTGTATTATATTTAAATTTAAGATTGAGTACACATATTCTTTCAGATATAGCTATAAAACTTTCTATATTTGATTTGTCTCTTTTTTATAATAAATCCAACTCTATATTGACCTTTGGTTTCACCATAGAAGTAAAATATGTGATCTTGATCTTCTAGAATATTGTAGCCCATTCTTCTTATTTCTGCGAGTCCAATTATGTCGTGTTTTGTTTTTGATATACTTTCTTTAAATTCAAGGAGTTTTTCATCTGATGATAGAGATCTAGCATTGTAGGAGCATATGTAAAGTGGTGTGTGTGACTGGAGTGGAGGGTTGTGGTCAATGACCCCCGCGGTGACCGGCCGTGTTGGGGGACGTAGAGGTCGTAGGCTCTTGTCAGTTACTTTCAGTATTCCTTGCAGCTTGATGTAAATAGCCTTCGCCATTACTATCATTAGGTTTGGTTTTAATTAAATATTGTGTTAATTCTAATTTATTTTTCTTAGGTTGTTTTTTAGAATTATTGTTTCTTCCATTAGTAGGGTTAGTTTGGGTTTCAGGCGATTGAGATAGGTTTCTCTTCTTGCGGTCATGCTGCGGATTTTCATTCTTATTTTTTTCAGGTAGAATTATTATTTTATTATATTTTATGAATGCTTTTCTTCCTTTTTCTCTTTCTTGTCGTAACTGAATGCTTAATTTCTTTCTTTCTTCAAGGATCTCAGGAGGAAAGTCCTCTTTTATGTAGTATGTGGTGTTTTGTAATAATTTTTTATTTTTCAATAGTTCTATTTTTTTCCAGACTGTACAGAAAGTGACAATTATTGGTCTTATTTTATTAGATTTCTTTCCCAGACGTCTACAGTACTCTATGTCTTCCTGGCGGCAATTTAATTTCATATTGGTTGTTATCACATTTATCAGTATATTTTGTAGATCGAAATAATTTTTTTCAGTCTCTTCAATTCCAAAAAAGAGCAAGTTTTTCCTTCTGATAACCTTTTCTAGTTGCTTAATTCGGCGTCCTTGTGCTTCTGTGTTTTTTCCAATTCAAATTGTTTAGTTTCTATAATAGTGAACTTTTCATCAATATTTTTGTTAATTTTTGTTGGAATACTTTCTTTCATTTCTTTTAACTCATTTGATTGTTCTTCGAATTTTAATTGTAAGGTTTTAATCATTTCTACAATTTGTTCCATTGTAAAGTATTATAATGAACTATTATTTTTATATAAACTGGTAATTTTTAATACTAGCGCCCTCTTGTGTTGAATATCCGTATTACGTAGTTTACTTTCAATAAATGCTTGTTGACAGTTTTTGGTAGTTCAAGCATGGGATAACAGATGTCGCTATTGGTTTTAAATATTCGTAATTTATTATGTAATAAGTTTGAAAAAGTCCGTTTTATTTTAGGTTATGTTAACTGTTTTTGCACTGTTTTAAGGATTGTCTCGTTTTTATTACACTTTTTTGCTATAGTTTTGCTTAGAAATCACACGGAGTTCAAATATTTCAGTTTATACACACAATTAAACTGGAATAAATCCAAAAGTATGAGACACTGTCTATATACGTTTTTAACACTAAGTTCTTCTTCTAAACACAGTATTTCACATTTTTAGCAGTTTTTAAGTCTAGATTTACGATCTGGTAAGTATTTTGTACTATTTTCTTTAATTTAACTATTTTTAAACACTATAAATACACAGAGACGATGTTAACAGTTGCACCGTAGCGCCACGACACAAATATATACAATATAATATGATAAATAGATACGAAATGTTAATATTTATTTAAATACTCGTAGATACTAATGATACAACCTTGATTTGCTCGACTCTATATTCCACGCGTTTTACTTTGCAAGCAATTTTTATTACTTTGTTTTTGCAATATATGTCCCCATATGTTTTTTCGTCCTCCAACATACATCCACATAGATTTTGTCCCGAGTTCGAATCTGGGCCAATTAAGTGGTTTTTTCAAGAGATGTTTAGTAATAGCCAAAAATAGATGGTCCTACATCCTCACGCCTCTGAAAACACGAGACCTCCTGATCTCTTACCGCGAGTGTCCATTTGTCGTGTAATCTAACAAATATGAGCCCAACGCGAACCTCCATAATCTGCAGCGCCTTCTTGTAATGGTGCGCCTTGATGGCGGCGAGCAGCGCGTCGACGGTGCGGCCCGCCTCGATCAGGTGCGGCACGGCGGCGCCGGCCTGCCGCCGCGCCGCCAGCCACGCGCCCCACGCGCCCTCCAGCCGCGTCACCGCGCCGGGACACGCCTGGGGGAGTCCCCGTCGGAATTACAGATCAAATCGAATCTGGCTCCACCCGCGTAGATTGTTTATTTTTATTAATTATACCTACTAGCGACTCACCCTCGCTTCTCTCGGAGTCATCCCTAACTTGCTTTCCAATATAAGCTTTTATCCCCATTCTTACACCCCTAAGGGACGGTTTCCGGGATAAAAAGTATTCTATGTCCTTCCCAAGGTCTCAAACTATCTTCTTACTAAATTTCATCAAAATCGGTTCAGTAGATGCAGAGATTACGCCCTACAACGTCACAAACCCACAACATCACAAACTTTGATGTGTCAATTATATTAATGTAAAGTTTAATTAAAATCCGTTTAGTAGTTTTCTTGTAAAAGAGTAACAAACATACATCAATTCAAACATCTTACAAATTCTCGCATTTATTATAATATAACCTATAATAGACTATTGAAGAGCACTTTTGAATCGTCAATTTCTACATATTTTTTTTAATTGAAATTAATCAGTGCAGCATGTAAGTCCGTCAGGAAACTATAGGCACTACTAAAACAGTTCTGCTGAAACTTGAAAGGAACTTACGAGAAACTCAACAGTTGCTCTTTTAAAATTTTTTATTCCCGTGAGGAGACGGGTTTAGAATACATTTCTCCTCCGCCGCTGGGAAAGCGTCTCGTAAAAGGCGAGTAACCCATGCCAGTATGGTGGTTGAGGGCACTGCTCTCGACTGGCTCGCGAGTCGTGAGCAGTGCCCTCTCACTTTTTATGCGGTGGTAGGTCTCGCAAGGGGCCGCCTGGAAGCTACCACCCTCCTGTCGGAATCAGACGCCAAGCAGCTTACTGCGTTCCATCTGCGAGCGGGAGAACCAGAGCCTTTTTTGGGGAACAGATGGATTTCAGTTGCGCTACTTATTACTAGTCTGGGCTTCAAAGTAAAGCTATACCGGGAGACTCATTTTGGAGGGTAGCGGGATCCGAGGCACGGTCTTGCCGTTGGCCGACCGCAGGTAGTTGGGGGCCCAAGTAGCGCGCCAGCCACGTGCGAAAGGCTGCCCCGCCAACTCGCGAAAAATCCCGAAGTGCTCCACCGTGCCAGTTGGCGACTGGATGGGAGGACCCGGTGGCCATTTTCGGGGGGGCTCGGGCGTCCCCGCGGTCTCCAAATGAGTTTCCCTTCAGTTGGCTAAGCTCTGAAGTCCTGTAGGTTTATTGAGCGGCGCCTCGATTTCCTACTGTTTCCCCATCAACACCCAAACCACAATGACCAAAGTTACGAAGAAGAAAAAGTTAAATCAACGGCTGCACTTCCTCCCACTGAAAGTGCACCTCATAAACATCAGAGGATTGCACTCCAATCTCGATCCGGTCCACCACCACCTCGAGACCGAGAAGCCGCACCTTTTCTTCTTAACGGAGACGCAGATAGCAACACCGTCAGACGTGGCGTACCTCAACTACCCAGGCTACACGCTGGAACACAATTTTAAACCGCATGCTGGGGCCTGTGTGTACGTGCGTGACGATATCTGCTGTCGGCGTCTCCGTTGCTTTGAGGTTTCAAGATTCTCGACTGTGTGGGTTTTGTTGGATACCGGCGTAGAGTCTACCCTCTATGCCTGTGTCTATCGATCGCATAGCGGAGACCAGGAGACGACCAGGCTATTTGAACATCTGTCAGAGATGGCCGATAAAGCCCAACAACGGTACCCGACGGCACAGCTGGTTTTCCTTGGGGACTTTAATGCCCACCACAAAGAGTGGTTGTTCCCCTACAAAATCACTGACCATGCTGGGAGAGAAGCGCGCAAATTTGCGTTATCCCTAGATCTCACTCAGCTGGTCCATGTTGCGACGCGGGAACGATGCATACGCGCAATTGCTTAGACCTTCTGCTGACAACAGACCCGGACAGGCACTCGATATCGGTAACGTCCCCGTTGGGATCGTCCGATCACAATTTGGTGAAGTCCGTATCGATCTTCTCTCCTCCGGTTGAATGCCCAGTGGGTACGAGGAGAGTATGGCGATACGAGTCAGCGGACTGGGATGAGATGCGACACTTTTTTGCATCTTACCCTTGGCGGCAAGTCTGCTTTTCTTCGATCGACCCCTCATGCTGTGCTGATGCGGTTGCGGATGTGATACGGCAGGGAATGGAATACTTCATTCCGTTCTCCGACATCCCGCTCGGCCACAAAGCCAAACCCTGGTATAATGCGGACTGTGCTCGTGCGGAGGCGCGAAAAGAGGCCACCTACCAGTCATGGGTTTTGGCTCGCGATCGCAAAGTCAGAGCTCGGAGGGTTCGTGCGAAGAAAAGAGCTTTTAATTCTGCTACCAAGTTTTGCAATAAGGTTCTCCGTAGGGCACGATTTGATCATGTCAGTCGTATAGGAGCCAGACTTGCTTCCTACCCTCCTGGTAGTAAGCAATTCTGGTCCCTGTCCAAGGCTGTTGAGTCCAATTTCTGCCGTCCGTCTTTGCCTCCCTTGCAAAAACCAGATGGATCACTGGCTCACTCCGCGGTAGAGAAAGCAAATTTACTTGCAACTCTGTTCGCAAGCAATTCACGTCTAGACGCTGGCTCTAAACATCCGCCAACTTTGCCTCATTGTGATTCTTCGATGCCGAAGATCACAATACACACGAAAGAGGTCCGTAAAATACTACAAAATCTTGACGTGAATAAGGCCAGTGGACCTGACGGTATACCTTCAAGGGTTCTAAGGAATTGTGCGCCTGAGTTGTCTCCTATACTGACTCGCCTGTATCGCCTCTCTCTCCAAACTAGTACAGTGCCCAATTCTTGGAAGCTTGCCAATGTGCAACCAGTACCTAAGAAGGGTAGTCGTGCTGATCCCTGCAACTATCGACCAATCGCCATTACCTCCATACTCTGTAAAGTTATGGAAAGAGTACTTAACAGTAAGTTGTTGTCATACCTCGAATCTAATGATCTCCTTAGTGACCGTCAATATGGCTTCCGCCGGGGACGGTCTACTGGGGACCTTCTTGTGTATGTCACGCACTGCTGGGGCGAGGCCATCGAAAACCGTGGTGAAGCTCTAGCAGTCTCACTCGATATTTCGAAGGCATTTGATAGGGTTTGGCACGCAAGTCTACTGAGCAAGCTTCCTGCTTACGGCATCCCCTCCGACTTCTGTAACTGGGTATCCGACTTCTTAAACGAACGGTCGATCAGAGTAGTCGTTGACGGTTGCTCTTCTGATTCAATGACTATCGAAGCCGGAGTTCCACAGGGGTCTGTTCTCTCTGCGACTCTCTTCCTGCTGCACATCAATGACCTGCTTTCACCTGGTATTGTTGCGTATGCAGATGACAGCACAGTCATAGAGAGCTATGTGTCCGGTGCAAGGGACGGAGGGGTAACAATATGCACTTTGAGAGAGGCCATGGTGGAGCGTACAAATGCAACCTTAAGTCTTGTGTCACAATGGGGTGACGACAATCTGGTTGACTTCAACGCCGCCAAAACGCAGGCCTGTTTGTTCTCTGCAAAAAGGAGTCCATTCAGCCTGACTCCTACTTTCCGTGGTGCACATGTGGAAGTATCCGACGGTCTAGAGCTTCTCGGTATAAGGTTGAAGGCAAACCTTAACTTTGGCGATGACATCGAGTCGAAGGCACAGACTGCGGCCAAAAAACTGGGTATCCTAAACAAGGTTAAGCGATACTTCACGCCTGGACAGCTTCTCAATTTATACAAAGCCCAAGTCCGATCATGCATGGAGTATTGCAGTCACCTTTGGGATGGCTCTGCAAAATACCAACTTGCCGCTCTTGACTCGGTGGAACGCAGAGCTAAAAAGCTAATCGGCGACGAAAAGCTTGTGAAAACTAAGCTTCACAGCTTAGCACACCGTCGCCAAGTTGCTTGTCTGTCGGTTTTCTACAGACTGTACTTCGGGGAGTGTGCCCACGAGCTCCACAGTCTCATACCGCCATCGCCATTCTTATATCGGAACACCAGACGTACTGCAGGATACCATCCTTTCTTGGTTGACATTCCGACCACTCGCACTAAGCGCTATTCATCATCTTTTATATTGCGCACAGCCAAGAAATGGAATGCCCTGCCTGCGTCTGTTTTTCCGAGAGCGTACAACTTGAAACTTTTTAAGGTGCGTGTCAACAGGCTTCTCCTGGGCAAACTCGGTACATCATAGACCTTATCTATACATTTAAAGTAAGATGAAGGTCAAGAGTGAGCCTATTTTTAATAAAAAAAAAAAAATATATATTTAATAATTTTGAATTATATTGAATCAATAGAGAACTTATAGGTATTAAGGTAAAGATAATAATGCAAAGCACAACGATAAATACATATATATTTAAAGCAAATTAAATTGACAAACCTCTCGAGCAAGCTGAACGGCTCTCGCATAGTTATTGCCTTTAGCGTAGTATTCCACAGCAGTTTTATTGTCTCCTGTACGCTCCGAAAGCTCTCCAGCCATTTCCCACCATTCTTCCTAAAATATTTCGTATTTCGTAAATAACATATTTAAAGCAATTTTTAATTAATATTTTCTTATATTTTAAAATATAATTGAATTGTAGCGAAATGTACAAATACATTAATAAAAAGCGAAACAAAAAAAAATTGAAAAAACTTCAAGACACCTAAAATGTACGCCTAAAATCTGTCATTTTCTTATTTTATATTTTTATATAGTTTATGACACTCGCATTATCAAGGCGAATCTAAAGCAAAATCGATGGACCTCTATGAGTTACGATGGAATCAATCGAAGCGGAGTTCCATACATACATCATATCAAGCATCAGCATATCAGATCAAACAAACACCCTTTTGGATACTACCGTAGTTGATTAAAAAGAAACTTATTTTAAATCAAGTCAAATCAAATCAAAATATTTTATTCAGCATTTAATTATTACAATTTTTTACTGAACGTCATGAGTCTACTAACAGTTAGGAAAGAAGAAGCCTGAGAAGAACTGGCGAAAGAAACTCAGCGGGACCAATATCTTAAAGTATAATCTTTTTTAAAGTCTGGACTCCTATATGTATGTTAGAATGGTAATGTGCGTGCGTACCCTGACGAGGTGGTCGCGCACGGCGCGCAGCAGGTCGTCGTCGCGCAGCAGCGCGGGCGCCACCAGCAGCGCGGCGGCGGCGCGGCGCGCGCGGCCGCCGCGCAGCCACAGCCGCACCGCGCCGCGCGCGTCCCCGTCGCGCGCCACCGCCGCGCCCGCCTCGCCTAGCCGCCCTGTAATATAAAAATTATAAATATGTTGGGATATTAACACAGAGCACCATCTAGTTCCATGCTACGTAAGCTACGGGGCTTGTGTTGTAAATGCCAGATAGTATAAATATGTTTAATTTAATATATAGTTATAAAAAGTATATGCTAATTTAGTATCGAGTTTACACTGGCTGGCAATAGCTTTTTAATTTGTTGTAATGACACTCCAGTAAGAGTAAAGAAATAAAATGAGTTTGACAACATTCAACATACATTGTGGTATTTTATTTTAGTTAAAAGTAAATAAGTTAACAGTACGTGCAAAATACATCTGGTGCCAAAACCCGGGATATAGTGTGAAAAACAATAGTTAAAATTAAGTGAAAAAAGATAAAAAACGAACATTTTAGAACTTTGATTTAAAAGTATTTGGTTCATATATAATTGACGTTTGTTGTTGCATCTTCTCTAAGATATAATTCATTGTTTGCGTTTGACTTTACAAACAATAGTAATTTGTGAAAATGGAAGGTTTATTGAACAAACAAGACGCTATAGCTGAGCTAATTATTAAAAACTTTACTAATTACAAAAAATCACCCAAAGAAAGAGTGACGAAAGCATACATAGAAGTTAGAACAGAGAATTTAGAAAAATCTTGGAACGAGTTTACGGATAGTCATTTTCAATTAGTGGCTTCGGTAAAGTGGTCTGAGCGGACGATGCTAAAATATTTTAGCGAAGAGATATATGATAGTACAGAAGAAATATATATCACATACAAAACTAAGCTAAAAGAAGATTTAGAAAGCCGAACCAAGCCCGCCCTTGAATACAATGTATCCTCAGCTACACCGGTATCATCTGCAACGGAAATCAAGCTCCCTAGAATTCAACTGCCTACATTCTCAGGTATCTATGAGGAATGGCAAACATTCTACGATATGTTTGTATCTCTTATCCATGAGAATCAGACACTAAGTTCAAAAGCTTCATTACCTAAAGAGCAGCTTGTCGGGTGAACCTGAGGTTCTATTACGAGATTTATCTACTATTGGAAATAACTATGATGAGGCCTGGAACAAATTGATAAAAAGATACAATAATAAACGTTATAATGCAAATGAGATACTGAAACGCTTGTTTTCTCAAAAGAGTATTAACACAGAGTCTGCTTCAGCGATTAAACAAACACTCGATACAACAACTTCATGTATTAAATCACTAAAGAATTTAGGCATTAACACAGACTCTTGGGATGTTCTTATCAATTATTTAGTGGTATCCAAACTTGACTACGAGTCCCGAAGACAGTGGGAGATTGAGGTTTGTCATTTTGATTTTGAAGATTTGCCTACATGGGAACAGTTAGTTAGGTTTTTAGAGATGAGATTCCGGACATTAGAAATGATGGATGGAGTAAAAACCACTACAAAATTTGCTCAAAATAGTACAACTAAACAAGTATCTAAACAAAAGTCATTTCATTCAAGCGTTTTAGAGGAGAAAAAGGAAAATAATAAATTAGAATGCGCGTACTGTTCGAGTCAACATCTTTTGTACCAATGCAAACAGTTTGGTAGCAAGTCCCCCGAAGAGAGAAGTGAGTTTGTGCAATCCAAGGGACATTGCTTTAATTGTTTGTCTCCCAACCACAATGTAAGAGGCTGCCACCAGGCTACGTGTTGTCGCCGTTGTGGCAGAAGACACCACACATTACTCCACTTTGAGAGAGGTCTACGTCCAGAAGCAACCGCTTCGTCTAAGGTTCCTGAGAAATTGCTGAGTCAAGAGTCGAGTAAGGAGAAAAACATAATAGCTCATTTTGCTCAAGAGGAGAATCAATCAGAGGTGTTACTGGCTACTGCGTTAGTCAGAGCCAAATCAGCAAATGGCTATTCTCAAATCGTGCGTGTATTAATAGATCAGGGCTCCGAAGCGTCATTTATTAGTGAGAGTACTGTACAATCTTTAGGTCTTAAGAAAATACCTGTTAATGGATTAGTTTCTGGAGTAGGTGACGGTCAGTCTAGGACCAAGAGTATGGTTGTTTTTGATTTAGAATCACTTCATGATTCAGAGTTTTCTATTAAAGTCAATGCCTTTGTTTTAAGTTCACTAACATCTTTTCTTCCTTCTATTAAGACATCTATCATGAATTGGCCCGAGATTGAAAATTTACCGCTCGCGGATCCAAAATATGGTCAACCCAGCAAAATAGATGTAATCGTAGGTATAGAAGTTCACAGTGAGATTATGCTCAACGGATTACTGAGACATCCTTCGGAAATTGGTCCCATTGCGCAAAACACTAAACTAGGATGGATCTTGTCCGGACGTGTGACACCAAAGGACCTAGCCAATACCAGGATGATAAATCTACACCTTCAAGTAAAGGAAGACCTACTTCTGAAACAATTCTGGGAAATAGAGAGAGAGCCAGACATGTTAGGGAAACTACTAACAAAGGAAGAGATTAAATGTGAGGAAATTTATGAAGAGACTACAGTGAGAAATGATGAAGGTCGTTACGTGGTAAGGCTGCCATTTAAGAAAATAGATCCTGAAGTTAGATATGGGAAATCAAAAGAAATAGCGTACCGAAGATATCAACTGCTAGAAAGGAGATTAAAGAGAAACCCATCACTAGAAATGGAATACAGAAACGTATTAGAAGACTACGTTGAGCAAAATCACATGGAGAAGATAGAAAATAGAGAAGACATTGAGAACCCACTTGCAGTTTATCTTCCTCACCACGCCGTAGTGAGAGAAGATAAAGAAACCACAAAGGTGAGAGTAGTTTTTGACGCATCCTGTAAGGGAGTTAATAATGTTTCATTAAACGACTCATTTTTAATAGGGCTGAAAATTACAGCAGGATTTACGACACATTCTAATGAGGTGGAGACTACATCCGTACTGTATCGTAGCGGATCTTAAACAAATGTATCGTCAAGTCCTAGTAAATGAGCAGGATACAGACTTTCAGAGAATATTATGGCGCCAGAAACCTGAAGGACCTATTGAACATTTCTGATTATTGCGTCTTACTTTTGGAACCTCGTGTGCACCATATCTGGCAGTGAAAACCTTACAACAAGTAGCAAAAGATGAACAAGAGAAGTATCCAGAAGCTGCAAGAATTACGCGCGAAGACTATTATATGAACGATTTATTAACCGGATGCCAAACAGAGACAGACGCTATTGAAATATACGAGCAAATGACGAAGTTGATGGAGGCTGGTGGGTTTCAACTCCAGAAATGGTGCAGTAACAGTCCTAAACTACTAGATCACATTGAAAGAGACAAGCAGAAAACCGATCATTCATTTATTTTCAAGGCTAACAATATGATCAAGGTGCTGGGAATAACTTGGAATAAAATATCAGACAATTTCGAATACTCCTACAAATTACCAGAGCAAAAGGAGCCAATTACAAAACGTAAGGTGTTGTCAGATTTAGCCCGGCTCTATGATCCTTTAGGTTGGATCGCACCTACTATTATAATCGCCAAAATATTTATCCAAAGATTGTAGCAGTCTGGCTTGGCATGGGATGATGAGCTCCAGTCTTGCTGAATGAATGGCATGAATTCAGATCTTCATTAAATGAGGTTAATAAGATTAGCATTACAAGGTGGTTGCAGACGACAAATAATGACTTGAGAGAGCTGCACGTCTTTGCCTATGCGTCTCAGAGAGCTTACGCGGCAGTCGTGTACATGAAATGCAAAGGTACTGAGGATACTTATGAAAGACTGTTGACTGCCAAAACTAAGGTGGCGCCAATCGAAAAGGAAATCTCAATCCCTCAAATGGAGCTTTGTGCGGCAGTGCTGGCAACCAAATTGATTCATGAGGTTTCACAAATTATGAGGGTTCCGAAGACAAACTTATACGCATGGTCAGATTCAACTGTGGTCCTTGCTTGGTTAGGAGGAGAACCAAGTCGATAAGCAACATTTGTAAGCAACAGAGTGTCCAAGATACTGACTGTATTAGATCGTGATCAATGGAACCATGTAATAACGGATCAGAATCCCGCAGACTGTGCCTCGAGAGGTATGTCTATCGCTGAGCTTGCCGTTCACAATTTGTGGTGGGATGGTCCAGATTTTCTACGTCATCAAAATGAGTACAAGGTTAACCAAGGTTACGAGACGAATGAAGAAGAGAGACCCAAGAAAACTTTAGCTGCTATAGTTCAAATTAAAGAAGAATTTATATGGGAAAGATTTTCTAGTCTATCTAAGTTATTAAGAGTTTTGTCATATTATAGAAAATTTTTAAAACTTAAAATACCAAAAGGAGAAGGAGTTATGAATAAAATAGTATCAACAGAAGAGAGTAAAACAGTTTTACAAATTTGTATTAAAAAGATACAAGAGTTATACTTTCAAGAGGAATTAAAGCAGCTAAAGGCTTATGGAGAGGTACTCAAAAGAAGCGTTCTTCATACTCTTTGTCTGGATGTTCTGGATGAAAATGGTACTTTGAGAGTAGGTGGCCGAATAAGTCAAGGTCAAGAAGATTTTGCCAAGAAGCATCCAGTGATTTTACCTAGTGATAGTCATATCACTAAGCTAATAATCCTTGACGCCCATATAAAAACCCTTCATGGCGGACCTCAACTTATGTTGAACTTCTTGAGAGCGAAGTTTTGGATTATTCGTGCCAGAGAACGTGTTAAGAAGTGTTACAGAGCGTGCAATACCTGCACAAGGTATGCTCGTCAAAATAACCAACAGCTTATGGGCCAGCTTCCTGAATACAGACTGGTTCCCGACAAACCCTTTCGTAAAACAGGTGTAGATTTTACCGGCTATGTCAATCTGCGATTTTCCCCTGGCCGAGGTGCAAAATCATACAAAGGGTACATCTGTGTGTATATTTGCATGGTAACGCGAGCCATACACCTAGAGGCTGTGTCCGATTTAACCGCATCTGGATTTATAGCTGCGTTCCGGAGATTCGTAGCCCGAAGAGGATATTGTGAGCACCTATATTCTGACAACGGTACAAACTTCGTAGGGGCTGAGAAGGAATTGAGAGATATGTTAACCCGTGCTAAGTCGCAGCTATCCAACGAAATTGTCCAATTGCTAGCAAATGAAGGTACGACGTGGCACTTCATACGACCCCATGCTCCGAACTTTGGAGGTTTATGGGAAGCAGCTGTTCGTTCAACTAAGGCACACCTAAAACGAGTAGTTGGTGACGCCACACTTACTTTCGAAGAGCTCTCAACAGTACTGGCTCAGATAGAAGCTTGTCTAAATTCTCGTCCTATATCATTTCTAAGTGACAATCCAGACGACCCACTGCCGCTCACTCCAGGTCATTTTTTAGTGGGTGAGCCGTTAGTTACTGTTCCAGACGAGAACTATTCTGAAACGCCAATTTCAAGCCTTCATCGATGGAAACTTACTCAGAAGATGCTTAATGATTTTTGGCGTAGGTGGGCAGATGAATATTTGGTGAACTCAAATCAAAGGTTTAAATGGACAATCAAAAGGCTAGAACCTGAAATTAATGATATAGTTATTGTTAGGGATCACAACATTCCACCTGCAAGGTGGTTATTAGGTAGGGTTATAGAAAAGCATCCAGGAAAGGATGGTCTAACTAGGGTGGTTACTATCAAAACAAAAAATGGTATTGTTAAGCGCCCTTGTAATAAATTATGTGTACTACCTAAACCTGAAAATTAGTATATGTGTTTATTGTAATAAACTTAATTTTTTTAATCACAAAGATATATAACTTAGCTTTCTTGTTGTGATGTGATGTGATTGTGATGTTTTCTTTGTTTAAAATGTGTTGTATTTTTTCTAGAGGCTACAAATTGTACAGCTTTTGCCAGTTTGAATGTGTTCATATTATTAATAGGTGTTGTTAATATATGTACTTAAATGTTATTTGAACTGCATCCATGCACTATCTTATTCCTTTAAAATGAGCATTCACGGTGGGCGGAGTTGTTTTGATAAAGTCTATATTTTGTTTGTGTCGAGAAGCTTTTGTTGTTTTAATCTATATCATTGTAGAAAAAAGAACGAAGTTCTTTGGTGGGCGGGATGTTTAATTTAATATATAGTTATCAAAAGTATATGCTAATTTAGTATCGAGTTTACACTGGCTGGCAATAGCTTTTTAATTTGTTGTAATGACACTCCAGTAAGAGTAAAGAAATAAAATGAGTTTGACAACATTCAACATACATTGTGGTATTTTATTTTAGTTAAAAGTAAATAAGTTAACAGTACGTGCAAAATATAAATAAATATGTTGGGACATTAACACACAGAACCATCGCACATATATAACGTTAAATACATACATATTATAAATAAAAACACCCATAACTGGAGTATCGTCGTATTCGTGCTCATCACACAAATAAATGCCCCCAGCGGGACGCGAACCCACGACCGCTGGCACCGCAAATAAAGTCAATACAAACTGAGCAAAACGTGTCGTCGTATATGTATAATCCATACAATTCGCGATCACCCATTAATTTTAACGGAAATGCAGAGGTTATCAATAAAACCAATTTTATGGCAAACGGTTTTATAGTTAAAGCACCGTAGTAGATATTGCCATAATTTATTACGAACCAAATCATCACAGTTACGTTACAAAAATGATTTCAAACTGTCTCAGTGATGGTCCTAGTTTAGTTACTAAGTTTTTCTGTTATGAAAATCTGTGTTCTGAGTTACAGCCCGGAGTTTGTAAGATAGCAGTTAGTAACCCCGTAACTCATGAGCATGTATGTAAAGCCATCTGTTCTAAGCCTGATCTCTTACTGGGAGTAACAAATAGTCGTCCCATACTAGTATGAAAGTGACAAGAATAGAGAGCGCACTTGTTTTGTGCGTATACTCGTGCTCCATAATATCTCATACGTATATGACTAGTTTCAGTAAGATTAGCCACTATGGCCGAAATCGATCAAAACATTTAATTATCACATTATATTCAAAAAAGAAGTACAAACAAACACACAGTAGGTATAAGTAAAGTATTAAAATATAAGCCCACCTCAATGCTTTTGTGGACCTATTAGTCAGACTAATACAGACTAAAGTACATGAATAGTAAATACACTAACCGGTAGAAATCAAATAATCCATGTACTGTTGCTTCAAAGTGGCAACAGCTGCTCTATCCACCTTGTCCGCGAGCGCTATAGCGTCGGTCCAGCGGTTGTACTGCTTGTACATGCCGATGGCTAGCTCCGGCTGACTGGCCTTCCTCACGTAGCACTCCTCCGCGCCCGCTAGATCCCCTTTGAATATTGCCAGACGAGCTTCTACTATTGGACTGCTTAAACCTAAAGTAATGTCAAAATTTGCAAAATTGCTATACTTACTACATATTTATTAAGTACTAGCGACTCACCCTCGCTTCCTCGGGTTCGTCCCTAAATGCTTCCCAATACAATCTTTCATCCCCATATTCACCTCCCTTAGAGATGATTTCCGAGATAAAAAGTGTACTATGTCCTTCCCAGGGTTTCAAACTATCTTCTTACCAAATTTCATCTAAATCGGTTAAGTAGATCCGAAGATTACCCCCTACAACCTCACAAACAAACTTTACCTCTTTATATTATTAGTATAAAAACAATCGTATAACATAACTCCGGGTAACTTTGTACTGCTTTTGAGAATTACTATACAGTTATCGCGATTTGAGTGATCCTTTGAAATCGTAAATGCCAATCACATTGAAAAATATATTTATATGCAAATCCTGAGATAAAGACAGAAATAGCTAGCTGAGTTCCAAAGTTAAATCTACTTTCGGGTAACATTAGTTCATACTTTTTCTCACCTTAAAAACGCATTCTATCGAGTTTTACACAAAGCTGCAAAATGCAAACAGAGCAGCTGTTTCGTATGTCTAAGGAAATTATTATAATTTATTTATTATCCCATTTTTTATTCTTTGTATGGATAGTTGTTTTCTACATTTGGATACATGCATTTACTACTTGTCCGATTATCGATTTCAGAAAAAAGAAAAACAAATGTACAGAATGTAATCCAACGTTACCACGGGTCCACGCCGGTCAAATGTTACCCAAATTACTGTATTCGTCTTTTATTTGATTTATTGGCTGTCTATAACACATAGATAGCTATGTATATCAATATGTATTATAAAATAAAAAAAACTATATAAATACCTTCTGAAATATTGCCTTCTCCTTCAGCTGCAGCTAACTCAACAGTTTTATCCAAATAAAATGTTCTTGCTTCATCACCCACCTCTCTATAGCATTTGGCAGCCAACTGAGTCGTTAAAAAAGGCGTTCATTTAAAATTTATTTTATAGTATATTTTTTTAAATAACAGAGGGCAAAAAAATATTTACAGACATTTATTCGATTGGAACTTTTAAAATCTCTATTACTAGAAGGAAGAAAAATAAAAGCAAGCAGAAATATTTATTGTGTGCATTACTAGTATTACTTGTTAATTGTTCGAAGCTACAAGCGCAAAGTCCTGCTACAAATAATCTATTTTAAGGGGATTTTTACCTAATTAGCTTCACCATTTAGTATATAACCTATACCTAAAATATACTTAAGTACCTGTACATCTTTGTTATTTAGGGCTTGCTCAGCGAGCTGTCTCCATAACGACGCCACGTCGGCACTCTTGCCCACGCCGTCCAAGTACTGCGCGCAGCCTTCGATATCCCCACTGCGAATTGCTGTATCTGGGATACAAACAATGAATATGACTGTTTCTTTTCTCTTATGAGATAATTTATGGTATTTATGTTATGTTTTCTCTGCTCCCTCTCATGTTTTCTATTAGGTTTTTAGGTATAAAAGTGTAAATTGTTAGATTAAACTGTCAAAAAATTGGTTTTTAATGTAATGTAATAGAGGTATAAAATCTTTTATTTAAAATACTGCGTCTTAAGTCACTTGTCAAAAACATGCGATATGCAAAAACTTTACCAACCTTACCTATCGGACTACTAACTAGTGTCTACTAACCTACATATCGGACTAATATAATAGATACAAATACAAAATGTGGGCATTTGTTTCATGCTAAACGGCTAGACGAATTTGTATAAAATCTTGTTCACAGATAGAATATGACATAGGTATGCCAGCGTCACCTAGGGACGCCCGTAAGCGAAGTCAGGGTAAGTCAACACACTAAAGGCAAGCCGATGTTCGTCCAGTTCCACGTACTGCAGCTGGCCGCCCTCCAGCACCACCCTGCGCGCGCTCACGCGCAGCGCCGCGCCGCCGCCGCACTCCGCCATCTCGACGCACTGCGACTCCCAGGCGCTGTACCTGGTAGAGGGATAGGTCCATTTGATCTTACTAATCCTTTTAAACGAAAGCTTCATGGGCTGTCGTAATTTTAAATAAAACTATGTTTCCGAATTTTTTCGCGGGTTTATTTTGAGTTTTAGTTCCCGACATTTCGAATGCTTTACAGCAATCATGGGCACGGGAGAGATACGAAACGTTGGGAACCAAAAATCAAAACCGCAAAAAAATCCGAAAAAACCGTTTAATTTAAAATGTCAAATATTGGCGTCAATCTAAGAAAGGGCTATCGCAAGTTCGCTTATACACACAACCACCACACCCCGATAGCTGGTCTGCCGAGGCAGACCACTACAACTATGGGGTAGCTCCCGCGGCGCACTCTGCTATCAGAAAGTTACCAGACGTAACCCGCACGGTACACCACCCAGCCAGGTGGACCTCCTTCCAATGCGTCTTAGCTTTACGCCCGGCTTGTTGCCGGACTTTAGTGATAAATTATATTTTGATCATTTATATAATATATAAAGAGAATAATATAATATAACTCGTTTTACTTCATACGCTTCATTTGTACGCAATCCAAAATTATTTTTAAGTGGTACCTACATCAGTTCTAGAATCTATTTAATCCCTTAAAAAATTTTGCGAATTTTATTCCTTTTTCATAAATTATTACTATTAATCAGATAGACACATAACTGTGAATATACATATATAATAATATGTGCTATTTTGTATGTAAATAAGTTTCATTTTTTATAAAATAATTATTTTTTAGTTAAACACATATACAAATTAGTTATATAATTTAGTAGGCCCTCTAATACAAAACAAAAGACAAATATCATAGTCAAAGTTAAAAATAAATAAATACCAGATAAGTATATGAGTAGGAGTTTGAGCTACAACCGCGTCGCTATTCTCTATCCATTGCACGAAGCTTACACCACTCGCTATTATCTCCTGAAATTAAGTATTGAGGATAATTACTTACTTCTCCGTGTATTTTATTTATGAAAACTGCAAAAACTACTATACTTACAATGATATAAGTAAAAATCGTTAAACAATTATTCGAAATTTAAGTGAAGAAGTGTGGCAAAACATGCATAGATATATTGGATACAATATTTTTCAGGTGTAAAATTATAAAAAGATGAAATCAAATGAACCCAGGGCCAGGCTATAAATATTTAACAACAAAATACGACACCATCTTGCTAGTATAAAGGTAACTGGTGCATATTTATTATATTATTTAGTAAAACGCTGTTATTTTGACATTACAGACACTTCTTAAATGTTATATATTTGTATATAAAGAATAAGAAATCACAGCACCTTCTCCCCGGTACCGAGGCGCAGCAGAGCGAGCCGCCGGCGCGTGTCGCGCAGCAGCAGCAGCCGCCCGCTCTCGTTCAGCTCCAGCCAGTCCACGCGCGCCTCGTGCCACCACTGGCCCACCTGGTTGCCTGCATAGTGTATAGACTACACAATATACATGTGTGTCATAGTGGTATTGGTTAAAAATTATCATACTATATAGTAGGTACTAGCAGTACCCGCGGCTTCGCCCGCGTCCAGACTTCCGATCGCTAACAAAGTTCACAGCATCACCCGTTGGACTAATCTGAAGATTACCTGAAAATTTCATCAAAATCGCTCCCGCTGTTTTGGCGTTCATGGGAAACATACATACATACACAAATCGATTTTTATTTTATTTAATCAACAAAAATTATATAATTAAATATTATATTTAAATTCATTTATTGCCTGGGAAATTAAGTATTTTATGAAAATTTTGTGGCACAACGAATGCAGCGCCACTTACCGGATTCAATTGTGTTTTCGAACCACCCGGGAGCCCATTGAAATATACACACAAAATTTCATCCAAATCGGTCTAATCCTTTAGGAAGAGCAGGTTAACAAACACATCCCCCCCCCCCCCCAACGTGCGTTCACCTTGTCGTGGTGGGGGGGCTCAGTAGTGCCCGGCAATCCAACCGGGCGCGAAGCTAAGAAACGCACAGGGAGGTTGCCCACTTCGGTGGGCAGTGGGAGGTGGCCCTCTTCGGGGGGCGGTGTACCATGCGGGTTGCTCCTGGTACTTCTCTGATAGCAGAGTGGACTGTGGAGCAACCCCATGGTTGTGGTGGTCTGCTTCGGCAGACCTACCGTCGAGGCGTCGTAGTTGAATGCGTAAGCGATCCTGCGACGCCCCATTAAGACGGGGGAAGGTTTTGTTGGGTTTTAGTGGGTAGTACTGGCTGTATTACGCCGTCGTGCGTAAATGCATTTCCCAACGTTAAAAAAAAAAGGTTAACAAACACACGTACAGAAGAATTATATACCCCACACTATTCTGAGCAAATGAAAACTGTAAAATGTAAAATTATACAAAAATAAAAACCAGTTTTATACTAAAAATATACCTGTGACAAGGTCTACGACAGCTATGGTCTGCCTGTCGAGCAAGTACGCGAGGTGCTTGCGCTCGCCCTCCAGCTTTTGGCCTTCGTTGATACGGACGCTCAGCACATGAGGGTTCACTCTTTCTGTGCGCACCTAATAATAACAATACTAGACATGTCTTTATGAACTTTAGATTCACTATGTCTCAAGATAGATAAATATTAAAATTGTATTATGTTTTTTTTTTTAAATAAGTACGACCTACTATATATAATAGTCTTTATTAAAGATGATCCTGTACATCATATGGTATAGCTATTAAGATAAATTGTAAATTAGGACAAATTAACTAAAAAATTACGGATGTTTGTCCATTTACAAATGTGTAAAAAAATAGTTAAACAATACGTTTTTCTAATACTGCTCTATCACTGCCTACTATACTAGTTAGGGATCGTCCATTAATCACGAGACGATTCGAAAAAAATCGATATTATTTATTTTAAACTTTGTTGTTCGTCGTTCTTTCGTTAAATTCAGAAGGCTGGAGAAGTTCTCGCAGAAGTATGAAATAACATAGTCATCGACGCCATGACGTCGTAGCAGAGTAGATCGAGCCCGACGACAGTGCTGAACGCTTTATTCCAGCCTTGCCTTCTCCGCAGTGGCTTAGTCCGCATGTGCAACGAGAAGCAACTATCAGCTGAAGCAAATACTAGCTGTATTTGCTTCAGGTACTGCAACTTTAATGTCTGTGTGGACATTTTTATCACGGGGCATAATTTTCTATTGAGATCTTGGGTCTATGTGATTTTGGGTAGGGGGAGGGGGGGTTAAGAAGTTGCTAAAAAACATCACGTGATAAATGGACGAGCCCTTATCATAGACAGTAGCAATGCACGACCTTGAAAAACCAAGACAAGCGAGTCCAAATCGCAGATCTCGTACTACTAATATATTTATTATGTGTGAATCATTTTGACCAAATAACACAAGATTCAAAAACAAAAATCTAAATAATTCAACCTTTACTAAGCCTGCGAAAATTAATCAACAATTGTGCCGAATATTCGGCTCTTTATTTAAAACGATGTTCGACTGAATATTTGTATCCACTTAAATCCAGTCTCGACGCATCTCTTATATACTCGTATAGGTAGGTTGTATACCGTATGCAGCACGCGGTCGAGCCCGTACTCGACGACGCTGAGCGAGCCGGCGCGCTGCAGCAGGCAGGCGCCGCCCACCGCCGCGTACACGCGCTCGCCGGAACCGCTCCAAGGGATCTGATGCCATTATAATATAACGTTATCAAGTCCTTAAAGCAGATTTTTACCTACTTGTAAATATAATATCGTCTGAAAATTTGTATGTGAAATAATAATATAAAATTTTGATATTATTGAGCTGATCTGATGATAAAGCCAGATGGCAAACATGGAATCTATAGCATCTAAATATAAGGAATTATATCACTCGTTTTAATAAGTCGAAGGATGTTTTTGTTTAATTTTTAAGGTTATATTAATTTGTTACAGTTTTATAGCAGTTAAACCTACTTTTTTTTAATATAAGATAATATTTGTCGCTTAAAAGTACTACAAACCTCACTGGTCAGGCTACGTGCAATATCACAGAGTATCAAACTGTTACTTGTCCGACACACCGCATACCAATCGTTACCTGAAAATTACAATGTACATGTGTAGAATGTACTAAATACAACGATCAATTTTACAAGTGTCAATTTTATATTAATTTTATTAATGAATGAAGATGATAAGCTACTGAGTCTGAGTTTACATTAGTAGATAATTTACTTACACCAACATCATAATTATTGCATATATGTAAAATAAATACACATACCTATTAACATATGAAGAATCTATACTTATTATAAAAATAAGTCCCCCGGGGGCGTCTTTCTGTCCTCCTGTCTGTCTGTACGCGATAAACTCGAAAACTACTGAACGGATTTTTATACGGTTTTCAACAATAGAAAGAGTAATTCTTGAGGAAGGTTTAGGTATATAATTTATTATGCTTTTATGTAAATTAGCTGAAATACGGCGACAAATGTTGAAGAGGTCGCAAAAAATCTCGCCAAATGGGAACTTTCCACGCGAACGCCGCGTAAACTAGCAAAGATACAGTTAAGTAATGTACTAGAGAATTCAAAATCTATAAAAATGCTACAAAAAAGTCCGCGATAGCATATCTCTATCTCTTACGGTTGACTTACAATAACCACTTTTATGTTAACATTTTTAATTAAAAACATTACGTTATTTTCAAAGTTATTTTCTTTAGTTCGGTATTAATCCTTATCCAAATGAATATTTTAGTTAGCTTAGTCATTTAATGCAGATTAAAATTGCTCTTTACACTAAATCAATCAGATGAATAGTTTTTGAGATATCGTTGTTAGAAGTAATTAGTAGCGAAACATTTTTAATGCTTGGCGAGCATTGAGATGCCTACGGCGAGTCCATCCCCTCTGCCCCGCATCGCTCGACCGCCTGCTCAAGCTATATAAACCGGGCGATGTAGCGCGCGATCCTAGGATACTTTTTACCGCGGGAAAATATCTTATTTCTGAGGAAAAATACAAAAACTGCAATGTAAGAGTATACTAATATGTAACACCTAAGAATTTAGTTTTTGGTCATCTGAACGCGGGCGGAGCCGCGGGCAATGCTAGTATGATACAAAATCAAACTCCACAAAAAGTCAAACAACATACCAATAAACCTAACATTAAAGATGTCACTCGCGAGCTTAGTGGTGACGGTGAGGGGCGGCGCGTCGCGCGCCACGCGCGTCAGCAGCAGCGTGCGCGCGCTCACGTGCCGCACCTCCACCGCGTCGCGCCACGTCCAGCGCCTGTCGTATACACCGCTATTACATGTAGTCGCTACCATATACATATTATATACATATTTATAATATGTATGTATTTAATGATATGTACATATGTGTAGTGTATCAACTATCTGGTATCCATAATACAGGCCTCGTAGCTTACCATGGAACTAGATGGTGCTGTGTGTTAATGTCCCAACGTATTTATTTATTTAGAAAGTCAGAGTAACAGCAATAAATTAATAATACTCTTGCTTTGCTAGGGTTTTTACGATATGCTTGTAAGCTTTTTATGAAACAGTAAGTATTTCTTAAGTTTAAAGAACATGTTGAAACTCACATATCATGTTCCGATCACTTTTGTCATGGTCAATTATTCGAAACAGTATTCGACAAATTACTTTGAGAGAAAGGAAAAATTCAAAATAAAACAAACCTAAGGACCGCTTCAAATTGCAACACGGCTCCTGTCTGCGAAGCAACGGCCAACTTGGTACCGTCGCCACTCCAAGCTAACGCTCTTGCGGCGTACAAATTGGATATGTTCAACGTCGACAGCTCCAAAGTCCCTGATTCTTTTATTTCTCCTATTAAACATCCGTCAAATATTCCGAATGCTATTGTCTACAAAGAAAACACAATATTAAGATAACCCAGCTACGCTAAAGTAGGCTTTGAGGGTTCGCAATAGATAAGAGGGGACACCATCAAAACCTACCGTGGGAGATAATCAATAATCATGCTAGCTACACGAACACCACAGCCTACCTTTATGTATATTATCCACCACCGCTACACCTACACACACAACACCATTAGGTACTAGCAGATGTGCATTGTACATTGTACATCTGCTAGTGCATTTCACTGTATAGTGCTGGTGGATTTATCTATACTGTATACCTATAATAAAATTGTAACTAATTGTGCATTAAGTATTTTTTGGAAAATCTATATGAAATAGACATTATTATCGATACAGAGTCCGAATCTATAGCTTTTAGAATTTTTGTCTTTCTGTCTGTTACCGCATCACGAGAAAAGCACTGGACAGATTTTGATGAAATTTGGTATGATGATAGCTGGATATCCGGGTCAACATATAGGGTACTTTTTACTGCGGGAAAATATCTAATTTCTGAGAAAAATACAAAAACTGCATTATAAGAGTATATTATTATGTAAAACCTAAGAATTTGGTTTTTTAGTCATCTGAACGCGGGCGGAGCCGCGGGCAATGCTAGTATTTTTTTTTTAAAAACGCCATTGTTTTGAGCAAAAAAACTAGGATTTTATCAAGATGTAGTCCATTTTCAAGATATTTACCTGAGCAGACGGACTAAGCGCGGCCGTTATCAAATCTCTTCGGTCAGGAGGTAGGGCAGGCTCCAAGTTGCGCACTAGTGCTCCGCGCTGCGCTTCATACACCGATATGCGTCCGTCGCATGAACCTACTATAATCTAAATATAATGTAAATAATAATTTACTATTAAAAACTAAAAAAAAACGACTTTAAAAATATACTAAAAAATAAAATATAAACTGATTGGTAGTTTTCATTTACTATAGATACTTAATCAGGTATTTTCGAAGTCGGTGTGCTTTGATTTGTATCGGCTAGCAAAAAGAAAAGAAGGGGCAAAAAGGGAGCTACTTAATAGCTCCGCCTTATGAGATCTGATTTCGATAATTCTTTTTTTATTTGAAAGGTAAGTAACTTTAAATTTGTCTCATAAAAATTTTGTGAAGATCTGATAAGAATTTTCTTCGTGATTCAACTAGTAAGACGAAATTTCTAATTGCAACTTACATAAGGTGGTAACAATGCTAATGCGGTAGGAGGTAGGGCGTATCGAAGCAACAAACGCCCGTTAAGATAAAGTGTTCCGTCCACGTGACCCGAGGCCAACGTCACCTCAGTGCCATTGCTTTTGGCGAGAGCCACGCAACACGAACCCGCAGACCATAAGCCTGAACTCTTGTTGGTTTTACAATCTAACGACCTATAAAGAAATATATATTAATAAGAATCCTTACTAAACAGTATAATGTCGCCATTTTTGTTTGTCTCTTTGTGTCTAAACGGATTTTGATGAAGTTTTCAAGTCATTTACAGAATTTCTTCTGCAATATTTATATGCATAATTAGCGACTTACGACAGGTGCACATATCATTCTACAGGTTCCCTTGAGATATTAGTAAAAATTAATACAACGCATGAAGTGAATGAAGTCATGCACGGGGTAGTTCAAAACCGAGCAAAACAAAGACGGATCAATAGTAATTTATAATTTACGTTTCGTTAGCATCATTATAACAGTACCTAACAACAATTAATAAACCCCCTTACAAGTAGGTAAGATGTTATTCTACGTAAAATCGAATTGAAAAACGAGCATAAGATTTCGAGAAGAAGAAAATCGATTTAAAAATCTGTAATAGAAATCAGACACAAAGTATAACATGTCTCTTTAAGTCTTTTTACCTAATTTTACCATCGCTTGTGCCGGTATAAAAGCCATTCTCTCCCGCTAACAGACGTAATGGTGCGCCAGTGAGGGGAAACTTGTTGCATATCACCTTCTTGCCGCTCCACTCCGCCCCCACTCGATATACAAAAACCATATTATCGCTTTGTGCTACAGCTAGTAATTCAGAATTGTCACTAAACGCCAAACCTATTACAAACAAGTAATAATTAGGTTAATCAGATAACAAAAATAACTTTACATTGTAATAAAAAAAATACAATGGCTATTAAGTATTAGTATTAGTTTAATAAAGTGGTTAGGCAGTGATAGCCCAGTGAATGATTTCCAACATGATTACCATTCATCTTACAGTAAAGAATATCATCATCAGGAAATCTGCATGTCTAAGAGAACCTAGCAAATTTTCGAAAGACATGTGAAGTCCACCAGCACTTGGCCAGCGCGGTGGACTTTGGCCTAATGCCCCTCGTATCAAAGGTAGGCTCATGCCCAGCAGTGGGACGGGGGCGGGTAAAAAGGGCTGAATACAAACTAACAAAGCTTTTTTTGATTAAATTTTTTGAACTTTCTAGCCCAAATTTAAATAGTTACGTCTTATAGTACCTAAATGGATCACAAGGACAGACAGACATGACTAATATATATCTAAGGATTTGACATTTGGCTATGAAATCCTGGATATTTTAACCATCTGCTTAGAAAATATAGCTGAATTTATTTTGATCTTTCGCGCTCTCATACAAAGCAGGGATCGTCTTATAAATTGTTATGACAAATAAAAAAAACCGAACGCGTAAAAAAATGAACTAAAAGGAGGGAACAAGTTAACAAAGGAAAATATTTGAAATGCAGTGTAACATTCAGTTATTTTATGTGCCAGTTTGTAGATTTGACAATAGATTTTTGGATAATATGTCAAGTGGACAGTCGGTAATTCGCATTATATAAATTAGGAATATAAAAAATATAAATGTAAAATGTGTATACAGAAAAAGCGAGAAATATAATTGTTAATTGCCAAATATTTGTTCCAAATCCTTCTGAGCTGTTTTAGCAGTCTTACTGCTTACATACATATATGTTTTATCCTGTGTGAGTGCAGCTTTGCGTGTAATGTAGTATCTGTTTATTTTCCTTCGTAAGCTTCCCTTCTTTTTAGTCGGGTAAAAATAGGAAAACCGAAAGGAACCACAGGAGATCTTTTCACAATAATTAATGTTAAACATGAAAAGTTGATTCGACTTTATTAATCACTACGTTCACTTAAATTTAATATGAATTAAAATATAAATTATATTGATTACTTGTTATGACGTAAGATTTTTTTCCAGCCGCAGGGTCTGATGGCTTAGTACTGAATTTATCACGTCGCACTCCATCTTGGTCAAATAACAAAACGAGACGTTCGGATGTAGCTACAGCGAGTTTTACATTATTTGGAGACCAGCTTATATCCGCTACGGGACTATCGCTAGCCTAAATAAAAATTATACATTGTTGTTCAAAAATTTAAATCATTGCAGAGATAAGCATGAATAGGTCCAAAACCTTTTAAATCAATATAATTCAATTAAAATAAGTACCTAGTAGTATTACCTGGGCTTCTAAAATTGTTTTACAATATTTTAATCGCATATTTTTACATAAGTAGCAATTTGCTATTTATTAGTGTTTGGATACTGTTACTTAGCAACCGCCGATTGTCACCAAATTTCCGAGGTATTTTTAATTAAAAAAAAATAATTGTTTTTTTTAAGTACTAGAACTCTTTTCCTGTGACAAATTAGTATCAATCAAAGTGTGTATGTGAGTCTGTGTGTCTGTCTGTGGCATTGTAGCTCCTAAGCAAAGGGACCGATTTTAATGCGATTTTATTTTGTATGAAAGCTGCATTAATAACTAGAAATTGCAATTAATTCATGAGATCTCATTTTAAAGATATTTTAAATTATGTTGAAGTTATTCATTGTTTGCTTTATTTTGTACTCTGTAGTTTCTTTGACTTGAAGTCTTGTTGTTCTTGTCATCTTGGTCTATGGACATGACAGCCGAAGTAAAAAGAGTTACATACTCTATGGCCGAAGTTGTTTGATTCATAGTCTGTGGCATAAGTCTTTCTTTCAAGTGTTTCGTGTTTGTTAGGACGTTATAAGGTTAGGAAATTTTAAATCCAAATAAATCGTTCAAATTATACAATATTTTTAGTATTTCTATTCATAAATATGTTATTAGTAAAGTGTATTAACAGAGTGTAGATTCCTTTTCAATATTTCTTTAACTAATGTTATAATATTATAAATATTTTTATCGGCATTGTAAACAACCAACCAACCTATAAATTGACTACTTGTTTAATTAAGATACCGTGTGATTTTGAAATGAAAAATTTATATTCGTCTTACAGGACGTCATGCCTTTCCAGCGCTACGTTGAACCAGGGCGTGTTGCCCTGGTGGCCGAAGGTGCCCTGAAGGGAAAATTGGTGAGTGTTGTCGATGTCATCGATCAAACACGAGCACTTGTCGACGGACCCGGAAGCGGTGTTCCCCGACAACAAATTCGTCTAAATCAACTCCATCTTACAAAGTTCCGCCTCAAATATCCTTTTACAGCGCCTACACGTGTTGTAAGGAAAGCTTGGATAGATGCTAAACTTAATGAAAAGTGGGCAGAAAGTCAATGGGCCAAGAATTTGGCAAACAAAGAAAAGCGCGCTCAGATGACAGACTATGACAGATTTAAGTTAAGCTCCGCGCGAGTTAAAAGGAACCGTGCGAGAACAGCAGTGTTCAAAAGTTTGAAAGTGAAAGCGGCGCGAAGTGGCACATTTGGCAAGAGGTTGATTCCCAAAACTCCAGCCAAAAAGCAGCGTACGAAGAAGGCGTCAGCAGCCAAGAAACCAGCGAAGAAGTAATTCTTGTTTTGTGTCTGAAACAAAGTGTAATTTATAGGACAAATCAAAATAAAGGATTACTTTAGGCTACATTCAAATGTATTGTTGTTTGCTCCCATTAATTCAAAAACCTTTGAAGTTATCTGAGGTGAGTTATGTTGATATTCTAGAGCAAAGTGATTTTTCTTTACTTAATTTGTTTTATGTTTCAGGATGGTGTAAACAAAAGGTGGAAATTTTAAGGTAAATTGAATCATTTTTTTTATAATTTAAATTTAAAGTAAACTAAGTGATGAATGTAAATAGTCTCGTTCGTATGAATCTATGATTAAAGAAATACCAAATTTACTGATATTCCTTAGTTTTAATTGTTTGTTTTGTGAATTGCAATACTTAATTATTTATATTATTTTTATATTTCTTTCAGCAGAAAAGTCATCAGTGAGAATTATCAAGGACTATGAACAATCTTGGTGAATTCATTTGCTACTATAAACAATTTTGGTAAATTTATTTGCTATTATATTGTACAAAAATTTAGTGTATTTAATAGATATTGTTGTTTCAACACTTTCCCTTCCCAATTACACTATGATGATTTATTTAGTCTCGTTCGTATGAATTAAATGATTTCAATTTTACCACTCATCTGACAGTTTATTTATCACAATCTTTTTGTATCATGATAGTTCTTTTATTCATTTTGTTTATTTTTATTTTAGATCTGCTGGTGTAGTAGCTTTATAAACGTAAGTATCAAATTAGTCTAAACTATATTCTATAAGTAAAAACATTCAAATTCAAAATATTTTATTCAGTATTAAATTATTTCAATTTTTACTGAATGTCATGAGTCTACTACATTCATATAACATCTATTAAATACTTTTTTGCTTAAGTACTTATTTCAAAAATTGTAATAAACCTGTAATAAACCTTTACCCTACCAAAGCCGATGTGTGATCAGACAACAACTGACATACTTGACTCTGGTTAGGAACATTATCACTCTCTGTGTAAGATATCCAGTTGTAGTAGCTGTATATCTAAGGGTTGAGGGTTACATTATATATACCTTAACAAACAAAGTTCGAAATGATAAAGATTTGCTAAGTAAGCTAAATATTAATTTTTATTACAGAAATGTCAAAAATCATGTGAAATATGAAAAAAAGGAAGTAATTTTTGGTAATTTTAATATTTTTATTCTCAAACCTTTAATTTTTTGTTACTTGTTGTACAAACATTGATTATAATTAGTACTAGAGACTTATCCTCACTTACCTTTGCTTGGGTGTCTGTCTAACAGTAACCTATACATATTGCACCAGGTCTTCGTCTATCGGTTCATTAAATTTCATCCAAACCTATAGCCATTTAAGTGTGAAAGAGTAACAAATATTGACATATATGTAAATTATACAAACTTTCACAAAATGGAGAATATTTTTTTTATTCCTTAAATTTTTTTGCATGATGAGTATCATAGTTATCCCTGTCTCACTTAATCGTGGGGAAAATATGGTCTGGTAACAACTGATATAAATAAAACTACACATTAATTTTTAAATAATATTTCGGTATTTATAATATTATTTTTGCCTTTTTTTAAGGTGCTGATATTCAGTCTCAAGATTTTGAGTTATATTGATTGTGTAGGTGTAAAACGTAAGTAAAAGAAAATAAAGTATTGGGATCAGTTTGCAGATGTCTTAAGTAATATGTAATATGCACTTAATATTAATTATAATAAAAAGTTAAAGAAAACTATTCATGATGTATAATTTGTATCGCCCCTATCTGAATCTTGATGATTGATCAGTACTGAAATACTTTTTAGAATTTACATAGAAAATATACTTTGCATACAAATCTGTACTGTTTTATTTCTTTACAGGTACTCGGATTAATGTTCCCTATATGGTAAGCCTCTTAAAATATATATTTTGACCAATATTGTATTGCTTTTAATCAAAAGTATTAAATACTTATGTCAATTATTTAATGATGAGTATTATATCGCCCCAGTCTGAACTAATGTTGATTGATTTTTCTGATATTTTCCTTAGCCAATTTCACTCAACTCAAAACTGCTATAATGTCTACATTTAGTCTTTTTCTTATTTCAGGTACCCAATGATGTTTCTTCCTTACATTATGAAGTGCTTTTGACAAGAAATGAAGTGGAGAAATATTTAATATTAAATGTAAGTTATTTTTTAAAGTCATTAAATACACATAAATAATTTATTAATAAATATGTTCTCGCATCACCATCTAGTTTCATGGTAAGATATGAGGCTTGTGTTATGGGTAACAGATAGTTAATACCCTACACTTATTATATAACTTTAAATACATACATATCATAAATATAAACATCCATGAATGGACTACAAACATTCGTATTCATCATACAAATGAATGCCCCCAGCAGGACTCGAACCCGCGTCCACTGGCACAACAAGTACAAACTGAGCCAAATGTGTTCTAAACATACATGATATGGCAATCGTAGAGAACGTACCGATACTACTTGACCTTTTTTTTTACAATTCCCGCCCTCAACTCGCGAGATTTACCTAGAGGATATGGACTACGTGACGAAGACCTAAGACTTCTCCCCGCCCTTATGACCAAGCGTGGTAGTTTTAAGAACCACTCCTCTTTTCTGAACGGGTCACGTAGCATGCGTATGTATCCTCACATATTCCTATGGATAAAGAGCAGCTGTCTAAATATTTTTATTCAATTGAATGATTAAATTAATGAATGAAAAAATTGAATTCAATTTCATAACAATATTGCACCTATCAAATATTATCCTATTGACTGGTCGAAAATAGCTATAATTTATGCACAATAAGATTTTCTTAACACATACAACATTTAAATTACCAACCTCAACCATTTATAAATATCATTAACATAATGATGAATAATTGTATCGCCCCTATCTGATTTCTGATGATTGATCAACACTGAACAAAATTAAAATTCTATCTTTTACTTAACATTATCATCCAAAAGTAATATATTATTTTTGATATACAGGTACTGTGGGAGCTTTTCCAAATATTACTGAACATGCCTTAAAGGTTTGTATTATTATTATATATTTTGTGTTTTATGTTCTAGTATTATTTGAAATTAGTATTGAATATACCCTACCAAAGCCGATGTGTGCACAGATGTTAACTGGCATACTTGACTCTGGATAGGAACATAAACACATTCTGTGTAGGATGTTTGGTTTTATAGCTTAAGATCCAAGGGTTTGAATGTTACATTTAGTTTAATATGTTTTAATTCTATTCCTTTCTAAACTAATGAATATTCAAAATTAAATTCCTAATATTTCTTACAGAGCCTGCAGTGATATACATATAAAAACTTCTTGTTATTAAAAAGGTAAGATCTTAAGTTTTGTTATTTTATGCATAATTTTTAAATAGGTTTTTTTAGTAACTTTCATGATGAATAATAGTGTTGCCCCCTAGCATCTTTGATGATTGATAGAAACTTAAGTACACTTGCCTAATATTTGTTAGAAATTCTAGACAAAGTTACTGAACAATTTTCTTTTGCAGATATTTGAAGAACTATATATTATAATACATGAATAACATAACAAAAACAATATATTTTTTCATATTCTTTGTGAATTTATAAACAATTATTATACAATATTTATAAATTAAGAATACGAAAAATTTTGTCATTGTCAATTTATAAATCCTCGCCGCGCTCGGGTTCATCCCTAGCTTGATTCCCCATACGAACTTTCATTCCCATTTCCACCCCCATAAGGGATGATTTCCGGGATTAAAAGTATCCTATGTGTTCCCAGGGTCTCAAACGATCTTCTTATCAAATTTCATCTAAATCGGTTCAGTAGATCCAGAGATTTCCCTCTACAACGTCACAAACTCGCAAAATTTAGCTCTTTATAATATTAGTATAGATAAAATAATAATTTTTAGAACTGGTATGATGATTTATTTATCGCCCCTATCTGAACAAGTGATGATTGATTGATCCTGAACTTTCAATGCTGCACAATATATTTTTTGAATTAAGAAAAAGACTTTGTTAATATTATTTTAATATTATTACAGATTAGTTCCTGTTACACATTTAGAGGAATAATATTAAGGAATGAAAAACAAGGCTTTCCAGCAATTATGGTAATATTTTATCAATGATTTATTTAATTTAAATGCTTAAAGAATTATCATTTTGTCATTACTTTTATATGTTAACAGCTAACATAATATGTTACATTTTTGATGATGATTACGATATCGCCCCAGTCTGAACTTGTGTTGATTGATTTTTTCTGATATTTTTTGTTTAGTGAAATACAACTAACCGAACTCCCCTAATGATAACTATATTAAGTTTTCTTATTTCTTCAGGTAATCAATAGAGGTTTTCAAGATTACAAAAAATTTTTAAATGTAAGTTAATGGAATATATAACATACATTATCATAAAGTATTATATATTAAATAAGATTAAACATCTCATAGTTTACATAAATGATGGTAATAACAAGCATATATCATAATTTTTTTTTGATGATTAATATAGACTGATAAAATATAATAATATTATTATTATTATTGTTAATGAATATTAAAATATATAGTGAATGTTAAAATATTTTTTCTTATATTCAAGAAGACTGCCATCTCTCACTGTTAGTTGGGTCACAAATCATAATGTTATGGTTAGTATACAAATTATTTTTCTTCAAAATAAATTTGATTTCAATTAAAAATTTTTTGCCATGCATTATTATGAAATGTAATCATTTTTTTTAATATGATGAATTGCTAAGTTATCCCTGTCTCACTCAATCATGGGGAAAATATGGTATGGTAACCTCTGAATTTTCAACATACAAAATCTTTAAAATTTTAACATATGACATTATTTTATTAATAAGATTTATTTTTGTTATAGATTATAATCTTCAACCAGTTTTCTGCCTCAAAGGAACACCAATATCATAAATAAATGGTGAGATTTTCTTAGTAAATATTAACTTCAGTTAAATCATTTAACAGCAAAAGTAAGCTATATTTAACATATAGAAATTTGAAACTCTTACATAAAATTTTTTACAATCAATTTCATACATATTTATTGTTTACCCTAAAAACAAACAAACTATAATTAGCAGTTAAACCCACATTGCCGATAACAGTCTTGTTTAATCAAAATCCTTGATATTTTTTAAATTTATTGTTATAACTTTGCCATAATAATATGATGAATTACTAAGTTATCCCTGTCTTACTGAATCCTGGGGAAAATATGGTATGGTAACATCTGATATAGTTAAATAGAAAGTCAACCTACAAACCATACGCTTATGATTATTACAGTGTAAAATATTTTATTTACAGATTTGTCATCTCCCAAATATTTTTCGCTCTTGAAATCGTCGAAAAATGGTAAGTTTTTACATAATATATAATATATATTAAGTATTAACTAAACGTATGTCTAATATTTTTTTAGATTTACGCAAATATTTGACATTTTAAATAAGTTTTATCTTTTCGGATTTTGTCTGTAACAACTTTAAAAGGCCTTTGAAACGTCTAACACCTTAATCGCTCCCGTGACTATGATTTAAAGTATTTGAAACGTCGGGAACCAAAAATCAAAATAAATCCGCGAAAAAATCCGAAAAGATAGTTTTATTTAAAATGAATGGATAGTCTGTCAATACACAAGTTGCCTAACTTCTTTATACACTGTTTACACAGCTATTCAAAAGAAATTCTTAATTAAAAGTTGTATATATAATTATGATGATTAAAATGACAAGCATATATCTAGAATTTTTTGAAGATATAATATTACTGATTGAAGTTTCAAATTGTAATACATTTGAAACTATATTTCATTAGTAGTTATTCAAGTTCTCTTTTTTAGGAACGAGCTGCGTGGAATTTTTTTTTGGACGATTTTGAAGTCGAGTCGACGATTTCAGCCATTTTTTTTGACGATATGAATATATTTTAAGACATAAATATCTGGAAAAAATCTGATTTAAAAGGAATATATTGAAAGGAAAAATAGGTTAATGTTTCATTTCTTCCTTCTTCCCCACTAGGACAGCATAAAAAATCATATAAATGTAAAAAATATGAACGTGCGTACTGCGTATAACAATGTGTACACGGGCGCAACGCGCACGCGCTGTAAGTAAAATATTTGTGTACATATTATCATAGTCATCTGCGGTGTTGTCATATCAGAAAATATTATCAACAATACCACTAACATAAATACCACATCCGATTTTTTTTCAATAAATACCAATATAAATTGCTTTTGCCTCGCACTGCTTTAAATAAAATTATTGTGCAGACAGTGGTCAATAAAATTATAAAAGAATGCATTATATTATTGTTACGGAGTTTGAATCGCCTGAGGAAAGTACATGTAAAATAATGGTAATATTGTTCTTTAATCAATAAGCTAAATATTATTTTCATAATATTAAATAAGTTATCAGTCACATTTACTACGTTCTTAAAAAATATTTAATTATTCCGCTTATGAAAGAACCTAAGGCTTTTCATATTTTTAAAACTTAATACATGCATATATAAAAATTTCAATAATATATTAAAAACATTTTAACCGAATTCCGAAAAGAAGGAGGTACTCAATTCGTCGGAGTCTTTTTTTTATGTATGTTCACCGATTACTCAAAGACGCCTGAACCGATTTGGATTTTTTTTGTTTCAAAAGCCCAGGTGGTCCCATATAAATTTTATCGAAAACGGTCGAGCTGTTATTTAAAAAATCGACAATATTTTTTTTTTTTAATAAATTGTTTAACGAATATTATTAAAAACTTTGTACTTACAAACTACCTGCTTATTACGTGTACACTAAAAATGGAAAAATAAAAACCTGAAAAAAAAATAACCGACTTCCAGGGCACTAAAATGTAAAAAAGTAACTAAACTGAGGTTTTCATTTAGAATAGATACCTACCTAATGAGATATTTTCGAAGTCGGTGCCAGCCTACAATATTTTAAGATATGAATATCTAATAGGTAAATATGTATTTTACGTATCGAAATATATTAGATTTGCTTTGCATCGGCTGACACCGATTCGAAAATATATGATTAGGTATCTATTCTAAATGAAAACCTCCGTTTAGTTATTTTTTACATTTTAGTGCCTGGAAGTCGGTTCTTATAATTTTTCTAAAGTTTTTTTGAAAATATAATCAAGTACAAAGCAATAAGAGTTCTACAATTCTAGCATTTTTATTGTAGGGTTTGCCAATGATAGATATTCATAATTTACTTCTTAAATTAGTCGGTAATAATATACCTTGCAATAATTTAAGTAAGTCGATAGAAGCTGATGCATCGGGCGATCGAATTTTGAATCTTTTATGTGGGCCGGATTTTAAGTAAGTACAATATTTTATTTTACATGCATTTATTTTAACTTGCAATGTTTGTTAGTTGATATCTTTGTATGAGTCAAATTTTGCAAGTTGAATTAGCACCACTTCCTCATTCTTAACTTACAAAAGTTGAAATTTTACATGTTGGGTCAGTGAGACCATAGAGTATGTAACCCTTTTTATGAGAGACGAGACAGAGTAGGCAAGTCTATCAAAAATGTGATGTCCTGATAGAAAGATGCAAAGATTTTTTTTGTTGTCGCTGGGGAAACCCGTTATGGGGACCCTGCCTGCCGTCATAACGGACAAGGTACTGTGAGACTCCTACTCACTAAAACCCACAGCGGAACCCTTCGCCGCAGTGCAATGGGGCGTTGCAGAATCGCTTGCGCACACTACAACACCCTGCCTAGGCAAAGAATAACCAGACACCTTTCTATCTTTTTATTATTTTATACGTTTAAATCATGAAAGTAATAAATTAAATGACTTAAAATTTAGAATTTACTATATTAAATTAACCTTTTTTGTGGGTATTAAGAATTGTGCGTGTTATTACATAAGAGATTTAAGTTATATTAAATGTATAATAACACGACATAAAATTTAAACTATGATTTAAATTTATTACAAAAATTAGGATATCTTTTTATTAAAAAAATAATTTTTAGTTACTTATTGTGCGTTTCTTTTAATTTTAATTATGCGTCATAAAAAGACGTGAAATGCGCATACATCATGAAACAAAGAAAGAAGCTAGGTAGATATTTTCTATCTTTTTTTCTCCACCCCTCACCGCCACTTAAAAGTTGATGATGGATGGAGTATGAGAGTTATAGGAATAGAGAGTGCACTTGTGTCTGCGCGTACACTTGAGCACTATAATATCTCCTGCGCAGTTGGCTAATCTCATTGAGATTGGCCGCCGTGGCCGGAATCGGCTAGGAGAACATCAAATATCTGCTTAACAATGCTCCCAAAAGCAAAACCTCCTAGGTTATGAGAGATCTCCTCGGCAGTCAACGGCAAGATACGAAATTTTGTGTTAACGCTTTGACATAAAAACTTGTTTTAACAAATGTTTTTATTATTAATTTTACAAATACAAACAAAATATTTTTCCTGATTTGTTATTTTACTTCCCTAGCAGCTATTTTCGAAACTTACTTAACAGGAATAGCTCCAATTACTGTATCATCTGTACTGCGTAGTTGGATCTGTATTTTAATGCCGATAAAAAGTTTTTATCAGTATTCGTTATTCTACGATTTAGCTGTAAAGTGAAAATAAAATAACTTAACAAATACGAAAAAAACGTTAGGATTTTTTATAAATAAGCATTTTATTTATATAAATCTTCTATATCAGTTACAGCGTTGTCAGTCAATCAATGGCTATAGAAACAACTGCCATTGGAGGACGAACTGTAAAAGTCCAAAAATTGGTATGGACCATGGTGAATACAAAAATGTAAATTGTCATATATTATTTAAAAACATTTATTAAATAAAATGTATATCACAGACAATACTTTATTTAATTACCATTATCTGCCGATAGTTCGCTTTGGCAATCACTTGGTACCCTATCTGTAAACAATTCTGGAACCTGTAAAATAAAAAAACTTTTCATTGATGTGGTTGATCTTATTTATATATAACTAGCATTGTCCGCGGCTTCGCCCACGTTCAAGTGACTAAAAACCAAATTCTTAGGTTTTACATATTAGTATACTCTTACATTACAGTTTTTGTATTTTTTCTCAGAAATGAGATATTTTTCCGCTGTAAAAAGTATCCTACATGTTGACTCGGATAATCACCTATGACCATACCAAATTTTATCAAAAGCCGTCCAGTAATTTTTCTGTGATGCGGTAACAGACAGACAAACATTCTAAAAACTATAGATGCCTCTGTATCGATAATAATGTCTATTTCAATAAGATTTTCCAGAAAATATTTAATGTACAGATTTGGACTCGGTTAGCATTTTATTATATGTATAGATTATATCCGTATATTTAAGATTCAAAAAATACTTTTAAGTTTTAACCTGCGGAATATAAGCTTCGACTCTATCCAACAGAGAATCAGAGTATCCAGGTGTGTAGTATCTAGAATTAAATAAATCATGCATTAAAATCTAATTGAACTTACATTGTTAGGCAAATTAAAACGCCAAAACAGACAAATATTCAATAAAACTACCTTACTATTTCTTCTGGAAAGCAACTATTTATTATATTTATATATTCTTTTAATGAAGTTCCTGGCACAGAATCAATCTCTTGCACTCTTTTTAAAGCACCGGTAGTTACAAACAGTCTTCTTGCTCTGGCATCATTTGGTAATATCTAACAAAATGACAACACTGTTAGCGTAATGTCAAATGTCAACCAACTATCAAGCGATCTAATCTAAGTTGTAAACCTAAATTTTGAAACGAAATTGTCAATTTAATTTCTATTAATAAAAGAACTTATTACGAATTAAAATAAAGGAACTATATAAATAGAAATGGCAGGAAGGGGCAGAGGCAGGGGCAGTACTAATAGATCTTTAACTCATGAACAACTGCAAGCTCTCGGTATTAGCCGCGGAGATAATACTCCACAAATTCTAGCTCCACCACCTTTATTTCCTAAGTTAGAAGCAAAACCATTACCATTAAATTGTGATGCAGCCACTGATTACATGGTAATAGTAAGAGACCAATTCATAGAGTATTTACATGAATCTCCTGCATACGTAAAAGCGAATACGCAAACAGATGGCATAGAACGGTATTCTGATAAGTATAAACTTCTCGCTTTAGATGCAAAAAAAGGCCGAACACTGGATTGTGTTTGGGCTAACATGCCACCAGAGATACGGCCCCATGCTGGTCGTGCTCGGACTATAACCCGTAAGCGTAAATTAGATGATCCTATTGAAATAGCTAAGAGATTACAGACTTTAGAAAAGAAAGAATCACAAGAAAATCCTGTTGATGACATGGAAACTAATGAAAATGAGGATGAAGTCAAGAAAGAAAATGAAGATAATGAAGAACTGGAAGATGAGCAGGAGCAAGAAGAAGAAATTGATGATGGAACTGACTATGCTAACAACTACTTTGATAATGGTGAAGACTATGAGGATGAAGATGATAACCTAGATGATGGACCTGTGTATTGAATGAATATAAATTTTATATCTATAATGAGTATCTGTGATATTTTAATTTATAATTACCACAAAATAAATATTTTTTTTATAAACCATTATTATTTTATAATATTCCAAACAATTTTGATACTCTAATAAGTGTACTCAATAATCATACCTTTGCATACTGTGCCAGAACATATTTGAGTATACATGCAGGAGCCGCATGTAATAATGGTTCTAAAGCTGGTCGATGCAAGCAACATTGAAGTGACTGTTTTAACGCACAAGATGCCCTGGCTTTCACTTCTCCAGATGATTTTGGATTTGTATACAACTTAAAGATTATAAAAACTAGGTAAGATTATAAAATATATTAAATATATTTAAAAAACTCCAAAGTTCATTGCTATGAATGATTTATAATCAAATCTAATACATAGTTAATAATACTGCAATTTATAATTAAAATATATTATAATTTATATACCATATTTTTTGTAGGAAAGAAATATTCATTTAAAAAATATTTTACTTGTAATAATTTAGGGAGGGCATTGGCAACAGCAATAGCAAGGCTATGTTGTGGTGAATGCTTTGCTAGGTGTCCTATAGTCCAGGCAACTGCACATAATTCTGCATCCTCTGCCTCACTATTCTGGAGTATTTCTACCAACGGCACCACTGCCTGTATTAAAACTTAATTCATGTCCTTATATATATATATATATATATATATATATATATATATATATATATATATATGATTTTATATTTGTTTTTGCTAATGACACTATATATTACATACATTATGATAACATGGGGTCTCATCATGAACAAAGAAAAATTAGTTTAAACAAATGTCAATAGATGAAGTAACATGTATGGATTAGTTATTAAAGTTTTGTTAAATTAACAAAAGATAAAAAAAATAGACCCCAAAAAGGTTGTTTAAAAAAATATGAAGAAAGAAAGAAAACGTAAATTAAATTTGCGTAATTTTACTGATTATTGAAATATCAGCAATCAGTCAGTAGGTTTGTAGTGCATATTCATAGATGGCACTTTTACTTTTTATGCATTGTTTATCACAGTTAAAAATTGTTAAAATCACAAAATATTCAAATACAGGATGAATTTTACAACATTTATTATACATTAGTTTGCACATATTTATAAAATAAAGCGGTTTAAGTATTTGCGAATCAATGACATCTATTATCTTTTCAAGCAAACAAAAATAGCCCAAAGGAAAGCCCGAATTAGCGCTGTCCAATTTTTTGTATGAGATAAGGCATCTGTACTAGTATAGTATTATGTGATCTGTTGCTATTATCAAACCTTTGATTCTATAACAGCCATTGCCAACTGATCAGATTGTCCAGCGATATATCCCAACGCCATGCAGGCGGACACACGAGCTCCCGCATTTTCTGAAAGGAGTTCAACCAAAGGACCGCAACCTCCTGTATTCACCACTAACTGAGCTAACTGAAATTTTGGACGTAATTTATAGTATTTTTGACAAGTCTCTTATTGATAGAACTTTTTTATGTACATATAACATGATATCTTTGCAAATTGTAAACCTTTTTCCGTTATTCTTTTTTTTTAATAAATAACTGTTATTTTGTCTAATTATTATTCATTATTTTTATTTTGGAAAAGACTAAAATCGGTATATATATACTTTACTAGTTATTATTACTGTCTGTTGACCAAATACATACATAACCTACTTTCTACCACCTTTAAAAAAGGAGGGCTTAAATTCGGATATATTTTATTATCGTTAGCTATCAAGTTGTTAAATTTTTACCACGTTCTATTTTTCACGATGTTTTAATATCTAGCCATTACCATAAATTATTATGGTATCATTTACCAAAAATCTAAACCAAGTAGATGTACAATTGGCAAAAAAAACCTTAACTTCGAAACTACCAAGCCCTACGATGTAAGCAGTAAGGCGATTAATTCAAATAATCTAACTTCAACGGAATGCTTAACGATATCGCGCAACAAGCAGGCCGCAGCGCGGCGCACGGGCGCGGCGTCATGGCCGGCGTGTAGCAGCGCGGGAGGCAGCGCGCCGCCCGCCACCACCGCCTCCGCCAGCTCCGACCGAGCGCTCGCTATCGCGCTTAACGCACACAGAGTGCTACGCTGTAACGTTGCATTGTCACGTAAAAATTGTAGTTGATAGTTCAAAAAACCACTTTTTTGACGAATTTTAATGTATAGGACTCGTTATAACTAACCAAAAGAGTCTAAAAACTCCTAAGTTTTATATCTGCTAAAAAGGTCCGCTATACCTTGCTCTATATTCAGATCAACTCAATAGTCTCAAATCATTATATGTATTGTTTGGATATTACATCTTTCAAATACGAAAGAAGTAAAAAGTAGGTTAACATCAAACAAATCAAGATTTTATGAAATACAAGCGACTCGCCCTCGCTCCGCTCGGGTTCGTCCCCGCTTACGTTTTAAACTTTAGTACCTATAGATTTTTCAGAGATGAGATATTTTCCCGCAATAAAAAGTATCTTATACGTTGATCCTTATAACCAGCTACCATCATTCTAAATTTCATCAAAATCCCTCCAGTGGTTTTTCCGTGATGCGGTAACAGACAGACAGACAGACAAAAATTCTAAAAACTATAGATTCGGCCTCCGTATCGATAATAATGTCTTTTCCAATAAGATTTTCTAAAAAATATTTAATGTACAGATTCGGCTTAGATACAATTTTATTATATGTATAGAAGTACCTAGTTGGAAGGAAAATTATTTACAAAAAAAAATCCGACAACGTAAAAAGCGAAATACCTATAAAGATGAAAACAAGTTGACGAAGGAACATAGTATTATGCAATCGGAGACATACATAATATTATGTATGTACCTACATACATGTTTTATAATAGCTGCGTGTGTGTTTGTCTCCGACGTATTAACCCTCCTTCTGGCGCAGACTGGTAAAAATTAATAAGAGCATGTCAAAAAGTTAGGTAGTTTGGCTATACCTATCTCTTATTTGTTTTTATTTTCTCCATTAGTTTTCATCCGTATGAAAAAATCTATGTTATGGTCGGCTTATTGTATATATTCAATATTACAGCTCAAGTCATTTGTAAGAAAGTTATCAAATTATTCAATTAACCTTTAGCTTAGGGTCTTGATTTTCTAGTGCACGTATTAAATGACAAATTGCCCCTGCATCGACAACAGCCTCTGGTTTATGTTGCGCTAAATCCACTAAAGCACCGGCTGCAATCTGAATATCGTAAAAACATTAATACCTACTGATATATTTATTATTTATCTCATAAAGGCTTGTGTAGAAGTCCTACTGTAAAGGTGTGACTTGTTTATTTGTTCGCATATCCAACCATCTCGAAAAACTACTGCGTCAATTTTCATAAAACTTTTATATTAAAGAAAAGTGATAATGTCCTCCTGACCGTTTCCGGCCAAGGCGGCCATTCTCACTGACAATGAGACTAGCAAAACGCGCAGGAGATGGTGCGCAGGTACACAAGCCGTGTACACGCAGACACAATTGCACTCTATTTAAAAATTTCAATAGAATTTTTAAAGAAATTCAATCCCATCAAAAGCGACAAAAGCCACATAGAAACCAATAAATATTTATTGGTTTCTGTGTGGATTTTGTCGCTTTTGATGAGATCCTATTGGAGTTTTACAACAGGGCTCTCTACTTATTCTTTTTCCTCTTAAATCTGATGTAGGTAGTAACTTTTGGGTATATTATATAATTGCTATTTAAAACATACTTTAAAAGTCGAAAAACATAACTGTTTTTCATGTTTCAAGTCGATACGCTAGGAGTGTTAAATAGATAAGAAAACACATCACACATCTGAGAAACATATTCATTAGGTACCTGTTTCAAACTCATTTCAGGTTCTTGAAAAGCCAACACTAATAATGGTAAAGTTCCGGAATCTACTACTAATCCTGCCATGTGCTCGTTATGCTTCCCTATGTAACCTAATGCCCATGCAGCATTTTCTTTAACCTGCTTAAAAATAAAGTTTATTATAAAAAAAATAATTAAAACTGCTTTTTGAAATGCGAAATATCTTCGAAAAATGTTATACAAACCAAAATAAGGATAGCTTTATTTTTATTTATTTAATCAAACAATAATATATACTAAGTAACGTAACGGCGTACCTGCGTGTCAAAATCTTCTAAACATGAAACAATGTGCTCTAAAGCCCCAAGTCTAACCATAGTAGAAGCTAATTCTTCGTTGTGTCTATTATTAAGAAATATTTTTGTTATATAAGCATACATAAAATAGAATTTTCAATAAATACATGAAATATTACTTATTTTAATGCTTACTTCGCAATAGTTCTGACGAGATACAATGCAGATCGCTTGTAGTAAACCTATCGGAGAAAAGCAGTTTACATTATAAGTGTACATTGGAATTACATTTACTTACTTATTTCATCAAAGCAACTATGAGAAACTAGTTTTAAAGGTTAATTACCTTTAAATCAACAAAAAATTCTTACTTTATCGCTTTTGTCACTATAATAATTAATATCTATATTTATTTTGATATGTAGGTGGTAATAGATACTAGGTACGTACGTATAACTTATGTAAAAAAAGATGCTTTGAATTCAATAATATAATATATCTTTATTTTATTTTTTGTTTAAACTACAAGGTAGGAGGTACAACTGTGAACTAACTCTGATCGAATAACATTTGCTACAAGTTTTGGTAACTCTATCTAAATTTTAATTTACCTTTTTTATTTCAACAACGAGTAAATATTTTACATACGTTATATTTATTTAAATTTTCAAGAGCGATAGTAAGCATGCCGCCACTGAGCAGCTGTCGCGCGACGCCCTCCTCGTGCTCGGCGAGCCGCGCCGCTGCTACCACTGCGCACTGCCGCACTGTACTGCAGGTGTCGGATAGCAGTGGACGTAGCAATTCTTAAATAACTCCGTTATCTTAGTACGCTTCATACTAAATGTATGCATTTAAATACCATACAAAAATAAGCTTGCTTTTTATGTTGCTGAAAGATAATGCGCTAACTATAAACAACTAAGTGCTGTCAATGGGACTTTCTTATCAGAAAGACTCGGATAACTAAACATGGCCCGATCCGAGACTCGGACCTAGGACCGTGCAGTCGTACATACTAGCCACCACATCACCGAGGTAGTAAATAAATATACATATAACAGACAGGACGAATCCTGCCTATTCTCAGGAGTCAGGGATACATATATAACAAATGTGTAATCATGACACTGAATTTATAATTACATTTGAGGAGCGTAGGAACAAAAACCGATAAATCACATTTTGACATATTTTTTTTATGATGCCAATTGGTTGAAAACTATGAACTTGGCCATATTTTTACATTTTTCCACAAAAAAACATAAATGTGATTTATCGGTTTTTCTTCCGACGCTCCTCATTTATTAAATGATCTGTTACCTAACACTCCAGCACTCTCGAGGCACTTAACATTGGTAGCCCTCGTCGCTAGCTCGGCCATTGTCTGCACAAATACTAACCGAGCTTTTTGATAGGTTTCAAAAACTATAAAATACAATTTTATTTAAATAGCTTACATTTATTATATTACATAAAATACATAGCATATGCAAACATAACATACCTAATTGAATATTACGCGGACTGCTCATAGAGTGACTCATGGTATATAAAAGTATTGCAAAGTTGCAACAATTGGCGATAATGCTAGTGACCTGATATGTTTAGGTTTCAATGACGCAATAAAATGTCATATTTTCGCATTCAGTCGATAATCGAGATATGTTTATGTAAGTAAAATATAATGTTGACAAAAGAGTTTTTTAGGAAAAACAAACGTCCATATAATAAGCCGAAAAGTCATTAAACAGAGAAGAAAACCTTTTTTTTAGTAAATTTATTTACATAAAACAGCACACGCTAATTAATGGTATGATATCAATCAATTTTACTACCTTGTAATTAACATACTGATTTTTTTTTACGATCTAGATACCTACATAAATAATTTTACGTTGAAGTTATGAATTAAACATAAAGTTACATAATTCAGGTATTTCCCGCATGCATAGAATAAATAATACTTTATAAACCGTCATGATTTCGTTTCGATGGTTGATTGCTAAGTCGGCACTCGGCAGTGCGTTGCGCGGGCGCAAGTCGTGGAAGCAGTCAAGCACCCGTGAAGGCCGTGTGACGCGCGACGTCACGTCGCCACACACGAGCGCGGCTCACAGTGCACACACGGACAGGCCATTGTGAGCCGCGTCGCACCTCCTCCGGCTTACCTGGCAAACTTCACCCACACACGAGTACGCAACCTGTCGCGGCCGTGGTCGCCGCGTGCTAGACTCACATATTTAATTAAAACATCGTAAAAAATCTTAAACATTGCTACAATGAACTTTGTTATTCGTTGATGATATTTTTTTTTAAATTATAAATCTTTCAATCTGGATAGTGTTGCCGGTCGAGGTGTAGTGAGTGTTTATATCAAATAAAGCCATTATCTATTATGCCGTATATAATGGTTATGGGAAGCCTTAGCGCACCGCATCTCTCCAAGGATGATGGTGCTACTGTCTACGGCCTGAAAAGTGAGGAACGTGCCTCACTAGTGAGGGTGTGTTTAATGTTTTTTTTTTCAAATAAACAATAATCAAACAATTATAAGAGAATAAGATACATATTAAAATAAATACAAATTAATACCTACTTCAGATAAAAGTCCTAGTAATTTTGAAGATACAGTTGAATAATTATAAAAATATCATGACGGCGAAGGTTTAAAATAAAAGAGATTTTATCGCAATATTATTGTTCTGTACACCTGCATATATGTATAAAACATAAGCTTCTTATATTTGTAAAATTATCTAGCCATGTCCAATTAAAGACGGTCATTTTCGACAAGTTTTCTTAAGATTGTCTTGTTTTTATACAATTCGATCAATACAATCACACATTTCACATATGCTGCATTTGCATTACATTATTATAATTATTTTGATTCATCGTTCATCATTATAAAAAGTCATTATAAAACGCGCAATTTCAAGATTTAAATCACATACGATTTCAGGAATTAAATTCATCATTTGGCGTGGCGATCGCCTCGGACTTGGAGCGAACTGTTCGTGTTACGCAGAAGGGACTGACTCTGGTGGTGGTAAACCGAATTCATGGTTTGCTGGGCTATGACGTGGTCTCGCACGCCATGGCCATGACCAACGCCAACCGAGAGCTGATCTCCTTCACCATGTATAAAAAGACTAGCAACAACTCTCATCAGACACACAGCCACGGCCATACTAGCTCACACAGCTCACACAAAAGCCATCACAGTAGCGTTGTCACACTTTGATAAAAGTTATATGTCGTGTGATTCGTGAGTGTGACATGCAAATGTTTTCATACACCTGTGTTTCACAAGACCCGATGGCCGACAGTCGACAATGCTTTTATATTGAGGTCGCAAACACACGATATATGTATATTGCGATCCAACGGTTACTATTCTATGTATAAATGTAATTAGGATTATTGAAATAAAAATATATTTTTAATTCATATACATTTTATTTGAAACCTCATATAAAACTAACAAATAATATAAAACCTTTATCAGTCTCGATCGCAGTATGGAATGAATTTATTATAAACTATGTAGGTTTTGTTTTTATCCTTAAATATTTTCTTATGATGGAACATAGGCTATGTTACTCAGTATATTGTCTTTTTTTCTAAATTATCAAGACTGAATTATTTGCTACTTAATAAAAATTTTAAACAAAAATTAATATGCGATAATTCGGAGTACCTACTTAAAGAATATCAAGGTCACCTTGAAGTTTAAGTAAAATGTTTTAACGTAACAAGTAGCAACTAATATTTCGACGCCCTAGTTATACACAAATCATAACTAGCGTTATCTAATATAAATCTACGCAGACTAGATCTTATAATATATACAGCAAATACAAAACTGTTATAACAATACGAGGTTGTTGCGAGACATCGCTAACATCAGCTAATAGTTGAATAATATATTTAAGAATAAATATTTTTATACGCCGTAAAATATAAATTAACATATTCTTAGTTACAGGAAATATTTTTATAACTTGTTTCCTTCTTACAAGCACGTATTATATGTAAAGCGTGAAACCAACAAGTATTAATTATACGTTCATTAGGTATAGTGTATCTAAACAATGAGTGTTGTAATACATTATGTTGGCAGCACTATAATAAATGATTTCCTGATAATTTACAATAAGTCAACCATTACAATGCTGAATACAACTTACATCTCTAGTTAAATATCGAGTCGAATAATAAATATGTAGCATTCGCTGCGTTCACGCAACATGGTTTTGTATGTGTACATGTAAATTATATAATTTATTTATTTTAAAAACGTCTTGTGATGTCGTATTGTTAAAACAATTATTAAAACTCATATGAACAGGCATCTGAAGTTGTACAATCGATCTCAGACATCACATACGACGATTATAAATTGAATGATTAGAATTTTATTACAGTCTTTATCAACAAGTTCACATAAATGAAGATCAAAATAAATAAAAAAAACACCTCTAACTCCTAAACGAAGGATAAACAGACGCGTGACATACAATCTATTCGCTTTTCTTCCGCCAGGGAAACCTCGTGAAGACATTGTATCATAATAGTAACATAAGTTGTTATTTGACCCTCAAATTGCTTATTTAGCTACCCGAACTGATTCTAACTGCAGTATAATGTAATTTCGTTGCTCAATTATTGCGCAAGATATAAACAAACACACACTTACGCATGTATTTACATAAGATTTTACTAATTTATTGAACATCATTTCTTCCAAACTTATGTTTCTCAGATAACTTCTTTAACGCAGCCGCATACTGCCTCTGCACTTCCATTAATCTAGAATATTCCGCGTGTAAAGCTGCCTTGCGTTCTTTTTCAGTTTTAAACTTCTGCTCGACTTTTCGCACTGTCTGGTTCACCCACTCCACTATTGACTCGAATTGAGTCATAAATTCCTCTCTTTTTCTTGCTGAAGACATTACTCTACAAAATAATGTTTCATTCGATATTGTTGGGTTTTAGGTTCAATACGTTAACTAACGGTTTTTTTAAAAATGTTCAAATCTTTATATATATAATTCTTCTGTGAGTGTGTATGTCACTGAACTTCTCTCAAACGACTGGACCGATTTTGATGAAATTTTTGGTGTTTGTTCAAGGGGATCTGGGAATGGTTTAGATTCACAATTTGAATAATAATTTTCACCAAAAAAATTATTAAAAAAAGTTTGAAATTTTCAAATTAAAGACGTGTAGACAGGACAACGTCTGTCGGGTCCGCTAGTATTATATATAAATTGTTTCTTTAACATTATACCTACTATAATATGTATTACGTAATATAGAGACTATCAACACTAACATGACGCCATGTTGGAAAAATCTACTTATTACAAAATAGACTACAGTTATTTATTATAAAAAAATATATGTCGAAAATTATTTTTGAAGTTATACTTCCTTAGGCACGTTTGGAAAAAAATATGAGAGTAAAATTTTTACTACGCGTGCGCTCACCGACAGCCAAAAAGGGACATGATTAAGTTAGCTGAAAGCGACGTGATCAAGTTAGTGTCTCTGGTTTCCGTGAAAACTCATAACTATATTCAAAGTAGTTTCTCGAATATTCATAAATCTATAATACGTTTTATATCACAGTGGAGATAAAAAAAATTTTTTTATTAATTTATCAATCCTTTTACAAACAGAGAGTCGTGACATACGGGATGAAATTTTTAGCTATTTTTGTTCTGTTACGCCAAAGAAGTATAACTTCTTACGTGCG